CTGAGTGGCGACTTGCACCCTTTCATCACCCTCCTGTTGTTGGCACCCACCTGTTGGCACTGACTTCATCATCATGCCAGACCCCTACTTCATCCAGTGGTGTCCTCTCCCTTGTTTGGTATCCTCCTCTTGCTGTATTGGTGATAGGGGTGCCTCTCGAACTGATTCTTGTGAGGTCTGTCATACTTAGCATGGTATTATGATTCCCACTGAACTCTGTAGTAACAACCTCATTCCTGCTGATCCTGGCAAGTTATGCCATAGAGTCATTTCTACTACTGATCTCAGTGAACTCTGCCTTAAGCTCTCGTTTAGCCTGATCCTGCGATTTCTGCACTCCTCTTCATATGACTTCAACTCTTCTTGCTTCCTGCGCATCTGGTCCCATGACATTGGGCACCGCTTTAATGAACTGGCAGTGAGAGGTAGAGGTGGAAGGTGCCTTGACAACCAAGAAGCCCTCAATGATGACCGGGGCTGGGTCCTCCTGTGCTGGAGCACCTGGCCATGATGGATTGGCCCATTTAGGGAGGTTGTAGATGTCAAGTGTGTCTTGGTGGACCTTGTTGATGAGGTCAAGGGACAGCCATGGGTAGGTAATGGCAGACTGGTACTCACCAAAGCATGCAGGAAAAGCTGGATCTAGCAGAGCTAAAGGACCATCCATGGCTTGAGGGGGATTTGAGCTGACTCCCAGTTGGGGATGGTGGATAGCACCTGCTACCTTATGAAAGGCTTTGGCGATCTTGTCCTGAAAGAACTGGCAAAGCTTGCCAATGCTCGCAGAAAGGTTGGAGCATGTCACAAAGTGTTGGCCAGGAGCCGCTGGTGTTGTGGTTGGGGCAGAGGCGGTGGTGGAGTTGATATTAGAAGCAGGCAAGACAGTTGGGGTTGGAGCCAAAACAGTTGGTTGGACAGGCACGGGAAGGCCTACAACAGGTGCAGGGAACGGGTCTGGTAAGGGTCCAGTGACGGTTGGGTCTTGAGAGGGTCCTGTGGCGTTCGGGACTTGGTGGGGTCCGGTGGCGGTCGGCTCTTGGGAGGATGGCTGTGTCAGAGGTCATGCGCCTAGAACCCGAAATATGTGATAGAGGTTGCCTAAATCCAACCTTGGCAAAATCTGTTGTAGAAGCCTTCTATTACTGTTTCTGCCAGAATCTGCTATAGAAGCCTTCTATGGCTGCTCTTGCTCAAATATGTTGTAACTGAGAGTTATCACAGATTCCAACTAACTGCTGTGGACATCTGGACCACAAAGAGTACTGCCTTTGGATGATGTCAAGAAGCAGTGATACAACACATGTGCTACAATAGAAGCAAAGCTCTGCAATTGCAACTGTTTGACAGAATACTAAGTATACTTATTGTGAAGTTATAGCTAGTAGAGTTAGGTGTAGAGTGGATGGAGATCCACTCAACTACTCTGACAAGGAAGCATGGTTATATATGGATGTTTCCCACAGTGTTGCCTGCAACACTGTTACTGCTCTAGGAGGCCTCCTCTGACACTGCTCCTCCTCCTCTCATTCCTCCTAACAGTCCTGACTACCTACAATGTCACTCGTTGGCACTGTTTCCCTTACTTCCTGCAGATGGAGAGTCCTTGTGCTGCTAATTGTGCTATTACTGATTCCAGCAGGCTTCATTGTAAGATCCTGCTTGTACCAATTTGGACAGAATCTGTTGTAGAGCCTCTCTACTACAGATCTCAATGAACTCTGCTGTAAACCCTTGTTTTGCCCAATCCCTTGATTCCTGCACTCCTCCTCATATGACTTTGGTTCTTCCTGCTTCCTGTGCATCCAGTCCCATGACAGGCTGAGACGAGTGAGGAGCAGTGGCACGGGAGTTCCCTGTTCAGCAGTCGAGACAAGAGGAGGTGGTGCAGTACTGGAACCGCTGGTGGCGAAATGAAATGATGGGCTTGGAGAGCTTTGTCAGGGGTCTCGCGCCTGAAACCCAGGTCGGTCTGTCGAGATACTCGGTGACTATCAAACTGTGCAACAGCTATTGTCTCAGTATCAGTGACTATCAAGTTGCGCAGTGACAGCAGGTGGCATTCGTTGTATATACTATCGTAGGTTTCGGCTGACCTCTGTGGACACTCCATTCAGGGGTAGCTCGGCACGATCAATATCAATGCTATGATGACACCAAGGTCTGGTGTGAGTGTTGATGATGATGAGGTTGATGACATTGGTGATAAGGTTGGTGGGTGTTGATGATAATGAGGTTGATGGTGTTGGTGATAAGGTTGGTGGTGTCAACACGAGTGTCCAGTGTGTTGACTTGATGCTTGAAGTGATCCCTGGACCACAGTGGAATACTGCCTTCGGTTCTATCTTGATCTGGACTGCTAACCTGCTATGGGCACCTTTGGATGTCAGGTAGTGGTGATACAACACACACACTATGATGAGGAGCAACCTTGATAGATTGCTGCTATGCTGACTGAAACTAATATATACTTATGCTGAAGTGATAACTAGTTATGGTGAGTAGAGTGGATGAGGATCCACTCGACCTATGATGATGAGAAAGCATGGTTATATACCTCTACTCAGCATCGCCAGCGATGCTGCTCCTGCTCTCTCTCTCCAGAGAGTACCTTCTTCATCGAGTACTGCTCAGGGGCCTCTCCTGCTTGGCACCCCTGTGCCTCTTGAGCTGTGTCGACTCCTTCGACACTGCTCCTCCTCCTCATGACCTGATGTCAACTCCTTCGACACTGCTCCTTCTCCTTTGATCAGTGACAGTTCCTTTGGCTCTTGTCTCTCGAGCCCCTGAGTGGTAACCATCTGCATGCTCCTTGAGCTTGGTCCTCTCCATGGCTGTGCTTGGCCCTCCTTTGCATGTGAGTCCATAGGAGTCCATGGTCTCCATGGAGACTGCACTACGACCATGCTCTCTACTGGTATCGACTAGATCTTCGATACCTGTGCTCCTTCTATATGAACCCGTGACCCTCCTGCTTCTTGAGCATCCAGGCCCATGACAAGCTTACAAATGCAACAGCATTATTCCATGTCATTCATTGTGGTGCAGAAGGTGGTGAGGTTGCTGGAGCTGTGGTGGCTGGGACCTAATGGTGTCGCTGAGCAGTGCCAGGAAGGTGGGGCTCCGAACTGTGGCACTGCGGGACTGTGCTGAAAAGAAGAGTGAAGAATGACAAACCAGGCTGCTTATCATATGCCTGGCTTTTGGAGAAGATGATGGTAGTGAAGAGAGAGTGGAGAGCAGACTGATGTTGTGAAGGCTAAACTCTTGTGTGGAAGCAAGCTTTCATTTATCTTTTTTCTTTTTTCTTTCATTTTTCTTTCTTTTTCTTTTTCTTTTTCTTTTTCTTTTTCTTTTTCTTTTTCATGATTTAATTTCAGAAAGAAATGCCTGCGTGTCTCCCGAGCGAAAGCACCACACACACACACACACACACACACACACACACACATACACATACACACACATACACACACACACACACACATACATGCTGTCAATCTGATGGCTTGGATCAGCACCTTGCCAGATCTACACTTGACATAATCCAAGGGACCATTCACTTCGATAGAGCTTAGGGAGGTGATTGTTCGCGTTAAGAAGCTGTGCAAGCAGGACTACATAGGGATAGCCTCCCTCTTGGCAGCTATAGGCTGGTTTGGGTGGCGAGGTAAGCTGCATCCCAACCAGGCACTACATTTCTCAATTCTGCTGGTACAGTTGTGTTGCACTCTTTCAATGCTGCTAGGGTCCAGTTGTAGATCGGATCGGGAACTTGCATTGGCTCGACCGATTCCGTGTCCTGCTGATCCGGTTGTGCGGTGCGAAACAAGATTCGGTATCCTTTCCAGACTTGACCCTCGGCCACAGAGGAGTGGAAGTGAGCAAGCGAGGTGGTGAAACAGGCACGTGAGAAAAGCCAGACTTCAACACCATCAGGTGAGGAGCAAGAGTGCAGAAGAAATCGACGTGCACCGTGCGATGCTGCTGAGTATTGCAGGCTGGAGAGCAGCGTTGCTATCCAGATCCCTTGCCGTTGGCACGACCTGGCGGCCAAGAGAGGTTGGATGAGGTATTTGCTCAGCTTGATCGTCGACCCAACCCCCCAGCCTGCAGTGCAAGAGGTTGGTGCGCCGGAACCAACTTCACCTAGAGCAGAGTGGCATGTTGAACATCGCATCACCTAGAAACAACAAACAGCATGAGGCAGTGTCAGCAAATCATACCATAGCCGCAAACAGCAAGACAAGTGTCAGTGAGGTGGAGCAAGTGCAGCAATGTACGTCAGCAGGGTAGACACGTCAACTGTGAACCTTTGCAGTGAGCAGGTGTTCTGTTCATTAGTCTCCGACTCACGTTTTCCCTTGCCGTTACCTCCTCAATACCTCTTCCTCTCTTCTCTGCAAGTCTGTTTGTTGCCCTCTATTGCACCCTTACCACTCCAATGCTTCTCTATCCTGTTGACGAGATGTGTCGGTCGATTTGGACCCGTACCAGACACAGCCCAGAAGGACGGCGGTGAAAAAAAAAAAAAAAAACCCCCAAGATCGACGCGTGTTGACACATCTCAGCAACAACAACAGAGCAGCGAGAATGCAGTAAAGTTGGCGGCAACAACAGTTCAAACGCGCGGAAAAAGGCAAGAGATAGGAGGTGCAAGCAGAAGGAATATTCATCTTGGACGATCGGTGTATCAGTCGACAATCCATAGGCTCCGCACTTGCTCTCTGAAAGAAGAGGGCAAGCAAAACGGGGAGGGGGATCGTCGACTTTCTATCCGGTCCTGCAAAGCCTGTCCGAAGAGCTCTACTTTGATATGATGTGAATGTGAGCAGATAAGATAGGGCTGCCAACAACTTACTGTCTGTACATCTTGGGTCTCGAAAGCGACCTTGGAAGAATCGAGCATCTGCCGGGGCAGCAAAAGGTAGGTATCTCCTACCCAAATAGTCTTTCTTTTCACTTGCTCTCCTTCCACACCGTCGTGAGGACCAGCTTGGATCTTACTGGAGAACCTAACCGCAGTCTCGGTCAGAGATCTGTTCAGTTCTTGATCGCCATGACACATCCAAGCGTCGACCAACTCTTCCCATCCTTCTGAAGGTAATGCTCTCCATTCTACACTCTTTCCCAGCCGAACCAGTACCAACTTTTCCCCGCTCTCCTCCTGCTTTGCACACACAGCACAGCACAACCCAACCACCGAACGCTGCTTGGCCGAGAGATACGAAGCTGAGAGAGGGAAATGCACGATTCCTTCTGCACGTGACTCTTCGGCTCCTGCTCTACGCTCTGCTTCTGTCAGGCTTAGCTTTACTCGACATACTGCTCCGCCGAGAGCAAGAGAGATTCTGCCAGACTGCGGCCAGGTTGCTGCAGCCGCCAGCTGAATGCGCACTCCCCCACTACCGCTGCTGGCAGGGGAGCTCACGTGATCACTGCTTAGCTTCCACTTCTCGCCTCTGCCGCCGCCACTGCCGGCACCACTACCGCTGCTGCTTTTGCGTTCATTCTCACTCGAGCTTTCACTCGCGCAAGAAACAACGTGAAGATTCACATTCGCATCAACCGGTGTGACATGCAATGTCCAACTCTGTCCCTCTTGCTCTTCGACGAGCGTATAATCCAACTGCACCTTATCCGTGTGTGATGGATGTGGTGAAGGGGCTTGAGTACGAGTCCAAAGGAGCACCGAGATGCTTCCTAGAGTATGTTGAGCTTCGGCAAAGTACTCGATTCCCAGATCGAGTTTAGACTGGAGCGATGGAGGAGCAGCAGTGATAGTAGCAGAGACAGGGTCCTTGTCAGCGGCATTGTTACGAGAGAGAGCCGAATACTTGATGCCAGTCAAAGAGTAGACGATCAAGTCGTTGCGACCACCAGCAAAGGCACTGGTAGCAGCAGCAGGGACAGAGGTAGAAGCGGAAGCACAGCCAAAAGAGTCAAGAGGCACGAGGCAAGCAGAAGCAGGGACGCCTGAAGACTTACCTGGACCAAGAGGCGAGAGACCATTCTCTCTCAGTTGCGACCGTGACCAAGCGGCTTGTGATGTATCGGATGGAGGTGGCGCGAGGGTATCAGCTGCAAAGGTGGCCGTAGTCTTGGTGGCCTTCTTTGGCGCGACGGGCGAGATGGACGTCAAGGGAGACTTGGGCCATGTCCGAGTAGCTGGGTTTGAACCTAGCATCTGCGAGCTGCGACGAGAACAAGTGTGACTGCTACCGCTGCTCATCATACTGACAGGACTGCGTGGCGAGTCAGGCGCTGTCGAGATGACTGAAAACCTGTGGTTTGAGTCCTTGGCCTCGACTTTGGAAAAGCTGTAGTTGTCGAGCATGCTGTCATCTTTCTCTTCGACACTAACGCGGGGATTGAGGCTGGCATCACGTCCACGAGGAGTGTCGTCGGCAAAGTCTATGGCTCGAAATCCAGTCTGAGCTGCCAGACGACTTGCACTGGTGTCGTTCGTGCCGTTGATGCGTGCCGAGCCCTCATTGAAGAGACTTGTAAGGGTTTCAGCGATGTCCGATTTGCTGCGCGAGTGCTGAGTAGCAGCACTGCGATGAACAGTGCTGGCCTGGCTTGGTGGCATAGCATGGCTGTCGTGCAGCTCAGGCATTTCCTTGGGCTTGACCTTGGTAGTGTCGTAGAGGGAAGCACGTCGCAGAGCGTTACCAATGCTAGCAATCGACAGCTTGCGATTCAACGCACTGGGAAGCAGCGATGACCCGATTCGAGAGTGGATCGAGCCACTGTGCTGCGAGCAAGGCCTAGTGAGCGTAGCAGGCATCTCGGACTCGGGCTGCGCCGTCATGACCTTGCGCGAGACTTGGACCATGGCAGGCCTGGGCATCTTGGCTGGCGAAGCGGTTCGCTCCACTTGAATGCGTGGCGAAGGAGCGGGTCGAGAAGGCTTGAAGCTGGGCGGATTGCTGCGTTGGTCGTTGAGACGCTTTGCATTCGAGTCGGCAAGACGGCCAATCATCTGGTTGAGCTGTGCCTCGCGCTGCTGCTCGGGCAAGAGGGCACGCTGGTTGTCGAGCTGAGGCATGACAGTTGACATGCGGTCGATAGAGCTCTGCACCATTGCCAAGTCCTCGGGAGTGCGAGCAGCATAGGCGCTGTGCTGAGCTGCGAGCTTGGAACGACGTCGCTCGAGCAAAGTCGGTGTCTCGAGCGCCTTTTTCGAGTCGCTGGCGAAAGCGCTCGAAGGGCCATCGTACCCAGGCAAGTCATCCGAGTCGGGTGTCTCGACGCCAGTAGTATCAGCTTCCTGATCAGCAAGGCGAGCAGCAGTCTTCTTGTCGCCCTGCGAAGCATAGCTGACAGCATGGTAGCCAGAGGCATGGTAGCCAGGGGCATGGTAAGAGTAGCCAGGCAACAATGTGCTGGAAGCGCTGTCGGTCTGCACAGAGAAGCGTTTGCGGTTGAATAAAGCAGTCGAGTCCGACTTTTCACCCACCGAAGCGGCGCGCGATGCCTGGTCAGAGCGAGGCGACTGTGGAGCGACAAGACCAGAGACCGGAGGCTGACGAGCGTACAGCGTCTCGATGGAGAAAGTGGAAGGCATCGTAGTGCTGGGAGATTGGCAAACAGTAGCCATGTCAAAGACCGACGGATCGATGTGCTGCTGCTCGGGCACAGAGGAGAGCAAACCAGCCTCGGCGAGCAGCTCGGATCGCTTTGCCTTGGTGGCGTCCGCCTCCTTCTGCTGCAATTCGACGAGAGCTTCATCGGATGAGGTGGGCAGAGTGCCGTGCGAGCTCCATGACCGACGTGGCTCGGACATGAAGGTGCTCGACCGTGGAGAGTGCTGCGATTGCGAGTAGTGCTGCTGCTGCTGCTGTTGTTGTTGTTGTTGTTGTTGTTGTTGTTGTTGTTGTTGTTGTTGTTGTTGTTGTTGTTGTTGTTGTTGTTGTTGTGAAGGCTGGTACGAGGAACGACGACGACGATGCAAAGATTCGGACCAGTGGAGCGTCCTTGGTGTTCGTGGTGGGCTTTCGACTGCAGCGCGAGCCATACGACGGTCCGACTGGACGAGACCATGGGTGAGTGTGTTGAGGTTAAGCAAGAGACCTGCCTGGCGAGCATCCTCGATGTTGCCCACGGCCAGCGTGAACCGGTCTACGAGCAAGACGAGACGTTGGAGGTCAGAGATCTGGTTGAAGCCGCTCTGATTGGCAAGTGCTGATCGGGCAAAGGTGGGTGACAATGGAGCATTGTGACCACCGATGCGACGCAAGGAGGCAAACATGTCATCGAGGATCTGTGTGATTTCCGAGTGAGGTGCGGTTGATGAAGAAGCATGCTCGAAGTGCGTCTGGGCGATCGAGTGAAGGATGCGCTGAAGCGACTCGAGCTGCTGGTTGCGAACATCACGAATCGCATTGTGAGCCGCTGCTGGATCGTAGTCGAAAGCGGCAGTTTCAGTGGGGTCTGCCATCTCTTCCAGCTGATCTTCGTTGTCACTGTGGTGTGCGATGATGTTGTTGCTAATGTGATGTGAGAGCTCGCTGCGTGAGCTTGTTGCTGTACATGGTTCGTCGGATGAAGAGCCCTGTCGGAGGGAGTTGGCTCTGCTACGTCGTGCTGCTGCGTCGGTCTGAGCTGCAAGAGCGAACTGCTGTTGCAATGCTTGTGGGCTGGGTAGATTGTCTTCTGGTTCGTGAGTGGGAACCGATGGAAGAAGAATGAATTGCGAGGTACGGATGATGGTGGGAGAAGAAGGAGTGAGGGGTGTGTTTGATGTGGAAGGGGAGCGACGTGTCGTAGCCAGAGCAGCTGGGCGCTGTGGCCTCTGCAACTCGAGGGTGGCCATGTTTGTTGGAAGTAGCTTTGCTGCTTGCACCTAAGACGGAGGGAGTAGGAGGACTGATGTCGCGGTTGACGGCTGAGTGAGGGTGGCGAGGATAGGGAGGTCTGTGGTGCTTAGTACAGTAGCCGAGGGAAGGCGCTGGCAAAGTGGAACAGAAGGCAAGGCAAGGTCGGTGGGGAAGGGGGAAGAAGGAAGGAATGTGAGAAGGCTCGTTTAGCGGACGAGGTATATATTGCAATTGTTGCGCAGGAATGAGGCAGAATGGATGTGGCGCTTAACAGAAGGCGTTGGATGGCGGCGAAGAGAGGAGAAGAAGCGATTCAGCTTATAGTCGTGGAGTGGAGCGAGATATGGAAGCATGCACTGCCAATGATGGTGTCCGGATGGGTTAGGGTCGATGGGTTAGGGTCGATGGGGTAGGGTAACAACGACGACGACGACGACGATGAGGACGATGAGGACGATGAGGACAATGAGGACAATGAGGACAATGAGGACAATGAGGACGATGAGGACGATGAGGACGATGAGGACGATGAGGATGATGAGGACGATGAGGATGATGAGGACGATGAGGATGATGAGGATGATGAGGACGATGAGGATGATGAGGACGATGAGGAGCAATGAAAGAAAGAAAGGGTTGAGAGAAAACTTATCGTGCGAATGGATACACACATGCACTTCCCCTCTTTCTCATTCCCTGTTTCCGGCCGAAAGAATTCATTTCATTTTGCTCCACATTGGCTGTCTGTGTTAGATCGAAAGCCACCAACAATGCCGATGATCCAAGAGAGTGAACGCCCGATCAAATTACAGATCGATGGAGGAAGCGCGTAGCTAGACAGCGACGTTTCTATGAGATGAGACACTTCGAAACCATCCCCAACTCCAGCTTCTATCTCACTGATGCCGATCGCCACAGAATCAGGCATAGGAAGAGGGGGGGAGGGGGGTTGACAGCCACAACACCCTACACCACCGGCTCCTGAGTGAGATAGACGAGACAGAACCGCCTTGTTATTCGTTCATAGCCCGAGTCAGTCAGCGTGACTTTGGCAGCTTGGAGGCGCTCCCCCTCGCCACAGCCTTTGCCCGAGTCTGAGGCAACTCTACCGCTTGACCACTACCATCGTTAGAATCACTCCCATGACCCTCCTGCGTCCCTTCCTCCTCCTCCTCCTCCTCTTCCTCCTCCTCTTCCTCCTCCTCTTCCTCCTCCTCTTCCTCCTCCTCCTCATCATCATCATCGCTCTCATCAAAACCCTGCATCCCCTCCTCTCCCAAATTCTCCCCCCTTCTAGGCATGCAATCTCTGCCACTTTGCCCTTTGGTCACCGCCCTCTGATCTAAACCTTTTCCATACTCGACCCCTTTCGCATCCGGAACCAATGTATTCCTCAAACTCTCGATCCAACTTTTCCTTCTTTTCTCCCTTGCCGTCATCTCGTCTGGATGGCTCTCTTGCTCGTCTAAGCGCTGGTGGGTGGTGGCGAGATGTGGAACACTCGCTTCGGTATGATGTGTTGGATCTGCAGCAGCTGTTGGATGAGATTTCTTGCGTAGAGCCGAGAGTTTGACACTTGAAAATATGCCACCTTTGTCAACACCATCTGCGTCGACCTCCCGTTGGTGAATGAGTTTCTGTCGATAAGGAAGCGGAAGATCACGTAGGATCTTAAAGCTGTCCGTATTGCCAATCTGTTCATTCTCTACACGAAGATTGTTCCAACATACCCTCCTACCCATTTCCACCAATGCTGCTAGAAAGGATCGTAAGGTTACACTTGCTCTTCCTGGAATGAGGTATATCACCCATATGCTCCTTCCCACCACATCAATCACTATGGATACATAATACACTGGTAGAGGGAAGGAAATTTCGTTTCGGAGGAGCAAGTGTTTTGCCCGAGGTTTGACAAGAGACCAATCCATCAACAAATCCCAGGCAATGTGCCAGAGTGAATAGATTGTTGCGAACAAGATCCACAAAGCCTGATCCACTCCAGCATTCGAGCCCTTACGGCGGTAATGCAGGTAGAAAAAGTTGTTGAGGATCGCAGAGCAGTACTTGCCGGCGTTTACAAGGTGTAGGTGGGTACGATATTCGCTATCCATCCAACGACGAATGCATTGTCCCAAACGCAGGACCGCGGGCATGGAAAGAAGAACAGAGGTCCAATAGGTCTTGTTGGGCCAACATCGATCGGGGTGAGCCCAATTGTGGTGGTATTCGCAACCGATATACCAAAAGTTGCTGATCGACCATGCGACTGAGTTCAGCTCGTCTCCTAGAAAGAAGTCTCGGAATTGGACCCTCTTACACCCAGCGGTCAAGACCCGAAAGAGGGATCTTGTGAACCACCACCTACCAGCGGGCATCCATATCGGCAGAGGGTTCAGCATGACAACGGCTGCAATGACCAACCATACTGTCGGCCAAGTCGTCGGGTATATAGCATCGGGAAACGGATTCACAAAGCTCACCCAAAAGCAGCATGACAACAAGAGCATAAGCAGCGCAGGGATTTCAAAAAACTGCCTATGATCCATGGTCGACCTCACATCCCATTCGAATATGAAGACCGTATTGATCCTCACTGCATGCCACCAAGCCAGATTCAATCCAAAGCCCAAAGCAAAAAGGGTGGGGATGAACTCTGCTCCATACACCCTCAACATCGCTGCCCACTGCGGCACTCTTCTCTGAGTCTCAGGCTTCATCGCCTCCACTAAGCCCGCTACAAGGGCACAGAGTGATATGCCAAGGTAGAAGCCACTGCGAAAGACGCTATAGTGATGGGTAGTATGATCTTCCCTAGCCCTGAGCCGATCGAGCGCCTGTTTACGGTTTCCATGTTCGAAATAGGCCGTGTAGATATCTTCAGTTGCACGACGAAGTTTTTCGATGCGATCCGAAGTGACGAGGATGGTGGGTGCCACTTTCTCACGATAGTAGAGGTCTGAGCAGGCAACGTTGACCGTTTTGCTGAACTTTTTCATGACTTTGGCAAAGCCGGTTCTATTGAGGATCTTGTAGTTGGTAAGGGTGTCGAGGAATCTATAGTACTCTAGAACGGCTGCTTTGAGCTTTTTGCGAGCAGCAGCGTATGCTTCCGGGTCGTGAGACATAGCAGCTGCTTTATTAGCCTCTCTAATCGCTGAATCCGTCTCGTCATCCCATCCACGCAAACTAGCTTGCATTGCTGCGAGAGCCAGTGTTCTTCTTCTGTCGCCTGCATCATCATCACTATCCTGCTGCTGCCGTTCGATGGAGAACCTCGGATGTTGACCGGCTGGTGTCTGCTTGCCTTTTAAACCGGGCAGAAATTTGAACCGATCCACAACTTCCTCGGTCAACAACTGCTTTCCTGCAATACTCGACAAGAGTTGCGAAAGCCTATTCTTGCGAGCCGAATTCAAGGGAGGATGGTGATCAGAAATGCTATACTTGGCACGATGCTCGCGCCGATGTTCAGCGAGTTCTTGGAGTTGGCGTGCCAGTTGGGTGAATTGTTTCGCTGCGGAAGCTTCTTGCGCTTCATAGAAAGCGACGATTCGTTCGAGTTCTGCATCGCACGCCGAAAAGAGTTTCGATTCTTGGCTATCGAAATGGGTCGAGATGAGTTCGGAGAGCGTGGACGCCGGTGCTTCAGCGCGCAAGGAACGAGTGGAGGAGGTTGTGCGGGGAACAAGTTGTCGTTTGCTCGAGGTGCTGGATGTAGTGGCTTTGCGAGAAGGGCCTACTGCGGCGGTAAAGGATGGAGGAGAGGAGGGGTCTGCATTGAGGTCATATCGGGCTTCAGTGCGAGGAGGGGATGTGGCTTCGAGCGGTTGCTGCTCTGATGTACTGGCTTTCGTATCTGCAGAGTAACTTGCTTGCGCTTCAAGATCTTGCGTTCCGCCTGTTTCGTCGGCGTCCTCCTGACCAAAATGATCCGATGAAAGCCTAAGCCCTGTTCCGGCCAAGCTCACTGGCGGAAGCTCTGGTAGCGCTGGAGCCGGGCCATGTGTTCCACCGTAGTCATTGCGCCGCAGATAGCCTGCACTGGAAGCAAGAGTGTCTTGTGCCTCTCGATCTGATGCGACTACCCTACGTCTGCGTGCAGCATTGGCGCTAGAACCAGCAACAGCAGTAGAAGAAGAGCCAGAACGGGCGCGAGCAAGGCCAAGCTCAGCTTCGAGTCGTAGGCGTGCTTCGCGATGCTCTGCGACACGCTTGATGAGTTTCTTGAGACCACGGTACTGGATGTATACCTTTTTCCATTCAGGCACTGTGTTTCCGCCTAGGTAGCGGGCGAACTTCATGGTGGGCAACAGTCCAGACAGAGTTCCGAGGCTTTGAAGCTCTTATTGGGGTCAACAGAGAGAAAAGCGGGTTGTCGTGGTCAAGGAGACATGATATCGTGTTGGAGTCCAGTGCTTCGATGAAAGAGGTTTGGAGGGACCGGAGGAATCAATGCTGGTGCGCGTGCTAGCTGGCGGGGCAATCCTACAGACGGACTATCTATCGTTGCAAGTGGAGCAAAGGCGATTCGAGCCGCCTGGCGGGTTATAGGATGGAGTGATCAAGGTGATGAGGAGAAGCTCAATGGATGCACAAAGAGAGTCGACGATTTCAATTACCGTTACACAACCCAAACCAAAAGCATTAAAAAGTCGCACAAAAAAGCGCTAAAAAAAAGGAGGCCAAAAAAGGGGGCCAAAAAAAGGGCCCAAAAAAGGTGCTGATGTTTTCGAAACAATGTTACATCGTATACACCAACAGTCCGGCAACTTGGGGCCCATGGTCTGTGCGTTTGATTGACAGCGTGTGGAGAAGCGAGTTGAGGGAGATGCATCGGCACTCCAACGAGATTCACAGGGTCCGCAGAGCGTTACAGAGCCCATGGAAGATAAGCAAGTCATCGATGAGATAAAGACACCTATAGGTGGTGACACATGTGGGATGCATAAGCATTGTCACACTAACATGCAGGAAGTGACAATGCAGGAGTGACACAAGGAGCAGCTCATCACTGGCTAACACATGTGGAAGAGATTGCCAAGCATATATAGATGACAATGTACATAGAAGCTAGTAGATAGAATTAACAACACAAACAAAAAAATGAAATTCCTCAACTGATTAAGAGTCTGAAGCTCAGCAGCTTCAAGGCACTTTGCCATCAAGATGCCACCCAGAGTAGACAGCATAGCCCTACTTGAACACACCATGCAAGTGATCAGAGAGGTTCACACTGACTGGAACAAAGACCAAATCCTGGAGCATGCCTTTTCTATGATGAACCTCCAACCAAACACCAGCCAAGTCGAAAAGATTCCAAAGTCAGTACTCAGCATTGTATCACAGATCGTCAAGCTCAACAAGAACAACTGGGCCATCTGGGAGCCCATGTTTATGGACTGCATATGGCCCATCAAGAATGCAAAGCAGATCCTTACCAGGGAAATATCTAGCAACCACATGGACTACAATGAAGAACTAAATAGTCACCTGTTAGGCCTCATCCTGTCATCATGCAATCACAGTCCTGAAAGCAGTATTCATACATACACCATCCGAGAACAAGGTGAAGAAGAGCAACTTGGCTCTACACTGTACAAGAAGCTCAAAACAGCACTCACAATCAATGACGAAGTTAAACTCTCTGCCATTCACAACTGAGTGCATGAGATCAAGTTAGTCCACCAAAATGTCATCAACCTTGGAAAGGAACTAGATCGAATTTGGAATGATGCTGCGAGGCTGGGCAGTCACATGGATGAAAAGCTCAAGAAGTCCACCCTCTACCACTGCATCAAGGATGACTGGCTATACACCCAAACTGTAGATTCCCTCAAGGCTGCTCAACCCGGTTGCAACTACAAATATGCATACCATGCACTAGCCAAGAAGCACCAAGAAGCTGAGCTCTCAGGTTGTATCTGAGCTGCAGCCAGAGTTACGAGCAATAGAAGTTCAACAGGCCAAGCTGGCAAGCATAGACAGGTTCTCAACCAAGAGGGCTACAATAGGGGTAGGCATGACCCTGCAAACCCTAATGAACCAGCCAAGTGCTATAAGTGTAGGCAACCCAGGCACATCACAATCAATTGCACCAGCAGTCAGGAGTGAACTCCTACTCAGCAGGGATAGGGACTCGGGTGCACCCTTTTCGTAAGCAACACTGGTGTCACGGGAGCCGGTCGGCCGAAATGGAGTCTGTGCCATCTGCACAGACAGAGAGGTTAAATCGGTTGAAGGGCAGTGTAAGAACCTGACTCAGCAGTTCCCAAGGAGATCCAGTAGGAGACTGTAACTTGCTGGACATCGGGGACTACTGGCGGCAGGAACAGATAGGAGGGTTGTTGAGTAACACCACTCTGTGGTGCACATGGAGGTCATTGTCGTCGATCGACGATGATCAGACATGTGATGAATTGCTAGGGAACAATCACTCTGGAAGTGTGGTTGGTTTGGCAGCTTGGGAAGGTGCTGAAGTCAGCCTTACCAAGCAAGCCCTGAGTGGTGCCACATGCAGGTTGTGTGGTGGCGCTAGATCGTGTCCTTGATGCAGCATGGTATATATACTATCTCCCCATGCTATTCGATGAGCAGGGACTCATCCACTCTACAACAGAAAACCTTCACAGTTATCATAGCTGTACATTCTACTACATGGACAGTAACCTTCTTTCTACGTCACACAACACAATATCATCTATTGCGACCATTACAAGTCTGAGCCTTCGTCATCGAATGAAGAGTATTGTAAATGACGTCATCGACAACTACATCGGCGCTGTAGCACCTCCACTACAGGTGGAACCTCCACCGTGGGCCTGGAACCCCCACCAGTCCCTATAGCGACCGCTGACAATTCAATGGCTGAGCACTAGCTCCGTCACTCGCAGTACTATGCCGACGTCTTGACACTTGTGCCGGGGTTGTACTACTCCATCGCTAGGAGCTGACCTTGCTGCATTACCTCTGTACAGAGTGCCGACAGCAGTCAGTTGACATCCATTCCTTGGGCCTCACTCATTGGGTATCATGGATAACCGTTCAAGAGAACTTCCTCACTGGTTCTCCAGGAAGTACACTCAGGCTACCCTCTCTATTGGGACTCACTGAGTTCCGCTGAGACGGCCCATTCTGCAGAGAGTCAGGTGTTAGGCACACGACCGCTGACAACTGGCAACCATAACCAAAACAGTACATGGATTGCCAACTCTGGAGCTACACATCACATGGTACATGATGAGGATAAGCTCATTGCTCCAACGCTGAAGCAAGGATCCATAGACACTGCAGGGCATGAATGGTTGCAAGTGCAGGCAATAGGAGATGCAACCTTGCAAGTTGGAGACATTAAAATACCCCTCACAGATGTACTTTATGTTCCTGACCTTAGCAAGAATCTATTGTCTGTTCCAGCATTAACTGAAGATGGTGCACAAGTGATATTTGAAGAATCTGGAGCTACAATACTCCAACATGACAGAAGCATGGTTAAGAGTAAGACCAACCAACGCCAGAAAAGATGGGAAGTTCATGCCGACTCCCTAGTGGCACAGCTCAATGACCCCCTTGAGGGCATTGATGATAACATGACACCAGCAAGGCCTGCAAGCCACACGACAAGCAAACTATGGCACAAACAATTCGGCCATCCCAGCAGAAATAAAACCCAGCAAATCCAAGCTCACTACCTAGGAAGAGAAACACAGCTTGAGCACAACTCAAAAGACTGCAATAGTTGCAGTCAGGCAAAGCAAACACATGCAAGAATGGCAAGCAGCAAGACAGAATGAGTGCAAGCACCATTAGAATTAATACACATTGACCTAATGACAGATCTACAAGGCCACCCCAACTATCATCATGTGCTAGTAGTTGTAGACAATGCCTCATCATATGTATTTGTGAGACCGCTCCTCAGCAAAGCAGAAGCGTTCCCCACCTTAAAAGCATGGATCAAAAGGGCAGAGGTAATGATGGACTGCATGCTAAAGTGCATCTGCAGCAACAATGGAACGGAATGGTCAAGCTTGGCAGCAGAGGAATGGAAGAAGGAGGCAGGGTTTAAATGGCAGAAAACAACCCCATATGTCAGCATGCAAAATGGAAGAGCAGAACGCACCATCAGATCGCTACAAGAAAAGATGCAAGCAATGCTCATCCAAAGATTGGTGCCAAAGGGTTTATGGCCCTATGCCATCATGGCTGCTGGACATGTACTTAACTTGACACCATCAGCAAATGCTAACAGAATTCCATATGAAGACTTTCATCATACAATGGCTCACGGCTTGGCAAAACAATTGCATGTCTTTGGCTGTCTCGTGTGGGTTCACCTCCCAAGGAAAGATCATGCAGGCAAGCACAGTGCGAGAGCCATACCAGGAATCATGATCAGTTATGACGACGAGCACAAGGGATGGAAATTCCACACTCCAGAACACACACCATCTATCCGATGGAGTAACTCAGCTACATTTCATGAAGATAAAGGCTGGCATGATCGACCCAAAGAAAGGAGCCCACTGCAAATTGGATTTGAAAATCTAGAGGCAGAGAGTACCAGATCAGAGACCATCGACCATGAACCCATACTAGAGCCAGAGGAGATCAACATACAAGACATTCTCAGGGAGGCCAATACAACCACCATGAACCTTACACCAACTTTGAGGGAAGCACTTGACAGTGACGAGGCACAGCAATGGCAAGAAGCCATATGCAAGGAGTTAGATGGGCTCGAAGCCATGGGGACTTGGGAAATTGTGGACATACCACCAAACACCAAACTCGTCAACTCTAAGATCGTCCTCCATCTCAAGCTGGATGCCGATGGGGTACCTGTCCGACATAAAGCAAGACTTGTAGCACGAGGATTCACACAACGAGAGGGTATAGACTTCGAAGAAACTTTTGCACCGGTGGCACCACTCAGTGCGATAAGAGCCCTGTTGTCACTGGCAGTGGAGCGGGACTGGGAGGTCCATCAACTTGACATCACGATGGCCTACCTCAACTCCACACTCAAGCACGTCATCTATATGAAACCGCCGGAAGGAGCAAAGGTACCAAAAGGAAAAGCTTATTGGGTAGTAAAAGGGCTATACAGACTCAAGCAATCAGGACAGGAGTGGAACATGGAGTTCGATAAGTTCCTGCAGTGCTCAAACTTCCATAGGCTCAATTGCACACCATGTATCTACACCAGAGGAAAGGAGGACAACTTTGCAATAGTGGTTATCTATGTTGACAATACATTAATTATATCTCCAAAACTGTCAACAGTCAAGCAAATTAAGAGGGAGATAGGCAAGAAGTGGAAAATGGAGGAGGGCAGCAATGTATCCCATTTTCTTGGGATCAAGATCTCCAGAGACTGCAAGGCAAAGACTATGGACCTCATGCAAACCAGCTATGTCAAGCAGCTATTAAACGAGCATTTAGATAAACGTAGAAGGAAATCCAGCATACCACTCCAGGACATCCCAATACCAGAGATGACAGCAAGCATAGCCAAGCAGATGGAATACCCACAAATCATTGGCAAACTCCTATGGCTTTCAAACAGAACATGTCCGGACATCAGCCAAGCCATGGGTGTCCTTGCATGCTACATGACACAACCATCGAAGGAACATTACAACGCAGCACAGAGAGTGCTCCAATACTTGGACTGCACCCAGGACATCCACTTGCAATATGGTAGCAACAAGCAACAAGATTTTCTGGTAGTGCATAGTGACATGAACTGGGCAAGTGACACCACAGCACAATGTAAGAGCTCGTCAGGGTCAGCAGTTTTCATACATGGAAATCTGGTAGCATGGAAGTCTGCACTACAGCACTGCACTGCCTTATCGGCAGTAGAAGCAGAATCCGTAGCAGCAACTGAGGCCACACGAGAAATTCTCTTCTTTGGACACCTCTTCAAGGCCATTGGGGTTGACATTGGTACCCCCATAATTTTCTCAGACAACACAGGCACCATCCAAGTAAGCAAAGACCCCACACAACATTGGAAGTTGAAGCATATCGACACCAAATACCATTTCATAAGAGACAACATACAAGATGGAAAGGTCAAAATCAAGTACATCGGCACTGAAGATAACTTAGCAGATATCTTTACCAAACCAGTGGGCAAGGAGGCATTGCAATGCACACAACGAGGGTTAGGACTAACACCACAGCAAGGTACAGCAGCTCAGCAGCCAACTGCCTCGCCGCTGAGGGAGACAGTTGAGGGAGACACATCAGCACTCCAACGAGATTCACAGGGTCCACGGAGCATTATGGAGCCCATGGAAGATAAGCAAGTCATCGATGAGATAAAGACACCTATAGGTGGTGACACATGTGGGATGCATAAGCATTGTCACACTAACATGCAGGAAGTGACAATGCAGGAGTGACACAACAAGTGGCTCAACACAGGCTAGCACATGTGGAAGAGATTACCAAGCATATATAGATGACAATGTACATAGAAGCTAGTAGATAGAATTAACAACACAAACAAAAAACGAAATTCCTCAACTAAGCGACACCTTGCTCTTGCACCAACACCACCACCGTCCCTTCCCCCCCCATCACAGAACACACACACACACACACACACACATACTGTCGCCTGCCTCTACGGCAAGCACAGTGACGAACACCTCTGCCGCCATGTCTCGGTCGCTCCGTACGCGTCCCATGACGCTATACGCACAAGAGGGCCAGCAACCAGTCATCCCACCCGTCCCTACCGCTTCCTCCTCCTCATCGACATATCCCAAGGATGCCTCCTCCTCGCAACAGCAAAACAGTTTACGCTACGGTGCATACGCAGCCTCTGGGCCCGCCGAGAGCAGTGGCAAGCATGGCACGAGTAAAGTCCTCAAAAAGTCCAAAAAGAACGCTTCTGAGGTAGGCAGCAATCTCAAAAAGCGTCTCTCTATGCGCTATGCCGAACCTACACAACTTGGTCCCGGTGGATTCTCCGCTATCCCTGCCCTCCCTTCCCTCCCACCGATGCCTGAGATTCATATCGATGATCAACCACACCATGACACCGACAAGCGCTATCTACCGGCTATTGGAGAGAGTTCGAAGGACGCAGCTTATGATGCAGACGAGAAGGAGCTAGAAGCGATGCGCAAGAGCTGCGAAACAACGCGTACTCGCACTGATGTCTTCCAAGGGGACCCTGCAGTAGATGTTCAGCTGCTAAGCGCATCGGAATTTGATCCTCAGGCATACCTCAGGGCTAAATTAAGCCATCATACAGAATCAAGTCTGCGAGCATTCAAGAGCTCGCTTGCCGCAGCCAAAGATGCTGCTAATGACGATCTCAAAAAGCAAGTGTTCAAGAACTATGGCGAATTCATTACGATCAGCAAAGAAATTGCGACGTTGGAAAACGATATGTTGGAACTCAAAGAATTGCTTTCGGAATGGAAGCAACTTCCTCAAGCACTCGAGCTCGATGACTCTTCCAGCACTTGTTCCTTCTCCGACTCTTTCTCTCGCCCAAAAGCATCCACTAAAGCCAACAGAACTAGTACAATTGATTTGCAACAAATCTACCGTGCCCAAATCACTTCTCTATGGGAAGGCATCGAGGGATCGCAAAAGTTCCTACCCTATATTCCAGGTCGACATCTCATAGCTGAAGCTTCTAGCTTTACCGAACTCAACGCTGCTACCTACAAACCTCAGCAGTCTGTTGCGCTATTCTTGCTGGATGACCTATTGTTGATTGCAACCAGGAGAAAGAGGCAGATGAGTAGTAAAGTGCGGTTGGTAGCGGAGAGGTGTTTTAGTTTGGCAGAGATCCTGGTGATTGATTTGAAAGATGGCGGAGATTTGACCAATGCGATCAAGATCAAGCGTGGTAGGCAGAGTTTTGTCTATAGAACGGATAGGGGCGAGGATAAAAGGGCATTGTTGAATGCCTTTAGGCGCGTAGCCGAGGAGTTGGCCAAGAAGAGAAGGGATGAGAGTGAGTTTGGCGCCGAGAAAAGGAGGGAGAGTACCTTGTTGTCTTCTCCGGGTCAATTGGATGCCTTGACTATCGGCGCGAGTGGAGGTGGAAGGGGTAAGGCCTTAGATGGCGGATTGTTGACTCCTATCGGTGAAGATGGGCCAGAGGATCGTGGAGGCCTCATGGCGGCGGCAGCAGCCTCGGCGGCCTCAGAACGGAAAGATCCGGGAAGATGGAACAATGATTTCTCGGACGAGCTGAGCGTTTGCATCGCCTTGAGGGAATGGGATCAAGCAGTCAGCCTCATCGAAAAAGGACGGGCGGTACTTTCCACCTATCCTTCCCCATCCTCTCGCTCTCCTTCTTATATCGATCTCTCATCTAAACTCTCCACTCGTACGTCAGAGTTGATTGCGGCGATCTCATCCGACTTGCACCGCTCCAATCTGAAAAAATCCTCGGTCGTTCGCAATGCATCCTACCTCCTGCGTCTAGATCAAGGTGAAAAAGCACGAGAGCTCTTCCTCGACGCACGTACCCAACTTCTCAACAAGCGTACACGACAGATCAAGTTCGAAGGAGATACAGGTTTGTATATCAGCGAACTGGGCATCGTCTTTTTTACACTGATTAAGAATACGAGCGAATGGTATATGTCGGCCTTCAAGGATGGTAGGATGGCGAGCGGGTTTGTAGAGTGGGCTTGCGAGAGGGTGGAGGAGTTTGCTGAGTTGTTTCGGAGGCAGGTTTATACGAGTAATAGTGGTGCGGAGGAGCAAGAGGAGGCGCAAGCCTTGGTGAGCGAGGTCAAGGAGATCAGTTTCAGGTTGGCAAGTCAGCTGAAGGAGGTCGGATTGGATTTTTCTTTCCTGTTGGAGCAACTACTCCAGGCTGAGCCGGGCAAAGTCAGTCCAGAAGAGGTGCAGAAAGCGGCGGGAACGAGAGGAGATGGAGGAGGAGGAGGTGAAGGAGGAGGAGGAGGGGGGATCGTCATTCCGAAAGTGGTGTTGACTAGGTCGAGTAGGATTGGAATGGAGGCTGAGATGGGCAAGGAAAGGGAAGGAAGGAGAGCGCAAGTGACGTCGGCACAGGAGTTGAGGCGGCAGAGTGTCATGCATCCTTCTTAGCCTAGCATAGAGGATTACAGTTAGAATTGCAGTGACACTCGTCTTGGAAGCAAAGTCTGTCGCACATTGACACACAGCCAGACGCACTTGCTGGCTATCACAAAAGCCGTTTTGGTTGCTAATCATACAAAAGCCGCTTGTCCTTGGTGAGAGGTAAGGATCAAGCAGGAGCAATCTTGGGCTTACCTGGAACGACAATCTCTCCCTCGACCGCTCTTGCCTCGATGCCAATCCTGGGTAAGATGTGATGGTACCTTTCTGGGCTCTTTCTCTTCAAATACTTCAAGATCTTTACCCTTTGGTGGGTTAGAAGAGTCATGCTCCTCCTGTTCGAGTTATCGTGTTTGTTAGCCTGCATATGCTCGTGCAGGTTTCTAATCCTATATGTCAGCACAGCAGCCTGAACCTCTGGCGATCCAGTATCCGAACCTTTACCAAAATGCGAGATGATCCTTCTGATGTTTTCCACCTGGATACCTTTGCCGGAGGCGTTGCGGAGGTCGAGGATTCGAGCCAGGTTTTCTTCGTTGGCTTTTTCCTCGGATTGAACTTTCGAGTATTCGGATTGGAAGGCTTCTAGATCGGCTTGATTTACAGTACCCCTAATCAACGCTCCGAGGTTCGAGGAGTCAAGGATGCGATCTTTGACCATCACTTGGGGCAGGTCTTGGAAAAGGAGCTGACGGTCTTGGCGGTCCAAACCAAAGTTGAGCCGTCCTGGACCTCCGAGTGTAGCTGCATCTTCGGCTGAGGCGGAGTCGAATGCATTTTTGGAGGGAGAAGCAGCATTTGGAGGCGAGAGGGAGACGAGGTTTCCACGACGATCTTCTTTGACACCCCAGATGGTTTCTTTGTTGAGGATGATGGATGCCAGTTCGGATTGCTCCCATGTTTTTGGGTTTGTGGCTTGATGACCGAGGACAACGTCGGGTTTGGAAAATTCGAGCATGCGGACTTTGAGGAAGCGCTGTTCGAGGTTGGCCTTGCGTTTCAAGCGAGCCGTACGCTTCTTGCGCGATTCGGAGAGGAACGGGGTTGTGGAGAAGCTAGCGGAGGGTGCGAGACTGTACGAAGTTGATGGAAGAGCAGAGGCGAGAGAGGTGAGGTTGATTGCGCTGGATCGCGTAAGGCATCGCGAGCAAGAGGCTGTGATCCCCGTCATGGTAGCTTGTGGTAAGCAGGTCGGGTTGAGAAGGTGATGTAGGTGATGTAGGTGACGATGATATGATGGTGAGCAAGGAAGGATCGAGATCAGCTTGGAAGAGCGTTTGTCTGCCTTTGACCTTTTTCTCTTTGCACAAGCTCTCGATTGTTCTTCTCGCACGATACAAAATTCTCGCACGATAAAACGTCTCGCACGATAGAATTGCCTTGTCTGACCCGCCCTCGATCATACTGAAAGAAAGAAAAAAAAAATGAAAAAATGAAAAAATGAAAACAAAAATGCCACTTTTTCTTGGAGAAATGCAGAGTATATATATAGGCTCTGCTCGCTCGTGCAACCTCTTCCTTCTTCTCTTCGATCAAAAACTAGTGTACGTAGCCGACCGACACCTTTTGGACCGCTCGCAACGATCTTGTTTGCATCTGCAACAGCATCACTGACTCGCTCCTACGCTCTCTCTCTTCTCATCTCATGCGCCAACACAGCTGCCAGCCACACCCACTCGCGACTGCCTTGGTAACACAAGGTGCTTGGCGAGCTTCTATTCGGGTGCCAGGGCTTTTCATTCTTACGAGGACGAGGAGCCGTGGTGGACGAGATCGTTGTGATATCCCAGAACGCTATAGGAATCTGTCGTCACCGTGTACCAGATGGTACGATGGAGCCAAACTGTTCTGGGACATTTTACCCTTTGCCTCTCATTCCTTTCTCCTTTCTCTTTTCCTGTCCTTGACCTCCTTGTTGTTCCCCGGATCTTGTTTCAGTATTGATCTCCAAACAAGCATTTTGCCTGATTCAAACAGCAAGATAGACGGTGCGTAGGCATTCCATTGAGATCAACGAGGCTGTTGTCTTGACTTGGTCGTCTCGTTTGCCGGTTTCAAGTTGGGTTTGGCAGGCAGCGATGCCTTTCCAGTACCACTCGGCATTGAGCTCGACGGTGCTGCGGTTGGCGGAGCTTTCGCTTGTCGCATCTTGGCCAACTTTGCTTCCATGGCGGCGATCTTGGCATCAGTCCTGTTCGGTAGCAAAGCGATGAGTAAGCCGGTCAGTTGCGTGCGTGCGTTGCATTTCCCCTCACTGTCCCTTGGTGTGTAGCTACTTACCCATGCCGCTGTTTCGCCTGTCTACTGATCTTGATCGTCTCGTTCTCTGCTCCTGCTCTCCGATCTCTTCGTTGCGGGCCTACTGCTCCACTCGCAGCGCCGCTCTCATCATTTTTGCTCGCAAACTTGACCGAGATCTTCCTACCTCTGAGCGTCTTGTCATGTGCCCCTACCACCGCTTCTAAAGCTTCCTGGGCTGAGGCATATTCAACAAAAGCATAGCCACGAGCTTGTCCACGTTGTGGTCCAGACTTGTGGAAGAGGAAGTCAAGTTTTGAGATTTTGCCGAACTTCGAAAAGGTAGAGATGAGAGTGTACTCGTCTACTGTTGCGTGTAGGTTGCCTATGTAGAGACGGCTTTCGTGCTTGCCGGCCGTCTTAGACGAGGTTGGAGTGCAAGCTGAAGGTGCCGAGCAAGACGTGGTTGGTCGGGTCAGGTACGTGTTTGCGTTTGCATTTGCGTTTGCTCTTGAGCCCGAGAGAGACTCGAAGCTTGTCAGTGGCGGGGTGTTGTCCGCCGTGGTGTGCATGTGGATTGTGTGATGAGCGTTGCTCGTTGAGCTGGACCGGCGATGGTCATGATGGAGGTAGGTGAGCAAGATCAAGATGCGATATCCGCGCAATTTGGTGGCGAGGAAAGCAGAATTCCAAACCTTGGAAGTTTTGTCGGCCTAACAAACTCACACGCTTTGCAAAAATAACCAACACTTGTTGAAAAGTGAACAAGTTTTGGTCCCGATAACTGGCGATCGGGGAGAGTCTAAGTACGATGTCACTGCTGGTTTAGACAGAAACATGTATACTCCATTGACTAAAGTGAACATGGCGAGAAGCTAGAGTTCTCGGCCAAATATTGCTGAAAATGATGATCCAACGAGGCGGTGAAGAATGACGTGGAGCCAATCTGATCAAAGATCAGATAGGGCCAATTCACTTGAATTACCAATCCAATGGAAGATTAAGCCAAGTCAATCTAAGCAGAGATCAGGTGCAACACTGTCCCACTCATTGTCATGACAGATCATGAGATAGTAGTAATCCCACACTAGGCAAGTGCCACTCACATGTATATATACTTCATGGAGAGCACTAGGCTCTCACTGTGTTCACCAGTCAATTGAGTATATTTGTTTCTGTCTATAAACTAGCAGTGACATCATACTTAGACTCTCCCTGATTGCCAGTATCAGGACCCAAACATCTTCAAACTTCAACTTTCATCAGGTTATGAGCCCAATAAGCTGATATACTATCATTGCACTATCAGTAACATCAACAAAAGGTTTTGCCACTGATATGTCAGATCTGAACTATTTGAACTATGAAGACTTCATCAAAGCCATACAGAATCTTCTGCCATGATTGCCAAAGATCCTCCAAAACTGGTTCAATCAGGAAATCACAAACACTACCTATGGCACTCCTACTGCCCCAAAAGACAGCCTACTACTGAGGTTTGCCATGGAAGAAGGTACCAGGGAGCAAATCATCTCACCTCTATCCATCCTGATCAAGTGTACCAGTAACCTCTATCAAGCAATGCACAGCCTTGGTCCATTGTCATCATAACCGAAGCATTGATATTGATCGTGCCGAGCTACCCCTGAACGGAGTGTCCACAGAGGTCAGCCAAAACCTACGATAGTATATACAATGAACACCACCTGCTGTCACTGCACAACTTGATAGTCACCGATACCGAGACAATAGCTGTCGCACAGTTTGATAGTCACTGAGTATCTCGACAGACCGACCTGGGTTTCAGGCACGAGACCCCTGACACTTCAGTCCTCAGAAGCAACAATGGGAACAAATGATCTACAAAGACTGTTTGCTTGTACCTGGCCTTGTGACAAACCTTATTGGCACAAAATTGGTGACACATGCACAAGGAAAAGTGACTTTTGAGAAAGAAGTCATAACAGTACAGGATAAGGACAGACATGCAGTTGGTGTGCCAACAAGTGGAGATGGTTACCCTGCCATTGCCATGATGATATGGGATGACAGCATGCCAGAGCCCACTGTTTCCCTCACTTTCACATCCAGGATGGTGAATGCAACCCACTCCTACAGAATGTGTAATAAAGCAAACCTCTGGCACCAGCAATTGGGCCATGCCAGTCATGATGCCATCATGTGGACATGTACAGTGACCCTTTCACATGATATCCCATTGAATGCTGCCACTGAGCCTGAAACACCATGTGACATATGTGTGCATAGCAAAGCAACAGCAAAGAACACCGCTCACCCCAGGCGATTAGGGACACCACTTGAGTTAGTTTCAATGGATGTAATGGGCCCACTTCATGGCAATGTGAAATTTGTATACATACTCATCATACATGACACATTTTCAGGCATGATCTGGGTATGGGGTCTAACAAGCAAGAAGGAGGCATCTCAAGAAGCCACATGGTGGCTATCGGAGATGCACATCACCACACATAAGGAACTGTCAGAGGTGATCATTGACCAAGGAATCAAGGAGGTCTGGGTTGATCAAGGCAAGCTATGGTCAAAGGTCTTCCAAGACCTCTGCTCATCAATGGGTGTGAAGATAACAGCTTCACCCACCCAACATCATACTGACAATGCCTTCACTGAATGGGCCATCCAGACCATTCAGAAGATCATGCATAGCCTACTGTATGACTCCAGAATGGATGAGTGCTGGTGGCCCCATGCAATTGCACAGGCAGCATTCATTCACAACAGACTTGCAGGCAGTACTCATGGCAATGTGACTCCATATGAGCTCTTCTATACAGAACACCCAGAATTACATCACATATGGCATTTTGGTTGTGTGGCATATGACATACTCAGAGGGAGCACTCACTTGACATGGCTCTGAGATCATGCAGTTGTGAGTAAGCATCTCCACCCACGTGCTCTCCAGGGGAGGTATTTGGGTTTCTCCAATGCACCTTGTGCAATCAAAGGCCATAAGGTTTGGCTACCTGAGCTTGACCATGTCATCATTACCAGGGACATCTGTTTCTCGGAACTGGAACCATCGGACACAGCCATTCCTCCCCTACACACACCTGTCAACATCAGGGATCACAATCTCCTTCGATCTTACACCTGGCTCCCTCCCAATCCCACAACAAATGAGACAGATTTGGATGATGTTGTCCCTTCTTCACTAGAGCCATACTCTTGTCAATGACACTTGGCAACTCATGCAGAACCAGAAACCCTGAGCTTTGATCATGAGTGGGACCACATGATGACAGCCATCAAAGAGGCTGGGGAGATCATAATTGATCTCGATGCCATTGCCACCAATCTGAGAGCAGACCTGGATGCAATGACATCTGAAGGGGGGAACCATTTGCCAGACCTCACGAGCACTCTGAATAGTGAGCCCCTGCTCGAGACCCCTCGCAGTGATGCCATGGCAGAAATATATGATGATGTCTCCATACTTGAGACACCCCACACAGAGTTGCCCAGCCCCATCAACTACACAGCCTTCACCATGGCATGCTCTGATGAACAGGCACCCACCATCAGTGATCACCACTTAGATCGTATAGCATTTGCAACCACCATGATGGCTGGTGCCACTCTCATTGCAAGCAGACAGCAGATGCACAGTGCCAATGGCATCCTGCTAGAGCCACTCTCCCTCAATGAGGCCAAGACTTGCAATGACTGGTACAAATGGCAGGAAGCCATGGTCAGTGAGATGAACAGCATGTGCAAGATGAACATCTTTGAACTGGTCGACATTCTGAAGAATGGCAAACTAATCAGCATTTGATGGGTTTACAAACTCAAGCTCAATGCACAACGATGAGTGACAAGGTACAAAGCGTGACTTGTTGCACAAGGATATGCTCAATGTCAGGGTCTGGACTACGATCAGACATTCAGTCCGGTCGTCTGTCTGCAAACAGTCAGGATACTGCTCGCACACTCTTCATCGATCAAAGCGGGTACATCGAGGGTATCATAGTGAAGTTCAGAATGGACCAGGCTTGGGCAGCCTCGACACCAGTGATGGAGAATATCAACTCCCTCAAACCATGAGATGGGAGCATAGCAAGTGTGGAAGAGATACACCACTACACATCACTTGTAGGATCACTGCTGTGGATAGCTCAGGGCACAAGGCCAGACATCATGTTTGCAGTTGGCAGATGTGCATGGTTCATAGCAAACCCATCTGGAGAACACCTTGCATCTGCCAAGTGCATATTAAGGTATTTGAAAGGGATGACAGGAATTGGCCTCTCAACAAGGACATCAGGCAGTGAACCATTACTCTCAGGATGGGCAGACAGTGATTGGGCTGGATTGTGAGAATGTAGGAGGTTGACAACTGGTTATGTTTTCACAATTAATGGTTTCACATGCAGCTGGGCCTTGCAACTTCAACAGACAGTGGCAAACAGTTTGGTAGAAGCCAAATATGTAGCATTGGCAACAGCAGCCAGAGAACTATTATGGGCCTCGATGCTCTTGCAAGAACTGGATCAACCAGTGTTGAAGATGACAGGGATACATGTCAGTGCTGGAACATCAAATATCTATTCCCATGATGGAGAGCTGACCTTCAATCAAGACATACCAGTCCTACACAGCAACTCATCAGGCACTTGGGTTATAGTGAATGATCCTCAACACTTCAAGAGAACAAAGCATATCAACATAGCTCATTTCTTTCTACATGATGAAATCGCAAGCAAATGACTTGTGATTGCTCCTGTTCAGAGTTGTGAAAATCTGGCTGATGTCCTGATGAAGCCACTTGCTGTGCCAACACTCTCACACATCTGACAACTACTTGGATTGAACATTTCATTGGAGTATGTTGGATTGAGAGGGGGTGCTGAAAATGATGATCCAACGAGGTGGTGAAGAATGATGCAGAGCCAATCTGATTGAAGATCAGATAGGGCTGATTTGCTTGAATTACCAATCCAATGGAAGATTAAGCCAAGTCAATCTAAGGAGAGATTGGGTGCAACACTGTCCTGCTCATTGTCATGACAGATCATGAGATAGTAGTAATCCCACACTAGGCAAGTGCCACTCACATGTATATATACTTCATGGAGAGCACTCACTCACATGTATATATACTTCATGGAGAGCACTAGGCTCTCACTGTGTTCACCAGTCAATTGAGTATATTTGTTTCTGTCTATAAACTAGCAGTGACATCATACTTAGACTCTCCCTGATTGCCAGTATTGGGACCCAAACGTCTTCAAACTTCAACATTCATCAAATATATATACATCTCTGAGGCTGATAGCGAGTGTGGGTGCTATCTACTTAATGACGATGTCTGACAACGAGTGGGGACCAAGGTTGCATCCGATCCTTGGAGAGATCGTCTCTCCCTAATCCCCGATCAGATCTGCTTTGCCCGATCTCTCTCATATTGCCTTATGTCTGCTTACATCATCATGTTGGATTGTCTACTTTCAACAACACTTTGCTCCCTCTCGCCCCTCATCCAACCACCAATACCATCACAACCTATATCCAAGCTTTCTCCAGCTTGCTCCAGCTTGCTTTGCCAATAGTTCAATGTCGAGCCCTGTCGAGAGGCTTTCGAGCAACGATGGTGGGCGAGCTGGAGACAGCAGCACCTCTCTCAGCTCTCTACCATCGCGCTTAGCTCCGCCACCCACCATGAAACCCTCATCCTCTGCCGAGGTCCAGCTCGACCTCAGCTCAGCCTCTTCCGAACCACATGCCGCTGCTGCTGGCCCATCATCCTCTAGCACAATCCGACCAACGCCGCACGACACCTCTCGACCCAAATCAATCTTGCCTTCCAGCCTCCAGCCAGCCGCCGTCAGCCCTAAAGCTCGACCAAGGACCTCCATGGCCGAGTCCAGTCAGCTCTGGAAGACCAGTGCGGCAAAACGAGCAGAGAAAAGCTGGGCGCTGCAAACCGAGCGAGCACTGTATTCAGACGCCAAGTTCAAAAAGTACCTTTCCCTTGTCGAGAGGACGTTGGCTTCATTCGATAGCGTCAGCGAGTGGGCTGATTTCATCTCTTTCCTCGCAAGGCTGGGCAAAGCGATACACGCATATCCAACCTACAATGTCATCCCTCGCAAGTTGATCGTAGCCAAAAGGTTGGCACAATGCTTAAATCCCGCTTTGCCATCCGGTGTTCATCAGCGAGCACTGGATGTGTATCATCAAATTCTCAGCGTCATTGGGCCAGATGGCTTGCCGAGGGATTTGCAGGTCTGGACCAGTGGACTGCTGCCTTTCTTTCAGTATGCGTCGACATCAGTCAAACCGGCACTGTTGGCCATCTACGAATCCTTCTATCTGCCACTAGGACATGATTTGCGCCCACTGACGAAAGCGTTGCAGATGGCGCTCTTGCCAGGCTTGGAGGAAGAGACTAGCGAATACTACGAGAGAACGCTCAAGCTGCTAGATGGTATATCCCATGCTGTCACCCTGCCTTTCTTCCTCCAGAATCTCTGGCTGACGCTCATCACAACACCCTCGGTCAGGCTCGCGGCACTGAACTACTTGACACGCAGAATGCCAGCAGTGCAAGACGAGAAGGACCCAACGACGCTCGTCGGTAAAGATCTTGGCTTGATCGTTCGCGGTCTTGCCCATGCACTCGACGACAATCTGCTGCTCGTAAGGCGCAACACCCTCGAGATCCTCGTCACCCACCTTCAGATCGACAAACCGCTCTTTTCGACCTTCATCAAGCGGCCAGATCGCATCCTCCTCGTTCGTTCTGCGCTCAACGTCGTCCTTCGCAAAGACCTCTCGCTCAATCGTCGCCTGTATACTTGGCTTCTCGGTGCAGACGAGACTCCCGAGCGTCAGATCGCTTTCCTCAACAACAACGCACTCGACCTCGTCCGCAGCGCGCTCAACCAAGGTTTCCACGATGCCGACTTGGATACAGCAGATCGGCAGAAATCTTATCGAATCTTCATCTCGCTTCTTGACAAGTGGGAGATTGGACAGTCGTTGACGAGAGTGTTGGCGCTCGATGCTTTCCAAGCGATCAGCACCAAGGTGGCTAAAGGCCAGGAGGAGGATCTGATGACGACGGCAAAGATGCTGTTTGAGGTGGTTGATCCCTCTTTGCTCTATGGTCGCTTCCTTGAGGCCATCACGGAGCAATTCCAGGCAGAGAAGCAAGAGAGGGAGACAACAAAGGCAACAGAAGCGCATTCACCACTAGCGCTGCTCTGCTTCATCTTCAAAGCGTTTCATATTCACGATGACGAGACGAAGCAGATCCACGTTCCGCTGCTGTTTGCTGCTGTCTGTCAGCTCTTACAACAGCAATTGCAAAGTGGCCATGGGGACAAGGATGAGTCGGCCGTTCTGAGGGTGCTGGACGCGCTGGAGCTGCTGAAGCTCCTCGTCACGGTGATGCCTTCTCGCGTCTTTGTCCGCATCGCTTCCAGCGCAGCCGACGGCAAGGAAAAGACGCACGACTTGCTCCAACGAGCACGAAATTTCTACACCTCAAGCCAAACGGACAGCCAACAAGCAGCACGCAACTTTCTCAGCTTCCAAGATAGCGCTTCTGCTACAGCGCTTGTTCAACTCCTCGCAGATGTCTGTCTGCAAAGCGGTCGACAGGTCGGTAGTACCGCTACAGGAACCGAAACCTTTGTCCGCGCTCTGGACGTGTTCGCCGATGTCATGCGTGTCGCTGATGGGTCTGAAGCGCCTCAAGAGATTGCGCTCCTCCGTTCAACGCCCTCGCCTGATCAAGCCGTCGAAACGGACAAGTTGTCGTGGGACGCAACAGCATGGACTTGGCAGCTGCTTGCGCATCTTGACCGCATCTCAACCTTTGCAGAAGCGGAACGTATCGTCGAAGTCCTTATCTCATGCTGCATCTGTCGAGCACTTTCTCAACCTATCCGACTCGATCCTCCGCATATTCTCGATCGTATCGTCGCCTCCTTGCTGCGATATCTTGCACCTGCAATGTCGCCTTACCACGTTCGAGCAGTCGAGCTGCTTTGGGCTATACATAAAGTCACGCAGAGGTCTCGACTGGAGACCGCTATGACACAGCAGCTTAGTCGCGGTACCCACACCGCCCGCGCTGCAGGGCTGGTGGCGTTCGGTACCTTCTGGAGGCTGTCTGAGGACGTTTCGACCGACGAGCTAAGGACGCCGCTGTTGTTGGTCTTGGACAAGTTGCAGAGTCTCGACGCGCAAGAAAGACAGCAAGCCGAGGTATGGCTGAGGGCCAATCTGAGGTCCTACATCAAGGTCGTAGACCCGCTGCTGCACACGCTGGTGCAAAACAAACCTGCGGAGGTGCAATCGGCGACTGTGGATATAAACGGCATCATGGTTGGAATCACGCAGATCAACGAGCCTTTGAACGATCAACTGGTGTTGTGTTCATTGAGGACGCTGGCCGCTCTAGCAAGGTTTGGCGGGTCGAGCTTTGCCAAGTCTCTAGCGACGACCTCGCTCTCGGCATCCCTCAGTGGCGCGACCAAGCAGCTCATCCGAGCAGAAACCATCCAGGCCTCCGCGACGTACCTTGAGGTTCTGCTAGTCCAGTGCAGTCTCTGGATTGGAGCCTACCCTTCACCTCAGCTCAAAGCGGCGTGTGGATCTGCGTCAACCGCGTTACGAGCTGCCGCAGTGGAAGCTACGCTCTGCTTAATTCAGCGCAGTCCCTCGCCTCCCGAGCGCGCGGACGAGCTGGAGACACTTCTGATTGAGAATCTTCTGATCGCTGTCCACCAAGGTTGCACCACAGTGCAGAGCAAGATGCTGCACACCTTGCACACGGTGATTGCAGCCAAGACGAGTGCGTCGAGCTGCCCTGATCAGATGCAGCGTCGTTTCTCGAGCACCTCGCAATTGCCAGGTGTGCTTCATCAACGGGGAGATTCCACAGGCCGCAGTGAAGCGGACGGCAGCACCGTTTCGCCTCAGCTAACTGTCCAGACAAATGCTTCCACTGGCAAAAGATCGGCGCAGCAGAAGCAACCGCACCGTCTATTGCTGCCTTTGCTCCAGCGTGGATTGAGCACCCCTTCTAACAGGTTGATCCTGCAGCACTGGTCGGACTTCATTCTTATGACCGCGCCGCTGTATCGCAGTGCAGTGTACAACTTTCTGTTCCCGCTCAACCAAACTGTCTGCGACTTGCTCGGCAAGGCTATGGTGGAGGTGGGAGGGAGCTATGTTCCCGGAGCAAGCCGGCCTACATTTGGTGCGGAACTGGTGATTGAGTCGCACGATACGGAATGCTCGTTCCTCGAGTCGGATCTGTTGTTGCTCATCAACTTGGCGGAGCGGTCTTTGATGCTTGCGACTGGCAGCGGTGCCAGCGAACATGCTAATGTGGCAGCTGGTAGGGGCGAGGCATCAGCAGCAGCAGACAGTGCAGCTGCGGGACCACTGTCACCAACAATCAATGAAAAGTCAGGCCAGCAAGACAGCAGTGCTTCAGGATTGCTCGGTTACGTGTCGAATGTCTTTTCCTCTGACGGCGGAGCTGGGGCAGAGAAGACGGAGACGAGTAGCGAGAGGCGCAATTGCAACCTTTTGCTGACTGTGCGGACGCTGCACGGCGTATGGACGCTGTGTGGGATGGAGCTGTCAGCGACAGACGCCAAGTCGCTGTCGCTCGACGCCATCAAGTCCAAGGTGCAGCTTCGTTGCCGTCGTACCTTGGAGCGCATCTATCGCGCACATCCAGCAGAGACGGTCGAGTCGCTGCTTGATTGCTGGCAGTCTAGTGTCCGCGCCAGCCGCAAGACGCGTGACGAGCATGCTGCACAAGCGGTGATCGAGATTCTTGAGATCGTCACACCTTCTGCGCAGATCCTTGTCACTTTCCTCTGTGACGTTCTCGGCGCACGCATTGGGCGTTCTGACTCGGAGCGAGCCAAGAAGACGGCGCATGCGCAGAACTCGAACAAGGCAACGAGCGTATCGGAGGCGACCTTGTTCTCCTTCTTTGACGCGGTCTTGGCTGGTATGGAAGCAGCCGAAGCAACGCAAGTCTGGCCGGTGGTCATCGTATTCGTCAAGGACTTTGTCGCCAACAGTCTCGCCCGCAAGGTGCATGTGTACCCCATGTTACGCATCTTGACAGGCCTTGCTGAGAAGATCTGCCTGACAGCTGCGATCGAGGATAGAAGGACGAAGCGAGATTTGCAGGATAACTTTGTCAAGTTGATCGACTCGTGCATCCTCATCTCCGGAAGATCATTCGATCAGTCGACATGGATCAGGAGGTCCGGGAGGGACAATGGAGAGGAGCTGGACAAGGAAGCTGCTGAGTTTGCGGCCGAGCTGCTATCATTGGAAGACGAGAAGCTCAGTGTGAATGTCGATGGGAACTCAGCAAACGGAGTGATCGACGCGATCAATCATTTCCTGGCTACTCGTGGGTTGCCTGCATTGCGGAAGATGGAGATGGATACGGACCGGGTGCAAGCGATTGTGGCGAATGCGGTCTACTACATAGTGGCGCCTGCCACTCGAACGAGATCTGCTACGCTAGAGGTGGAGTCTAGCGTGTTGGCAATGCTGTCAGAGTTGGTGCGTATGCCAGGTTCAGTCAAAGCATGGCGCAGCACGGTCGCTGATCTCTTCAACGATGCACGGTTCTTCAGCATCCGCCTGGATCAAGCAGAGCGGTTGAAGCCGATCATGCTCGCTCTGATGAGCCAAGACAAGGAAAGACTGATGGACCTCCTGGCTCGTGTCTCGGCCTCTGCTGCGGCTGCCAACATCTTTGCCAATCGCGAACTGGAAATGCTCTCGCGTGCACTCAACCTTCGGCGACTCTCTTTCACGCTCTTCTCTAGCGAGCAGGACGGCTTCTTGACGCAGCTACCGCTGATTCAAGAGAAGCTGGTGGATCTGCTGAGGTCGCAGGTGAGCGAAGTGCTGCATGCGGAAGTCTATCTGTGTCTCAGGGTGGTGCTGGTCAGGTTCTCGGCGAGGAATTTGACCAGTTTCTGGCCGGTGCTGATGACCGAGTTGATGCGACTGTACGATACTGTTGCGGCCGAACCGGATAGTATGGTGGGCAGTGCTGATGGGAGGGGGTTGCTGCTGTCGACACTAAAGTTGTTGGATCTTTTGGTACTGCTGCAGCCAGAAGATTTCCAGATCAACGAGTGGCTGTTCATCACCGATACGATTGATGCAGTGTATCCGTCGGACGATTTCCAGCCGGAAACGCTACTGGATGGGCTCTCGGCCACGTTGCAAAAGGAGAGCTCCAAGCACTCGCACCAGCACCAGCAGCAGCAGCAGCAGCAGCAGCAGCACGGACAGGCTTCCGAGCCAGGGAAGATAGGCAAGCGCAGGCTGCAGCTTGGCAGAATGCGCACGATCGAATCAGTGGGAGAGCTCGTGCCGTTCCTGAACAGCGTCTCGCAGAACGCATTCGAGAGCAATTACGGAGACCAAGAGGTGGATCTGGATGATGTAGATGCTTGTCTGTTGGCAGATATGTTTGACAGTGGTGACACGTCCGTGGCGGTGGTGGAAGAGATGGCTTCCGGCGGCATGAACGCTTGAGCTGGTAATGAGACATTTAGTTGGCATTGAAAGCGACGTGCAGAAGCGAGTCTGATGTGCAAGTTTGCGTGGTAGAAGTGAATCGTGTACAGTGAGTTGCTGGCATACCGACACCAGAAGTGGACAATGAGATTGGCAGAAGCAATGAAGAGTTGAGCGCGATGGCGTGCAGGGAGCAGAAAGAGGAGCATAAGTAGAGCCACCACTGTCAGAGCATGGTATAAGGACGACGGTGGCAAAAAAGGACGACGGTGGTAAAAAAGGACGACGGTGGTAAAAAAGGACGACGAGGGATCTAGTTGATCAGCTGAGGATTTGCACCGCAAAAGAGATGTCTTGTCTCGTCTCGCATCAGCTCAGTGGAATCGAGGGGCGTAAGTAGAAGCAGAGACGCTCAGCTTCCAAAACTCAGTTGAAGTCATTCGTCAGTGCGTTGGAGTTGAGGCGTCTTGTTGATGATGATGGTAAGAGACAGAGAGCGAGAGAGCGAGGAGTCTATATATATACAAAAGAAGAGCGGCAGAGAGCCGCATTGACTGCGGAACATAACAAAGCATTTGCCTTGAGTAGGTTGTGACACATGTGGTCCGTGCTAAGATGTTTGGGCCTTTTACTCGGCCGTAAGCACTACCTTCACTGTCTCTACACTTTGTGTGGCTTTATCTACTTCAACTCCCCCCCTCAACAGCATATGTACGCTGTTCATTATGCTGTTGTTTCAAGGTGTGACCTCCGTTCTTCAACACTGTTGCATAGCTCGGGGACCCCGTTTCGTACACTGCTGCCGGTATTTGCAGGTGTAGCCCAGATCTTGCTTGCTGCATTGCCTGTCTCCCAATGGGCTTTGTGAGTACGTCTGCCAAGTTTCTTGTGGTGTCTACATACTTGATCTGCACCCTTCCCTCTTGGACGTTGTTACGGACGAAGTGATACTTGGTGTCGATGTGCTTAAGCTTCCAGTGCTGTGCTGGGTCCTTACTAACCTGTATGCAACCAGTGTTGTCCGAGTAGACCGTCGGTGTGTCTGTGGCAATGCCAATTGAGCGTAGCAGCTGCTTGAGGAAGAGCACCTCACATGTTGCTTCCGTGGCTGCAATGAACTCTGCCTCAACAGTGGACAATGACACGCATTTTTGTGTCGCTGACTTCCAGGCTACTGGATTCCCGTACACTAATGCCACTGACCCCGATGTGCTCCTTCTCTGTATGGTGGCATCGCTTGCCCAGTTTGCATCGCTGTGTGCAACCAGTGGCTCTTGCGACTCACTTGCTCTATAAACCAATCCAACCTGCCTTGTGCTTTCGAGGTAGCGTAAGACCCTTTGTGCTGCTTGATAATGCTCCTGTGATGGTTCACGCATGTGCCTAGTGAGGACACCCACAGTGAGACTAAGGTCGGGCCGGGTGCTGTTGGCAACCCAGAGCAGCTTGCCAACAATCACCGGATACTCCCTCTGTTGTGCTGCGCTTGCAACAAGGGTTCCCTCCAGTATGCTCTGCATTGGAACCATGGTCGGCTTCATACGTTTGTCCAGGTGCTTTGCCAGCACTTGGTCAATGTACCCTGACTGACCAATTGTCATGGTGCGCATCGCACGGTCTCGACTGATTTTGATGCCCAAGAAGTGAGAGACCTCACCGCTATCTTCCATCTTCCATCTCTGACCAATCTGCTTCTTAACCTTTAGGACCGTTTCCAGCCGTGGTGCTATGACTAATGTATCATCGACGTAGATGACCACAATGGCCATATCTTCACCCTGTCCCTTGGTGTAGATGCAGGGAGTGCACTCTACCTGGAAGAATCCCATGCATCGCAAAGACCTGTCGAACTCCTGATTCCATTCTCGCCCAGACTGCTTTAGGCCATATAGACCCTTGACTACCTTGTACACCTTGCCGGGTGCTACTCCTGATCCTTCTGGCGGCTTCATGTAGATTGCTTCCTTTAACGTGGAGTTCAAGTAAGCCATAGTGATGTCCAGAGCATGTACCTCCCAGTTGTTCTGCACCGCTAGTGCTAAGATGGCTCTGATCGCTCTGAGGGGTGCTACTGGAGAGAAGGTTTCTTGGTAGTCGATCCCCTCTCTCTGTGTGAAGCCCCTTGCGACCAGTCGCGCCTTGTGCTTAACAGGTACGCCATCAGCGTCAAGCTTCAGCCGAAGCACAACCTTAGAGTCCACAAGTGGTACTCCTGGTGGTTGGTGCACCACCTCCCAAGTCCCCATTGTCTCAAGTCCTTCTAGCTCCTTTCGTATTGCCTCCTTCCAGAGCTGGGCGTCCTCACCATTCATTGCTTCCCCAAGTGTTGGGTCCAGGTTCAGTATTGCTGTGTTGGCGGCGCCTACTGTGCTGTCTACGGCTGGTAGGAGATCCTCCACTGCAGCCTCTGATTTGGTCTCCTCCTCCACTGTGGCTGGTGTGACACCCTCCTCCTCAACCTCCGCGGTCACCACGGGCCTGACTGCCTCTTGTTGGCGATCACTCCATCCCTTGTCCTCATGGAACGTTGCTGAGTTGCTCCATTGAATTGACGCAGGCTGGTCCGGGTTGCAAAACTTCCATGCTTTGTGTTCGTCGTCATACCCAATCATGATGGCTGGCTTTGCTCTAGCCCCGTACTTGCCCTGCTGGTCCTTCTGTTGAATATGAACCCATGCCAAGCATCCGAAGACTCGCAGCTGCTGGGCCAGCTTGTGCGCAGTGGTTCCATAAAAGGCCTCATGGGGAATGGTTTTGGTGGCTGACGGGGTAAGGTTCATCACGTGTGCTGCTGCTGTGATTGCGTATGGCCACAACTCTCTGGGGCAAGCTCGACCAATCAGCATCGAGCGCATCTTTTCTTGGACCGACCTGATTGCTCTCTCCGCCCGTCCATTTTGGACGCTGATCCCCGGGATGCTCTTTTGCCACTTGAAACCCTCTTGTGTTTGCCAGTCTTCGGCTGCTATGCTGCACCATTCTCCTCCATTGTCGCTGCAGAGTGTTTTGAGTTTCCTGTCCGTTGCCCATTCCATCCTGGCTATCCACCTTCTCAGCGCCGTGAGTGCGGTGCTCTTTGTGCAGAGTGGTTCCACGTAGATCAGAGAGGAGAAGTCGTCCACAGCAACTAGTGCATAGTGGTAGTTGGCATGTCCTTTGAAATCTGTCATCAGGTCTACATGTACCAGCTCTAATGGTGCCTCCATTCTTTCCGACTCTGATTGGCCCATCCGTGCTCGAGTCTGTTTTCCTTGACTGCACGCATTACAGTGCTTCGACTCATGTTCCATTTTCTCGTCGGTACCTAGGTAATGGGCCCGGATTTGTCTCATTTTGTCTCGTCCTGGGTGTCCGAACCTCTCATGCCATAGGTAGCTGTCTCGATGCTTCGTGTCCTTATTGCCCTCCGGGGCATTATCTAGTTTTCCTGTGTTCTGGTTGTCTGCTGGGACATCATCTCGTGTTTCCTCCAGTTCCAAAGCCAGTGCTTGCCCTCGCACTTTGAAGTGACCCTGTCTTCTGTCCCTTTTGAATTGTACTTGGGTACCATCGTTCTGCTTTATGGTAGTTCCAAATTCGTCAAAGATTACTCATGCACCATTCTTGATCAAGCCTTGTACGGACAATAAATTAGCATTCAGTTTCAGTACATAAAGCACATCCAATAGTTGGATGGTGGCCTCACCGACCCGAAGGGAGGCATCTCCTATAGCCTTCACCTGAAGCTTTTCGTCCCCAGCTGTACTGATTTGGCCGACCTTGTTCATCGAGGTGAGCAGCATTCTCTCATCATTTACCATATGATGGGTTGCACCTGAATCGATGATCCAGGTGTCGCATGCTGATCGCTCGCCCCTGTCGACTGCTAGAAAGGTGCACCTGAGTTCCTAGTGATTCACCTCTTGTGTCGTATGAGCAACAGGTTCGCTTGTGCCTGGTGTGTTCGTGCAATTTCGAGCAATGTGATTCGGTTCTCCACAAGCGTAGCACTTTGGAGGGGCCAAGGGATTGCAAGGGTCGCGCCTGCCCCTGGGTCCTTGCCCCACCTGGTTGGCACTCCCCTGTTCCGCGCTTGTGGCGACCCTTGCTGCTCCTCTAATGCGGCCAGTGATCTCACCATCCTGCTGTTTCTTGGCAAGTGCATGGTAGGCTTCGTCATACTTACAGTCTGGTCTGGCCGTCTTCAGCGCATCGACGGTGTTGGCATAGAACCAATCTTGAGCCGTGCAGTGATAGAGAGTTGATTTCTTGAGGTCCTTGTCGAAACGCTTTCCAAGGCGTGCCGCATCGTTCCAGATCGAATCAAGTTCCTTGCCTAGCCTGACAACATCTCGATTGTGCAAGCGCACTGTGTGGATACGATCCTGCAGTCCTGCTCGCTTTACAGCATCATTTAGTGTTAGTGCCTTCTTGAGTTTGGCATAGAGTGTGCTGCCAAGTTGAACTTCTTCATCCACCCCTCTGACGGTATAGGTGTCGATGCGGCTATCCGGGCTGTTATTGCAGCAGGCGTGGATGAGGCCCACGAGTGCCTTGTCTAGGTCTTCATCATATTCCTCGCTCCCAGGTACAACGGTACCATACAGGATTTCCTTCGCATTGTGCACTCTCTGGAGGCAGTCGATAAAGGTGGGTTCCCAGGTGTGCCAATTGCTATCACTGAGCTTCTTGATGTGAGCAATGGAGCTCGATATGTCCTTGGGGATCTTTTCGGTCTCCCCGCATGGAGCTTGGTTGCTAATGTTGACCAGACCCATGGCCCGTACTATTGCTTCCTCTGCCAATAGTGCTGGGTTTGCCAGCTGGAGGATCCTGACTACCTGCGTGAGCCATCCTTCCTCCTGTCCATTTCCTGTTGTTTGATCATCATCCCCCCTTCCCGTCTGTCCTGCTCTTGTCGATGGCGGCATTGCGTTGAGTTTCAGACTCTTAATCAGTTGAAGTCATTCGTCAGTGCATTGGAGTTGAGGCGTCTTGTTGATGATGATGGTAAGAGACAGAGAGCGAGAGAGCGAGGAGTCTATATATATACAAAAGAAGAGCGGCAGAGAGCCGCATTGACTGCGGAACATAACAAAGCATTTGCCTTGAGTAGGTTGTGACACATGTGGTCCGTGCTAAGATGTTCGGGCCTTTTACTCGGCCGTAAGCACTACCTTCACTGTCTCTACGCTTTGTGTGGCTTTATCTACTTCAACTAACTCATCTTGGCGGGTATTTCTTTTTCTTTTTTCTTTTTTTCTTTTTTTCTTTTTTTCTTTTTTTCTTTTTTCTTTTTTCTTTTTTCTTTTATTCGTCTGTCTCACTTTGGGCGTATGAACAAAAAGGTCGGCAAACCGGAACCGAGCCAAAAAGGCCTAACCTGAGCTCGGCAAGTATCGCTGTCTTTTTGCGGCAGCAGGTGAGAAGACAACAGTCATCGATCGGCACCCATCCGATCCACCGCCTGTGACAGAAGAAAAGGCGTGGGAAAGGCCAAGGGACAGGCCGGAGTAATGCGATCGCCGCATTGTGCTTGGCCACTCTTTTTCTGCTGGATGCTGGACATGCGCTCTGTCGGCTTGCCCGAGTGAATGAGTGAATGTGGGAATGTGGGAATGTGGGAATGTGGGAATGTGGGAATGTGGGAATGGGTGAATGGGTGAATGCACTGTCAAAGTGCTTTGGCACGTTTATCGCCCCAACTTTTTTTCTTTTTCTTTTTTCTTTTTTTTTCTTTTTTTTTTTTTTTTTTTTTTTTTCCCGCCCTTGAGCTGAGTTGCAAAGATTGAATGCATCAGAAGACCCTTGATTGTCCTTCTGCCTTGAATCTCATTACGAGTGATGCGCTCTTCTGCCGTTCTTTTGTCCGGGCGGTTCTTCCGCCACATGCAGTCTGCCGTGTCAATCGCCTGTTCCAAGCCCAGCTGATTGTTACATTGTAGTGGCAGTGGCAGAGGCAGAGGCATCACATCGCATCAGATCACAGCACATCACAGCACAGCTCAGCCCAAGCCCACTTTCATCTTGGCGCTCCTGCTGGACGGACGATCCGACCATGGGACCTGACAGCTCTCTCGGCTCTTCCGAACCGGATGACAGTGTGTGTGGGAAAAAGGAATGATTTGCAACAATGTGGACCCTGTCTGTCACCCGTCGTTGCCCTGTCGATGACACTGCGTTCCCGTGCAATAGATACGCCACTCTTTGCTCTCTTGCTCTCTTGCCCTCTTTCCCTCTTTCCCTCTTTCCCTCTTTCCCTCCCTCTGCCTCTGTGAAGCCTAGACTTTTGCTCCTTGCATCCTTCTCTTCTCTCTCTCTCTCTTATCCTTGAGCGTTGGGGTGTGGGCCCCACTCCGCCCTGTCGAGCGCCGCTCGGCTTTCCCGCGTCCGGCTTTCCCGCGTCCGGCCGGTAGAGGAGACTTGGATAGAAAGGGGCCTGCTCATACCTCACCCCCGGAGGGACCTTGGCTCTTTCCTCTGGCCCTTAGCCTCTTATAACATGTATTTAGTCCCGCTCTTGGTCGGGAATGTAGACACTTGACACTCGACTCATATATAACGCAAACCCCTTTGTTTCGCATCCCTTCCGATTCGCCAACTCAGCCATCCTCATCACCATCACCACGCTTGACATCACCGTCTTTCACTACCGCCACCATCTCACTACCGCCACCATCTCACTACTACTACTATCGTCACTACCACCTCAGCATCGTTTACATTTGCAGTCACCTTGATCGCGATGCCACCCTTCACCACCTCGTTCGGTCGTCTACCCTCGATACGCAAACGAGAGACCAAGAACAAGTCGGTCAAGCCCATCGACGTCGATGCTGCCAAACAGTATCAAGATGCACGGCCTTCTTCAGCAGCTTTCTCGAGCTTGCTCACTCCACGCCCTCACCACTACCGCAGCACCAGTTCATCTCCATCAACACCTGCTGCCTCCTCCTCCTCCTTTGCTAGCTCTGGCCCTCGCAGATCTCGCATAGTCTCATCGCCTACCTTTGTCTCCTCCTCGGCCCTGTCCGGTGGCCACGCATTTCCAGGCGACCAAGTCTCGCTGACACCGCCTTTGAGCCCTGTTGCGCCCCACAGCCCCAACGCCGCTCAAGCTACCAAGTCGCCTCTTCGAAGAGCCCTCTCTCGTTCCTTGTTCTTTCACTCTCCACCGCCTCACATTTCATTGCCTCTTCCGGTGGCATGCCACATCGACCAGCCTCGTCCAGCAAGGCCTGCCAGACCTGCCATCTCGCCTGCTACTCGTCTCTCTCCCAATCCTAACGCCTTTGGTTTCACCCCTTCTCCTATGACTCGCTCTCCGACTAGCTCCCCTACCATCACCACCGCCACCACCTCTTCCTCCCCATCCATCGAGCACCTCACTACCCGCACCCTCATGCCACCAGCAACCATTCCTGAGTCGAAGCTCTCGTCGTCTCAACGATCCCTTTCGCCCACTTGGTCCAAGCGCTCCTCCAGGTCTGCTTCTCCCCTCCCGATCGCCAAAGCAGCCCCATCTCCCAGCTCGCTTCGATCTATCCGACAGATGCACGCTCGCAGGTCGATCCATTCCATCTTTGCTCTCTCCTCCTCTGCAGGCATCGAGAGCACACCGATGCCCCAAGATGTTTCCATCCCACCCACTTTCTCGCGTCGTCTGTCGTTCCAGTGCCGAGGCCCCCACTTTGACACTCCTCCCGCCGCCGACATTAGGCAGTTGCACACTCTCGGCTTCTACACTCGTCCCACTGACGCCGTCTCGATGTACTCCTCTTCCCATCCATCTTTGGCTTACGGCTTTAGTGGAGCAAGACATACGAGCGACTTGACTCGATCGACCTACCAAGAGCTCAACTACGACATGCTCAGCGAGACCGACAACGAGGCCGAGCCAGAGACAGCCCTCGCCGGTCTGGGCTTGATTGATCCTCTTCCAGCAACACCTCGCGTCATGCCTAAACGTCTGTCGGCCACTTCACAGATCTCGCTTGCAGAAAGCGTTCCCTCTTCAGTTCACTCTTCATCCTCCACCCTCTCGCTCTCCTCGCTCGAACAGCAGTTCGACTCTTCCTGGCCCGCCCTTACTTCCATGCAGAACTGGTTCTCTGCTTGCCCGCCCACACCTCCTTCCTCTATCCGTCTTCAACTTGATTTCCGCTCTCTTCCACCTCGCTCTCCCGCTGCACTCTTCTCTTCCACCCTCACACCCAACACCCCCACCAGCACCACCACCACCACTAACGACGATGACGCTCTAGAGAACAAGAAACCAGACCGACCCTTATCCGGCATCTTTATCTCTTCCAACTCGTCCGTTCTGGATCTCAAAGAGACCATCGCCTCTCGCATGTGCCAATCGGGCTACCGTCTTTCACCCAAGAACCTCACTTTGACTCTTCACCTCAACGAAGACGTCCGAACCAATTCTCGTACCGCTTTGGGACTCAAGTTGTCGGCTTATGGCAAAAATCCAGCAAAGGTGCTCGACGATAGCAGCAGGCTGCTATTCGAGGAAGGAGCACAGGAAGAAGATCTTGTTGTCGTCGATTGCGATCCTTCACATATTCTTTGGAGCATTTGAGCTTCGGTAGCTATTGATACCTATATACCTTGCATTTACTCGTTGATACCCCGCATTCTCATATGCACTTGCAACTCTTTTTGTTTGTCGCTGTTGCGCTTGATGAGACGAGACGTGCAGTTACTCGTTGAAATTATGGCTTGAAGACAGCTGATCAGACTGTAGATTGAGATGGACACCAACAGTCGATTTTTGTGCTTGCATGGCCGACACAGGCTCCGTTGGCGAGCGAATGGAACGTTTGCAATCCGGTGGCGTTGTCAAACGGGGTTTGCAGAGCATCGTGTCACACAGAAGCTGTTTCAACTATAACAAAGGCTTTCCAGAAGTTACATCACCTGTACCATATAGACATGTTAGCAAACAAGGCAATCTTCACTAACCTTGAAGCCAAAGATTTCATGGTCAATCTGTTTCTCCAAGGATGTAAAATCGCTTCTACTTTTCAAGAATTCGTACAACTCCTCCTGTCCAAAGCAAAAAGCATCTTCCCTTACAGGTGTCTTTGCCGAATTATTTGCGTCTTTATTCTTCAATAGTGCTATGAGCTCCTTGCCATCAACAATGTAATAGTTTGCTAGAGTCTTTAAGGAGTTGTAGAATCTTGCAACATCCGCTTCTTTGGACTTTAGAGAAGATATAAATGCCGAAATGTGATTAAGGTCTGATATCAGCTGGAATCCGCCAACCTGGGAAATGGTGAGAGATTTCAGGTGTTTGGTGAGAATGGTGAAGAATCGCAGAGCAACTTCTGTATAGAATAGATCCAGAATCTCGCGATCCGTTGCTCCAACCAACAAGCTGCAGTGCAACCGAACAACTTCGATAGTGGAGCGGGTAGCAGGCGTAGAACTATCGAGGGAAGCCATAGAGTTGATATCGTTCCCAGCGTAATCCATCGGATTTCGTTGGGAAAACAAAATCCATTCGGCACGCTTCATCAACAAGTCAACCGATACTGACAGGCCAGAAGCTACGAATTCATCCAAGTTCCCCTCGAAAGCCTTCTTCGCCCGAACGACAGGGTTGAGAAAATCATCCACATCCAATCCCACCACCGCCACCAAAGTCTGAGAAAAGTAGACCGAACAAAGCTGAGAAATCGTATCCGCAATATGCGTTAATTCGAAGAATTGCACCAAGGGAAGCACCTCTGCCGCCCACTCCCCGTGGTCTTTTTCGGATATCCAAGATCCGTCTCCGTCAGACAGCGGATTGCACTGCTTGATCTCCTCAGTAGCCTTGTTGAATCCAGGAGCAATATGTTGATCGCCAAGAACTTGGAAGAGGGAGAGACAAACTTCTTCCATTTCCTCCTTGACTCGGCGTCCGTTGGAGGTGGTGGGAGGGTAGACCAGAAATGCTTCCATTCGCTTTAGGGATTCTCGATTCACTTGGATCAGGGAGAGGGCTGTATCGAGGGATAGGAGGAGTTGTAGGTTGGCGAATCGGTTGCGTTGTGCTGGTGCAGCACGGTGATCTGAGACACGAGTATTGTTGGAGATTCCTTTCTCGTTGAGATCGGAGCTTTGCGAGGCGCAAGGGGTGATGCTGGACGTCTTTGGCGCCTTGCTGCTCCACCCGCCGGTGTCGGCATTGGATTGCAAGCTGGTGGCAGTCCAGATATTGCTGCTGACGTCCTGACTGGAGGGGTTTTCGTTCCACTCGTTCTCGACTGTCACGCCCTCGAACACTCCGAAGCCTTGTGCCTTTTCGCCCTTTGCTGACAAGACGTCTTCTTCATCGCTCTCGTCATCACCAATATCGTGCCCATCAGGACCACCGAGAACCTCTTTGCTAAAGTCTACATACCCGTTGTTCGCTGCAACTTCATTCTGAATCGACCCAATTACCGACGTACTCGATCGTTTCAGAGTACCCACACCCGAGCCAGTACCATTTCCGCTACGTCCCCCCGCCGCCGCCGAGCTCTGTTGCCACTTGAGCGGGTTCAACTGACTCAACCCAGTCCCGGCAGTCCTGATCACCGCTCCTCCCACCGCCCCTGCCGCCCTTGGTACAACAGTAACAGGCATCAACAGCACATCCTTGAACCCACTCAACACGTTCCTCTTCACCCGCGCAGGATTGTTACTGGCCAAGAAAGCGGTATCCATCGTCTTACCCGTCTTTACCCCGGCAGCGCCTCCTCCAGTCGTTCCCGACCTGGAAGCAGCACTGCCATCATTACACATCTGCATCATCACATTCCTCACCCAATCCCGCTCTTCTTGCAGATACTCATCCAGATGAGCCTCGAACATGGACAGCACGATTGCACGACATCGCGCCGGCGTGACGTAATCGGGATGCCGCGGTTCGATCTTCTGGAGAGTATCTGCCATCTTGAGCGCTTGAGAGAAGGTGGCGGCTGCAGCCTGAAGGTAGAGGTGAGTATCGATGCAGCGGGCTTTGGTGAGGACACTATTGATGTATTCTCCTACGATTTCGTTCGCGATGCGACTTGCGAATGCGAGCAATAGTTGCTGCTCGGGTGGGAAGACGCGTGCAATGAGCGATCCGTCTGTTTGCAAACCGGAGAGAACGTCGGCCATGAAGGCGTCCATCGATGTAAAGTCTAAGGATGGTTGAGATTGCGGTGATGTAGGTGTGGTGAAGTTGGCTTCAGGTTGGTGAGTGGTCGTTTTCAAGAGAGAATCTCGCTTTTCCAGGAAGCTGAGTGCTGCTGCGGAGCCGGGATGGTCGAGAAGAGCGAGGAAGTTGCTGGGTTCGCCAGCTTCTGTTGGTAGTGAGCCACCGCCGAGAGTGAAGTTGCTGGATGTGGCTGAAGGATCAGCTGTTGAAATGACGAGATTCCATAGGAGAGTAGCATGCTCTTGCATGTCGCTTTCGGCTCGCTCGACGGCTTTGCTGACGTCCATGCCTCTTTGTCCGGCCTTGAGTGCATCTGTCCGTCTTGCATCAGCACCTTCAAATGCTGACAGCAATACGCCCTCGAGATAGTCTGTTGCTTCTCTGATTGACATTCGTAGTCGCCATTGATCTTGATCTTGCTCTTCTGGCGCTGCATCCAGCGCCACGTTTGTTGATGTCTTGCCGTCATGTGTCTTTGCGAAGGAGCCAAGGACGAGCGGACCTGTGAAGCGAGCAACATTACAGATCATATACACTTGGGATGAGAGCGAAGACAAGCTCGGATCGGTGAAGACGAGCGACGCAGTCGGTGTAGTCTCGAACAGAAGGCTCTGAACGAAAGGCTTGAGTGACACTGCTATCCGTTTGAAGGTCTGATACGCCGAGTCAGCCTCTGTGCTTGGCATCGGGAGCTTTGACTCTGCTCGGTATGAGAAGACGGGCGCCGACGAGAAGCTCTGCCCTGATTGACTCTGCTTAGAGGACGTGAAGCCGCCAAAGCTCTCGTCGTCCGGACTTGTGACAGTGGCGGTTTCGAAGTCGCCGAACTCATCATCGTTGCTCTCCGGAGTGTTGGCAGTGGCGATGCTGCTCTGATGGTTCTTGTTCGAGCTGGCACTATCCTTTCGCTGTATTTGCTCCTTCGACGAAGATGCTAGGGTGGATAGATCTGGACTGTAGCGAACATGTCGTCCAGGCACTTGCTTGTATTGCAAGAAAGCGAGTTTCTGAGCCCACAACCTCTCATCGGCAACGAACCGTGCGAGCGATCGAGCTGCCAAAGCACAGCTCGGAAGGTCTGATACTGGGACGAAGCTGAGTATTCGCTGAATCACTGTAGATGAAAGTGTTCCGATGGAGAAAGGATCGAGAGAAACATGGTTGACATTCGATGCTCCAGCAGCACTTGCAGCCGCCGCATCTTGGCCGCTTTTCGCAGAGATGCTTTGTCTTGCCATGATGGCATCAGTGAAGCCCGAAGACGATGATGAGCCTTTTGTGGTTGGCACGAGTGGTGCCCATTTCGAGTCCATGGTATTGTATGCAGGTCGAACACCCGAACGCTTCCGTCGGGCTGACACCACTCGACTATGTTGAATGCATGTGGTGCGAGCGACTGACAAGAGCAACGCAGAGTGCGGACAGGCTGTATTGGCTCCAGTTGGTGCTGTAGGGCATATATGACCAGGACCCAACTGTGAAGGAAAAGGTGAAGGAAAGGGTGAAGGAAAGGGTGAAGGAAAGGTGAGAGATGTGCGAGTCAAGGCTTAAGGAACAGCTCTTCTTCCACTCAACCGCCGACGAGGCTTTTCCGACTTCCGAAAAATTCTCTGCGTGCACGGACCATTTGCTCTACCACTCCACTTTCACACCTGAATTCTTACTATCCTTCTTCCATCAGCTCCATCACCATCAGCTCCATCACCATCGCTTTCTACTTCCAGTCACACTTTCGTGACGGCTACGCCCAAATGCTTCCATCACATTTACTGTCATAGCGCTCCTATAGCACGGCAGCTCCTCCAGCCGTCTCGTCAACTTTGGAAATGCCGCCTAAAACCTCGACAGCACGAGGCCGCTCCCAACACGCCCGCAACTCCTCCCTCTCCTCCCTCTCCTCCCTCTCCTCCCTCTCCTCCCTCTCCTCCCTCTCCTCTCAATCCGCCAACGAAAAAGAACCGGAAGAGCCATTCCACCCAGCCGCTGACGCAGCCACGTTCCGCGACCTTCTCATCTTCGAGGAGCGTCTAAAACAGAATGCAGCACGATTACAAGCACGAAAACGCAAATACGAACTGCTTCTATTCGGTTTCGTCACTTTCATCCTCCTTCTATCCCATTTCGTCGTCACTTCTCCCCGCTCATCTGCGTTTCTGCAGTATAGTCTGGCGGCGGTGCTGATGATCTGCCTTACCACGCTGTTTTTGTTCTTTGCAAGTGGAATGCACGCAGAGAGGATAAGATCCGCGAACAAGTTCGTACCACAGGCCAATCGGAGTTTGAGGAACTTCAATATGTATCTGAATACAAAGACGACCGCTGATTCAAGGTGGTGGTCGATAACAAGACTGTTGAGGAGTACGGAACCAGTGAGGAGGCATGCTTCGAGTACAACGGGTTTGACTGAAAACAGTCGATCAGGTTCCAATACCGGCACATCCACACCCCGAAGAGCCCTCTCATCCATACCACCATCGCAAAACAGCAGAGGAGAGCTCATATTCAGCAACAAAGTCAGTCCGGAGTTCAGAGAAGGGTATGAAAGGTACAGAGCTGCATTCGAGAGAAGAAGAGCGGAAAGGATGGCTGCTAAGCGAGCACAGAGTTGGAAGCGATGGTTCGATTGGGTCCTTGGTCGACCATCTCTTCCACCACCACGAAAGAGTGGATCAACAACAGCATCACCGCACTTGGCCCAGGCATCAATAAGACCTTCAGCACGGAATGGCAAATTCCGCTCAGCACGCACCACAAGAGCGTCAGCGTCAGCATCGCAAGCAGGATCAGGCTCCGAAGCAGCCAGCCCAGCACGCTCAACGCCACAGCTCGACGATCTTAGCGAAGGTGGCTTGAGTGAAGGTGGGCTTAGTGATGATGGCTATCCCCCGTCTATTGGCGGATCTAGTATGTCAGGTCATTAGCACTCTGAGCACTTGCAAGCAACACCAATTTAGCAACAGCGAAGAATGGTGGGACAGAGAGTGTGGTATTGCATTATAGAAAGAGTTGTATGTTACAGTACATGATTAGATCGAACTTAGTAGTATAGTATTCGAATTTGATAGAGCTCAGGCCGTGGGATGACGGAAAGGCTTCAGCAACTTGCCCAGCAACGAAGAGGTTCTTGACGAGTTCGACAAAGTTGTCTCACTAGCAGACGAATTGTCACCCCCAGCGCTGCTAGCAGCAGGTGTCTGACGACGCTTGGTCATCGAAGCGAGACTAAAGCTTGGTGTCCTGGGCTCTGGCTTGGACTGCACAACCGCACGAGCAGATGCAGGGGTAGGAGCAGAAGCGAGGACTCTGCTATCCTCCCGCTCCTCCATCATTGCCAATGCAGGTGCCATCGATAGTCTTCCCCAACCAGAGTAAGGCAACGAAGGGCTCGACATGCTTGGCCTACAAGCAGCTGTCGCTCTCGGTCTTGCTGACTCTGGCCTAGGCCTCTGCTGGTAAGAGATGGCAAGGTTGGTAATCTCGCAGATACTGGCACTAGCACCCCTCAACCTGAGCCAGTTGCTGTGGATCACCTTGTTCCGCTCCTGTTTCTGCTGCAGAGCGTCACCTGCCTCTTGGTCGAGCACTTGGTCCTCATCTTCCTCCCTAATCTCGTTACCTTCTTGGCGCTTGTCACAATGCTTAGCCAGACAGCCGAACAGCAGTGGGTAGCGGGTAACTCGTTGAACAGGAAGTACGAGGAACTGCTGCATGTCCATTCCCTGAAGTGCAGGGTTGGTCGAACGGGCAAGCTCTATGAAGGTCGCTACGGCGGGGCGAAGGTCGCGTTCGAATTCGAGACGCTCCTTTGCTTCGCCGTAGTTCATACAGTATCGAGCGAAGACTTCCATTCGAGCGGGGAGTTCACGGACTAGTTTGTTACCCAGACTGAGGTAGTCAGGTGCATTGGCTTCCTCCACTGACTTTTGCTTGCAGTGGCGACGCTGTTGCTGCCAAGAACTCGAGTCGGGTTGAGAAGGGTTCGAGGTCACCGAAGTGGCTGGCGAGGGTCTACGCGGGAGGAAAGCTCGAACGCAGTCAATGAGGAATTTGGAGAATGCCATCACCTCATCCAGGTTCGAAACAATCTTGTCGAGGGATGCAGGGGTGATGAGATCCAGCTTGCGCAATCCCACAACGTAGACATGGTTGAGCAGCTGCAGATCGTTCAAGAACTTGCACTCAGTCAAGATCAACTCCTCCAAAGCGGCAAGCTCGGGGGAGATGACAGAGTCTACACTGCGGCCGGTACTCGAAGCTCCACTGCTACCCGTCTCGTTCTCGGAACAAGTGGCGAGGTACAATGAGGGGTAGCGAATCGAACCGGTCTCGTTGGTGTTTGTGGTAGTAGAGCCAGAGAAGGATTCGGATCGAATGCTACCCGACATAGCCGACATCTGGTTGGGCGTTGTCTGGCAGGGACGACTGATCATCAGACCAAAAGTCGAAATGGGGTGCAGAAGGGCTGCCGTAGGTCGTTCTCCATCCGAGGTAGAGGCTCGACCGTTGCGCTTGAGTGGTGAGCTAGGGACGGTGAGCAAGGATCGAGCTTGAGAGAAGGAGCGTCGAGCTCGTTCGCCAAAGCTTGATTCGTTCGAGACTGAGCTTCTCGCACCCAGGGAGGAGGCGGATGCCACACGACGAGGTCCACGCTGCAACAGCTTAGATGGGCTGAAGTGGGAGGACATCGACACTCTCTTGGGTGGAGCATCACGCTGCTGTGGCTGGAACTGGGGAGGCCTACCGAAAGTGGGAGCGTAGCTATGCATCATTGGCACAGCAGGCTTGGCATCCTGGTGGGCGTAATCGAAAGAAGTTTGGGAGGGACAAGGCCATCGAATAGCCTGAGACTGCTCCCATTCAATATCATCTTGGTCATCGCTGCTTTCTTCCTCCTCTTGGTCATGGTGATCTTTGGCACTCGGCATCGAGGACGCAGACGAAAGAGCGGGAGCAGGAACAAGAGGGCAGCCATCGACCACAGTAGATGGAGCAGTACTGGCGTAAGATCCACCACTGTCACCACGCATACGAGCATGAGGAGCCTCACCGTGACCACTGCTACCGCTGTCGCTGTGTCGGCGACCTAGACCATGACCATAGTCATAGCCATAGTCGTACTCGCCATCGGAGTCATAGTCTGACTCGGAGGAGCTCTGACTCTCGCGAGGCAAGTGACACATCATCATCAACCCAGGCGAGGTAGGGCTGGTGATCCACTGCTGACCTCGATCAGAGAAGCTGAAGCCATCAAGCTGAGGAGGAGCAGCGGCGGAGTAACCTGTCGACGATTGAGTCCTTATCAAAGGGGGAGCCTGTGGCGAGACTGGAGACGAACGCTTTGGACGCATAGCGTTAAAGCTCTTCCTTGCCACACGAGCAACGTCGAGACTCATGCTTCTCGAACGACCGCCTGCCTTGCGAGAGGGGATATGTCGAGGCTCGAGGAAAAGAGTGTATTGCTGCGGGTGAGATGCGAATGGCATCTGACCATGATGAGCAGGGATGTAGGAGCTCGAGACACCGGCAGTTTCAGGGACCGACCCAGCCCTCTTGTCCCTGCCTCTATTCGAAGCCATCGAGAATGAGGGCATCTTTGGAGACCAATATTCACCTTTCTTCTCCTCCTGCAACACAGTCAAGTGGTGAGGAGTCGAGGTAAGGGGAAGATCTGTTTGAGTAGAGAGCGGGCAAGCAGGTGGCAAGTCGGCTTCGAGGGTGCTTCCCACAATACCGAGCTTGCTGGCGTTGAAGGAAAATTCGTTCATCAGCGCCATTGAGTTGGCACGTGGAGGAGGCATAGGAGCGTTTCTCGCAGAAGATAGGAATTCAAAGCTCCTTCCATCTCGACCGCCTCTGCTAGAGGGTGGCTTGAGCTGTGTTTGTGGGTATTGATGGCTTGGGCGAATCGAGTGTTCTTCGATCGATCGTCGCAAGCGGTTCTTTTTGGGTTGAGTGGCTCCCGCAACCTGGAGACGGCCTGCTGAAGGTGCGGGGGAAGGCACAGGCTCAGGGAAGGCGGGAATTGAGAGGTGCATCTTTGGAGGATGTGAAGAAGGAGGAGCGGTGTTTTGAGAGAAGCTGTTGAACATAGTTGCACCTAAAGCATACAGACCGAGCATATACACTTGTTCAAGTGTCGCTGTCGAGTCGGTGGACTTGTGATGAGGAATTTGCGGGTGGGTAGCAGGGATACTGCCGACAGTGTCAGCGGTCCTCATCGCCAAGGGAGGGGCTTCTTGATGCTCGTGATTTTGAATAGTAAAGGGAAAGGGACAAAACTTGACAGGAGGAGGGGCGATGTCTTGGAGCCTCTAGGAGGATGCAGAATGGAAGTAGATGTTCGACTAGCTTATATGGAGTCCCCTTGGAAGAGGCATTGACAAGGAGGGGGAAGGTTGGAAACGTTTGACGCACAAGTGGCACTCCAAGGGAGTGAGGGGGGCCAAAGGGCGACCTGTATGTGTGCCCCTACGCTCTCTGAAAGGCTCGGCGTCTTGTTGTCAATGGCTTTGCGCCTTAGGAATGTACAGCTGCTTATCTCACAAGGCTTGTCTCGTCTTGTATTGTCTTATTCAAAGTGGCCGCTATGTCCACTTGCTTGCGAGGAGGTCATGAGGTTTGAGAAGGGAGAGAAGCGCCACTCCGACTGAGTCATACTTCTCGGTAGGCTGAGCAAGATGGGTAGCCGTGACTGCTTCGGCTCTCAATTGTTTGGATAGACCGTGTGGAAATGCTTGACCCGTTTCTCGGGAGCACGACCGGAATCGTTCACTTTCGCTACGAGAGCGAGCTCGGAAGGAGACAGCATGAGAAAGAAAGACAAAGAGACTCGAGCCGAACATCGGATGGATCGAGCTGGGATGCTCAAGTCGGCGTGTCAGAAAACGTTGCCAGAGTTAGAGGCAAAGAAAGGAGTGAAGTGGTGGCTTGCGACTCGACACCTGTGACGCACTGCTACTTTGAGGAGGAGGAGGATGCCAAGATTGGCGAGATTCGGTTTGACAAGCATACATTTTTCTCGGTGACAGATGCTCGCCATTGCTCCCGACCGACTTGAGAATTGGCGTGCGCACTTAGCGCCTGTCACGTCAGCTATCTGTCAAGGAGGGAACAAGATGGTGATGCCAGGGTGGCGATCACACGGGAGAGTTGGGGTCTGAAGTGTCTCGCCAAATTCGACACTGGGTGCTCGGTTGACAGCTTGACGAGTGGAAGGGTGCATGAAAAGTAAAGAAAACACATTCTGGGTGTCCACCTTGTCGGGCATTTAAGCGCACCACCAACAGCCGCCTCTCCACACTGAAATCTTGACCCGGGTTATGGGAAAATCATTGCAAATCGGGTAAATCGCGCAAATCTTTCAAATAATCAAATAATCAAATAATCAAATAATCAAATAATCAAATAATCAAATAATCAAATAATCAAATAATCAAATAATCAAATAATCAAATAATCAAATAATCAAATAATCAAATAATATTCTTCTAGGCTAATTCAATGACCTGTCCGTGAGAAATTTGGTCAGCTGTCAAAAAGACAAGTTTGGCATCCAAGTGGCTGCCAACGTGTGCAAGCGAGCTGTGTCGCTGATTCACAGCGTAGGTCGCCGTAATGCAATGAGATATATCGGTCACCACTTGACAGCTTTGAGTTCTGCTCATCTACTTTTCACAGCATGAATGTATGTTTGCTTCTTTGGCCATCAACCAATACAGCAAGCCGCATGTACAACACAGAGCAAGTAGCAGAAAAGTTATGATTCCTTTGATTAAGGCAGCTAGCTAAAGACACGACAGATACCGAGTCAGAGTGTGAGAATTTTGGCTTTCCACTCACTCAGAGGGCAGGGCGAGGCTCAGGGTAGACAACCGGACCAATGCCCGTGTAGTGAGGAAGCGAGTCGCTCTCCTCCGAGTCGTCAACGGGGCCAAAATCGGTCTAGGCAAGCCAGACGGGTGCGTTGTTGCTGTTGCCGTTTCCGTTGCTCTGGCCGTTGCTGTTGTCAGCGACAGGAGCGGCAATCTTGGTAGGAAGCTCTCCGCTCTGAAGCATCTCGAGCAGGCCAGCGCTGGCACTGGGGTCGTTGGCGACCATCCTCTTGACATAGGCAGTGAAGTCAGCACCACCTTGCTGGCTCACGCTACCAGCGGTCCCTTGGTTCGAAGAAGACTGAGAGCCGCCAAGCTGAACGCTGTTGCCGGGAGCAACGGCAGAATAGTCGTTGTTCTGGTGGGCAGTACCACTACCAGCGTAGCCGCCAGCACTGGCATCTTGGCTGCTCTCGCCATCCGACTGTCGGCGTCCAAGGAACGAGCCAAGGCCGCCAGCCTGCAGAACGCTGCCAGCAAGGCCTTCGAGGGAAGCAGACTGACCTCCACCATTCATGACTTGGTTGCCCGGCGCAACTTGCGAGTAGTCGTTGTTCTGACCGGCAGTAGCTGTACCGGCGTAGCCACCAGCAGAGCCAGTTTGAGACGACTGCTGCTGGCTTGAAGGAGCAAATTGAGCCTGAGCCTGCTGCTGAGCAGTAGCCTGCGATTGAGGAAGCGGACGAGCACTGCCAAGGCTGGCGAGTGCCAGCGCAGAGACCATAGAGAAAGCGAAGTACTTCATATTGATGAGGTTTGTTGATGGAGAGCAGGATTGTTTTGTCTTGACGTTCGTTGATGGGCTGAGATTTAGCAATTGGGACAAGTGAGCAGCTTATAAGTAATTCTCGATTGTCGCTGTCCAGTGCACAGTCCACCATCTTGACGTTGGTTCTTCTCAGTTTTGAGCGAATGCTCTCACCAACTCGGCTCAGGACTCAAGACTCTTGGTCGCCGGCTCTCCTAGGCTTAACATTTGCACCTCCAAGAAGAGGCACTGATCATTTCTGCTAACTTTAACCAGCTCTGTAGCTCTCCTGACCGCAACGCTTTGAGCATCAATGTACTTGCGCGTTTGAAGTCTTCAAGAATCGCTGCTTCTGGGCCATCTTATCGTTCTCGTGACCTCGTTCAAGGCGACTTTCGACAATAAGACCTTGCCAACCGTCGCGAACCATTCGGAAGTGCGAAGCGAAGAGATGGTCTACGTCATGGGAAATTCCTCTATACCAGCGTTGGAAAGCCACGCTAAGTTGAGACGTATTGATAGCTCGCCGGCACGTCGCTACGCAAACACAGCAAGACACGGCTTGATGGTTTGCAAGTAAAGCCAGGTTCGTATTTTCAAAGTCATTCAAGGCATCTAACGTTTGAGAGAGAGGGCAGAGAGAGCAGGGCGTAGGAGAGCTCTCCAACATCATGGCGAGTGACTCAAGCGATCTCGTCAAAGACTACATTGTTCTGTATGTGTGAATGTCGATTGCTCGCATCCGCAATATGGCAACCTCAACCCAGAACTGCAAAATTCCTTTTTCTCTATTTTTTTTTTTTTTTTTTTTTTTCTGAGGAAAGGAGACAGCTTCGATGGAAATTAAGTAAAACTATGTGACTTCTAGTCGGATCTCACATTGTCGCCAGCTTCGCTCACTCGATTCCGTACTATGTTGGCCCGATCGACTGTCGCAACAGGCATCGACATACCCGCTATCAGATATCTGACTAGTTGAAGTCCTTCGTCAGTGCGTTGAAGTCATTCGTCAGTGCGTTGGAGTCAGTCGTCAGTGGTTGATGATGATGGTAGGAGAGAGAGAGAGCGAGAGAGCTAGGAGTCTATATATACAAAAGAAGAGCGGCGGAGAGCCACATTGACTGCGGAGCATAACAAAGCATTTGCCTTGAGTAGGTTGTGACACATGTGGTCCGTGCTAAGATGTTCAGGCCTTTTACTCGGCCGTAAGCACTACCTTCACTGTCTCCACGCTTTGTGCGGCTTTATCTACTTCAACTCCCCCCCTCAACAGCATATGTACCCTGTTCATTATGCTGTTGCTTCAAGGTGTGACCTCCGTTCTTCAACACTGTCGCATAGCTTGGGGACCCCGTTCCGTACACTGCTGCCGGTATTTGCAGGTGTAGCCCAGATCTTGCTTGCTGCATTGCCTGCCTCCCAATGGGCTTCGTGAGTACGTCTGCCAAGTTTCTTGTGGTGTCTACGTACTTGATCTGCACCCTTCCCTCTCGTACGTTGTTACGGACAAAGTGATACTTGGTGTCGATGTGCTTAAGCTTCCAGTGCTGTGCTGGGTCCTTACTAACCTGTATGCAACCAGTGTTGTCCGAGTAGACCGTTGGTGTGCCTGTGGCAATGCCAATTGAGCATAGCAGTTGCTTGAGGAAGAGCACCTCACGTGTTGCTTCCGTGGCTGCAATGAACTCTGCCTCGACAGCGGACAATGACACACATTTTTGTGTCGCTGACTTCCAGGCTACTGGGTTCCCGTACACTAACGCCACTGACCCCGATGTGCTTCTTCTCTGTATGGTGGCATCGCTTGCCCAGTTTGCATCGCTGTGTGCAACCAGTGGCTCTTGCGACTCACTTGCCCTATAAACCAATCCAACCTGCCTTGTGCTTTCGAGGTAGCGTAAGACCCTTTGTGCTGCCTGATAATGCTCCTGCGATGGTTCACGCATGTGCCTAGCGAGAACACCCACGGTGAGACTAAGGTCGGGCCGGGTGCTGTTGGCAACCCAGAGCAGCTTGCCAACAATCACCGGATACTCCTTCTGTTGTGCTGCGCTTGCGACAAGGGTTCCCTCCAGTATGCTCTGCATTGGAACCATGGTTGGCTTCGTACGTTTGTCCAGGTGCTTTGCCAGCACTTGGTCGATGTACCCTGACTGACCAATCGTCATGGTGCACATCGCACGGTCTCGACTGATTTTGATGCCCAAGAAGTGAGAGACCTCACCACTATCTTCCATCTTCCATCTCTGACCAATCTGCTTCTTAACCTTTAGGACCGTTTCCAGCCGTGGTGCTATGACTAATGTATCATCGACGTAGATGACCACAATGGCCATATCTTCACCCTGTCCCTTGGTGTAGATGCAGGGAGCGCACTCTACCTGGAAGAATCCCATGCGTCGCAAAGACCTGTCGAACTCCTGATTCCATTCTCGCCCAGACTGCTTTAGGCCATATAGGCCCTTGACTACCTTGTACACCTTGCCGGGTGCTACTCCTGATCCTTCTGGCGGCTTCATGTAGATTGCTTCCTTTAATGTGGAGTTCAAGTAAGCCATGGTGATGTCCAGAGCATGTACCTCCCAGTTGTTCTGCACCGCTAGTGCTAAGATGGCTCTGATCACTCTGAGGGGTGCTACTGGAGAGAAGGTTTCTTGGTAGTCGATCCCCTCTCTCTGTGTGAAGCCCCTTGCAACCAGTCGCGCTTTGTGCTTAACAGGTACACCGTCAGCATCAAGCTTCAGCCGAAGCACAACCTTAGAGTCCACAAGTGGTACTCCTGGTGGTTGGTGCACCACCTCCCAAGTCCCCATTGCCTCAAGTCCTTCTAGCTCCTTTTGTATTGCCTCCTTCCAGAGCTGGGCGTCCTCACCATTCATTGCTTCCCCAAGCGTTGGGTCCAGGTTCAGTATTGCTGTGTTGGCGGCACCCACTGTGCTGTCTACGGCTGGTAGGAGATCCTCCACTGCAGTCTCTGATCTGGTCTCCTCCTCTACTATGGCTGGCGTGACACCCTCCTCCTCGACCTCCACGGTCACCATGGGCCTGACTGCCTCTTGTTGGCGATCACTCCATCCTTTGTCCTCATGGAACGTTGCTGAGTTGCTCCATTGAATTGACGCAGGCTGGTCTGGGTTGCAAAACTTCCATGCTTTGTGTTTGTCGTCATACCCAATCATGATGGCTGGCTTTGCTCTAGCTCCATGCTTGCCTTGCTGGTCCTTCTGTTGAACATGAACCCATGCCAAGCATCCGAAGACTTGCAGTTGCTGGGCCAGCTTGTGCGCGGTGGTTCCATAAAAGGCCTCGTGGGGAATGGTTTTGGTGGCTGACGGGGTAAGGTTCATCACGTGTGCTGCTGCTGTGATTGCGTACGGCCACAACTCTCTGGGGCAAGCTCGACCAATCAGCATCGAGCGCATCTTTTCTTGGACCGATCTGATTGCTCTCTCCGCCCGTCCATTTTGGACGCTGATCCCCGGGATGCTCTTTTGCCACTTAAAACCCTCTTGAGTTTGCCAGTCTTCGGCTGCTATGCTGCACCATTCTCCTCCATTGTCGCTGCGGAGTGTTTTGAGTTTCCTGTCCGTTGCCCGTTCCATCCTGGCTATCCACCTTCTCAGCGCCGTGAGTGTGGCACTCTTTGTGCAGAGTGGTTCCATGTAGATCAGAGAGGAGAAGTCGTCCACAGCAACTAGTGCGTAGTGGTAGTTGGCATGTCCTTTGAAATCTGTCATCAGGTCTACGTGTACCAGCTCTAATGGTGCCTCCATTCTTTCCAACTCTGATTGGCTCATCCATGCTCGAGTCTGTTTTCCTTGACTGCACACGTTGCAGTGCTTCGACTCATGTTCCATTTCCTCGTCGGTACCTAGGTAATGGGCCCGGATTTGTCTCGTTTTGTCTCGTCCTGGGTGTCCGAACCTCTCATGCCATAGGTAGCTGTCTCGATGCTTCATGTCCTTATTGCCCTCTGGGGCATTATCTAGTTTTCCTGTGTTCTGGTTGTCCTCTGGGACGCCATCTCGTGTTTCCTCCAGTTCCAAAACCAGTGCTTGTCCTCGCACTTTGAAGTGGCCCTGTCTTCTGTCCCTTTTGAATTGTACTTGGGTACCATCGTTCTGCTTTATGGTAGTTCCAAACTCATCAAAGATTACTCGTGCACCATTCTCGATCAAGCCTTGTACAGACAATAAGTTAGCATTCAGTTTCGGTACATAAAGCACATCCAATAGTTGGATGGTGGCCTCACCGACCCGAAGGGAGGCATCTCCTATAGCCTTCACCTGAAGCTTTTCGTCCCCTGCCATACTGATTTGGCCGACCTTGTTTGTTGAGGTGAGCAGCATTCTCTCATCATTTACCATATGATGGGTTGCACCTGAATCGATGATCCAGGTGTCGCATGCTGATCGCTCGCCCCTGTCGACTGCTAGAAAGGTGCACCCGAGTTCCTAGTGGTTCACTTCTTGTGCCAGATTGGGGGTGGGTCCGTCTCTACTAGGTGCAGGGTTATTGTTGGTGTTCGTGCAGTTTCGAGCAATGTGATTAGGTCCTCCACAAGTGTAGCACTTTGGAGGGGCCGAGGGGTTGTGAGGATCGCGCCTGCCTCTGGGTCCTTGCTCCGCCTGGTCCGTGCTTGTGGCAACCCTTGCTGCTCCTCTAATACGGCCAGTGACCTCACCATCCTGCTGTTTCTTGGCGAGTGCATGGTAGGCTTCGTCATATTTACAGTCTGGTCTGGCCGTTTTCAGTGCATCGACGGTGTTGGCATAGAACCAATCTTGGGCCGTGCAGCGATAGAGAGTAGATTTCTTGAGGTCCTCGTCGAAACGCTTTCCCAGGCGTGCCGTATCGTTCCAGATTGAATCGAGTTCCTTGCCTAGCCTGACAACGTCTCGATTGTGCAAGCGCACTGTGTGAATACGATCCTGCAGTCCTGCTCGCTTTACAGCGTCGTTCAACGTTAGTGCCTTCTTGAGTTTGGCATAGAGTGTGCTACCGAGTTGGACTTCTTCATCCACTCCCCTGACGGTGTAGGTGTCGATACGGCTGTCTGGACTGTTGTCACAGCAGGCGTGGATGAGGCCCGCGAGGGCTTTATCCAAGTCTTCGTCGTATTCCTCGTTTCCAGGCGCTACCGTGCCATACAGTATCTCCTTCGCATTATGTACTCTTTGGATGCAGTCGATGAAGGTAGGTTCCCAAGTGTGCCAGTTGCTGTCGCTGAGCTTCTTGATGTGCGCAATGGCGCTCGACACCTCCTTGGGGATCTTCTCGGTTTCCCTGCACGGGGTCTGGTTGCTAATGCTGATGAGACCCATAGCTCGTACGATTGCTTCCTCAGCCATTAGTGCTGGGTTCGCCAGCTGGAGGATCCTGACTACCTGCGTGAGCCATCCTTCCTCCTGTCCGTTGCTTGGGGTCGTTTGATCATCATCGCCCCTTCCCGTCTGTCCAGCTCTTGTCGATGGTGGCATTGCGTTGAGTGTCAGACTCTTAATCAGTTGAAGTCCTTCGTCAGTGCGTTGAAGTCATTCGTCAGTGCATTGGAGTCAGTCATCAGTGGTTGATGATGATGGTAGGAGAGAGAGAGAGCGAGAGAGCTAGGAGTCTATATATACAAAAGAAGAGCGGCGGAGAGCCACATTGACTGCGGAGCATAACAAAGCATTTGCCTTGAGTAGGTTGTGACACATGTGGTCTGTGCTAAGATGTTCAGGCCTTTTACTCGGCCGTAAGCACTACCTTCACTGTCTCCACGCTTTGTGCGGCTTTATCTACTTCAACTTGACTAACCTCGTTCAACAAATTAATTCTCCCATCCGACTTGCTCAGCCGAATCTCGTCTGCTACCGCACTGACCCGCAATCTAACATGGCTTCTGTATCCGTTTCTGTATCGTCCGACTAATGCTCCTTTGTATGAGTCAAGCTGGGTTGATTTTATAAACGAGAAACAAGTTGCTTGCATGCATGGCAATCTTTCCCTTCGCTTACCCACTGACCACTCATACATGTCTCACGCTCATCCTGGTGAAAGGAGGTGGAAACGCCGAGGCAATGACACCTGTCAGGTCTCAAGAATCGAGCAACCAGATCCGATCTCTTCCCGTTGGCATATCTTCACAGCTAGCTCAAGCGATGCTACAGTATTTTCGATCCCCCTTTGCAGCCTCTGGCAGCCGCGCCGAATGTCAAAACTCGTCTGTGGCGGCGGTAAGCCTCAGTTTGACAGTTTGACAAACGGCAAGCGATTCCGACGTCCTCGGCGTGAGAAATGTCCCTTCTTCATACGCCACACATTCAATGTGAGATCTCAACAAGCTGGATCGTACGAGAACAGACCTTAGACGCCTTAATGCTGCTCAGGGAAAACTGAAAACATACATTTCAGAAAATCCAAACGGAAAATGAGGCCGACAAAGAAATTCGGCCAGATATTACGGAGAACTACAGAAGGGCGAGGACAATTGATATGCAATCAAGAATCAAGGATAGCTAGAGTGAGGAGACCTTGGCCCTCGAAATAAAGATATACTGCCACTTGGTGAGATGGCAAGCTCAGTGAGAAGAGGAGCATCGCGACTGCTCCTGCGAGGCTTGCTGCCTGTTGCTCTGAACAGCACCCGATCTGGCGTTGCTTACTTGACTAGTGTCTTGGCTGTTGCTCTGATTCTGACTCTGGTCTGAAGCACCGCTCTGGCCTTGTGGTTGGCTTTGAGCTTGGTTATCGTTGGAAGTCTGACCAGCCCCGGTTTTTTGCTTTTGCTTTTGCTGTTTCTGTTTCTGTTTCTGTTTCTGTTTCTGTTTCTGTTGCTGTTGCTGTTGCTTTTGCTTTTGCTGCTGCTGCTGCTGTTGCTGCTGCTGTTGAGCAGTTTCGGGGCTCAAAGCTTGGTTGTTGCTCTGCGACTGCGACTGAGAAGAGCCGGCAGAGTTGGAGCTGACCGTGTTGCCAGTACCATCGACGTTGGTGTTTGAGATGCTCGTCTGCTCGTTGCCTTCGCCAGCCTGGTTGTCGCTGCCCGACTGGTAGTTGCCCAGAACGATCAGAGGCGCATCACCAAGCCCTCGAATTGAAAGTTCGGGGCCAGTGATCAACAATCCGACATCGCCAGCTCCGCTCGGAATCGGTGCTGCTGTTGCCCCCATCGACAAAACCATGGCAAGTGCCACGATGGTGAGCAAGCCCGACTTTGCCTTCATCTTGAACGTTGTCCGAAGGAGGATATGCTTTTAGGATCTCGAGGAGTTGATTGATGCGTTAGAATGTGATGGTGGTAGTGGAGATGTTTGCGAAGGATGTGGTCGTTTAAGACACAAGACTCCAAATTCACACCTGTGTGCGCTTGGAGAGGGACTTGGAGAAGCCCCCACGCGGAACGACGAGGCTAGCTAGGCAATCCTAAATCTCTAAGCACAATCTTGACGGAAACACTGTCAAAGCTTCACAACCTGTCCGACCAGACAGACTCGTCAGCGACTTGACAGCTATCGCAACCAACGTGCCACTTTCTATCGCTTGCTTGGCGCCAAGGATATAGTCTCACCACATACTCAACTAAGATCGCACCATCTCGAGCTGTGCAAGCCACTGATTTTCCCATCGGCAAACCTAACAAAGACATGCAGAAGCTGACAAACTTCCATTGTTTCGGGAGAGAGAAGAAGGTTTTCAGGAAATCGCGAGGTGACAGCTCGTCATCTCACAACATGCCTACCGATGTTCAAAGAGCAGCAGAAAGCAAAGCGGCAGAGAGGTGAAAAGCAGAACCTCAAGCCGCTCAACCAACAGACCGCTCTGACAGCTCTACAGGTGAGACACTCAAGCGACTAATCTGATTGTAGAGGTTGGGAGCCGCCGTCTGGTCCCTGCACCTTCCTTGTCAGTTGCAGTAGGCACACAAGAAAAGATAACTCACCGCGGTGAAAACGGAAGAATCGAGGTGATCGCAAAGGGCTCGCTACTTGACCGGCTCTATAGAACTCGCACGTTTGACCGCATGATCGCAGAATGCAGGCTATGCATAGCACAGTCATATGCCAACGTTTAGAGCCTGCATGCAGCCATCTGACAGTAAGTCACCGGCAGTCGGATCTCATTTTTCCCCCGCTTAGAGATTGATTTCTCTTGATTTCTTTTGATTTTTTGATTTTTTTTTTGATTTTTTTTTGATTTTTTTGGGGGTTTCTTTTTCATAAAAAATGCCATTCTGGATGTCGTCACGTGTCGACGACTTCCAAGATGTGGCGCCCCTTCGGCTATCCTATGATTTGTGATCAAGCTCGCTGGGGCAGCTACAAGGCCGATCGTCTCAGCCTTGCGTTCTTTGACACATGTCAGGCGTCCATCACATCTTGAATCTCACACCGAATCACCCAATCATTCGCCTCCAACCGCACCGTTCCAGCGTCTTTCTTGCGGCAACGAGAATAGCCCTACCGACAACACGCACCCTCCCGCAGACCCTTGCTGAGCAAACGTCTTCGAATGTAGCCTACAGCAAAGAAGCAAACACATTTGTCACTCTGCATGCTTTACTGACGCCACAATGTACATCCCTCATCCCCTTCTCCGCTCAGATTTCGTGCTTGACAGTCAAACGCCGCACTGCTTGTTTGCCTTGCAGCCACCACCATCACACTGCGTCCAACCACAAATTCACGAGCTACCACTCCCAAGACGCCTCTCGCTCCTTTCGCAACACCATACTATACCTCTTTTCGAGCCTGTGCTTTGCCGTTCACGTTTAGTCAATTCTGACAGCTCTGAATCCGCAAAGCTTTGCAACCCTCGCCTTCTACGGCAAACCTTCAGCACGATCTCGCAACTTTTTCCTTACCCGCGCCTCCTCCCCATCTCATTGGCCGCCCTCTCTCTTCCGCTCCTCCTGCCCCCTCCTGTTCCTCCCTTCTCACCGTCGTTTGACCTCGCTTCCTCATTCACATCCGAGAGAAACTTTCCCATGTTTCGGGTGTCACTCTCTTCGGTACCCATCCCAGTCCCTGTGGGTGCTCATCATGGGAAAGTTCCCATACCCATCGCTTAGACTGATCGCTTCTACAGAGTCTCGTTCGGAAGCATATCCTTTCGCCAGCCGAGGCCAGCCCCCAATCCAAGTCCTGACACGAGCCTTGTCTCACGTCATCTACACCAGGCAAACTGTGTGGCATTGCGTTGAAAAAACTGTTCCGTACAGCGAGAACGCACCATCGAGGTGCGATGTGATGCTGTTGAAGCTCCTTTTCCCGCCGTCTCCAGTGGTGTAAGTCTCTCTCTGTACACACAGCACGCCACCAGTCTTGTTTCACCAGCCTCATCGCACCCTTCCTTGTCGCTATGCGGTGTCGTATAGCGTCGAACACTCCTTCTGCTGGACATTCCGCTGTGTCGTACAGCGAAGCTTGCTACGGAACATCTTTGCAAGACTCTACCCTCCGTACAGCAGCCCTTCGTGTAGCTTCCGACTCACTTGACCAACGCGCTCACTCCCCCTCCTCGAAAGCTATATAACACGATCCTTTTTCGTCCTCCTCCCAATTTCATCCTTCATCAAACCACAACATTCAAGCATTCAAGCATTCAAGCATTCAAGCATTCTCAAGGACAATCTTCTCCTTCCGCATCCCCTCTCGTACTCTACTATAATATCTTAATCTCTGCTCCCCTTAATTTCCCTACTTCTCCCTTTAATCTATCACAATGAAGTTCTCCTCCGGATTCACTGCCTTTGTCGCTGCCTCGGTGGCCACTGCCAACCTTGGCGCCGCCGCACCTGTCAACAACAACGGCCTCGCCACTCGTGACGTTTCCCAGTCAAACTCCCAGTCTACTAGTCAGCAGGCTTCGGGCAAGAACGTCCACCAGGACTCCGACTCTGCTCAGCACAACAACCAGGGCGTCAAGATCTCCAAGGATGCTTCCTTCCAGATCTCGCACCCTGCTATCGTCGTACCCGCTTCCAACCACCCTTCGTCTGGCAGCACCACCCCCTCCAGCAGTGGCTCGACCACTCCTGCCACCTCTGAGGGTGAGCACCACGACTCCGAGGACAGCAAGACTGGCGACTTGATCTCGCTCAGCCTTCTCAACGGCAACAAGGCCAACGCTCAGGTTGCAGGCACTGGCAACCAGTCCAACAAGCGCTCCACTGGCAGCCTCGTCGACGCTGATGCTCTCGACGACAACAACGCCAACCTCCAGATTCTCGGCACTGGCAACCAGAAGAACGTCGACAGCCACAAAGAGCACCATGACGGGCACCGTGACGCTGAAAATGGCGACTTGATCTCGGCCATTCTCCTCAACGGAAACGACGTCAACGCTCAGGTCGCCGGCACTGGCAACCAGAAGAACAAGCGTGGCCTCTTCGGCGCCGCCTCCGGTAAGCAGGACGCTTCCGCTGACGGCTTCGGTGGCTCATCCTTCCAGGGTCAGAGTAACGCTCCCGTCCTCTCCGGTGCTGGCAACTCGCTCACCGCCGGTGGCGCTCAGGGCTCGCAGAACAACGGCCAAGGAGGCAGCATCACCCAGGACCTCCTTCAGAAGCTTCAGGCTCGTCAGCTCTTCTCCCAGGGCAAGCAGGGTGCTTCCGCCAACGGTTACGGTGGCCAGTCCGCTCAGGGTCAGTCCAACGCTCCCGTTCTCTCTGGCGCTGGCAACCCTCTCACCTCCGGCGGCCTCCAACAGTCGCAGAACAACGGTCAGGGCGGCTCCATCGAGCAGGCCCTCTCCCAGCTCCAGAGCCTTGGCGGCTTCGGCAAGCGCCAACTCTTCTCCTCCGGCAAGCAGGGCGCCTCTGCTAACGGCCAGGGCGGTACCTCTTTCCAGGGCCAAAGCAACGCTCCCGTCCTTAGCGGCTCTGGCAACTCGCTCACCGCTGGTGGTGCTCAGGGTGCCGAGAACAACGGCTTCGGTGGCTCCATTGAGCAGACCCTGTCTCAGCTCCAGCAGCTCGGCGGTGGCCTTGGCAAGCGCCAGCTTTTCGCTCAGGGCAAGCAGGGTGCTTCCGCTGATGGCTTTGGCGGCAGCTCGGCCCAGGGCCAGACCAGCAACCCTGTCCTCTCCGGATCTGGCAGCTCCTTGACCTCTGGTGGCGCTCAGCTCGGTGAGAACAACGGTCAGGGAGGCGAGATCCAGCAGACTCTCCTCCAGAAACTCGGCTTGGGCAAGCGCCAGCTCTTCGCCTCTGGCACGCAGCAGGGCTCTGCAGATGGCTACGGTGGCTTCTCCTCCCAGGGCCAGGACAACCGCCCCGTTGTCTCTGGTGCCGGCAACTCGGTCACCACTGGTGGCTCCCAGTTCGGCCAGAACGACGGCACTGGTGGAAGCGTCGACCAATCCATCTTCCAAAAGCTCGGTCTTGGCGAGCGCCAGTTCAAGGCTTTTGGCAGCCAGGACGCTTCCGCTGACGGCTTCGGTGGCAGCAGCTTCCAGTACCAGAACAACCGCCCCGTCGTCTCGGGCACCGGTAACTCTGTGACCGCTGGTGGTGCTCAGGGCGCTACCAACAACGGTCAGGGCGGCGACATCAGCCAGCAGCTCCAGCAGCTTCTCGGCCGCCGCCAGTTCCAGGGTCTCGGCCAGGGTATCAACCAGGGCATTGACCAGACAGGCTCCGCTAACGCTTACGGTGGCACTGCTTACATCTACGGTAACAACGGTCCCGCTTCCGTTGACGGCACTGCCACCGCTGGCACCGTTAACCAGGGTGCTTCCGGCCAACAGGACGGCGCTCAGTCTGCTACTCAGGGTCTTACCCAGGAGACCTTGAACCACTTCTTCGCTCGTCAGCTCCAGGGTCTCGAGCAGGGTATCGGCCAGGGCATCCACCAGAACGGCCAGGCTGACGCTCAGGGTGGCTCCGCCTACCTTGTCGGTGGCAACGGCCCCGCCTACGTCAAGAATGGTGCTACTGCCGGCACTGTCAACCAGAACGGCCAGGCTGACCAGCAGGGTCAGCAGTCCGGCACTCAGTCGCTCCAGCAGTCCATCCAAAACCTCTTTGGCCGTGCCATCCAGGAGCAGGACCAGGGTGTCTCGCAGGGTACCACTCAGACTGGCTCCGCCGATGCTGAGGGTGGCGACGTCAAGATCGTCGGTGGCTGGTCTGCCGGTCCCGTGACTGTTGACGCTTCCAGCCACGCTGGTGTCGTCGACCAGGACAGCACCAGCAACCAGAAGCCCAACCAGAACGCCGCTCAGACTGCCAACAAGGAGAACATCAACCAGTTTTGGGCTCGTCAGATCCAGGCTCAGGCTCAGGGCAACACTCAAAACGTCAACACCAACGCTGACGTCTCTGCCACTGCCAGCCCCAAGGCCGCCTCTGGTTACTTCTTCACCCACCACCCCGTTGCTTTCGATAACACCGCTGTTGGTGGCTCCGTAAACCAGGATGTCCAGGCTAACCAGGCCAACAAGCAGGGTGCCAGCCAGAACGCCAACAACTACAAGAACATTCAGGTTCGCGCTATCCCCTCTGCGCTCAACTACGGTGCTCAGAGCGCCAACGCTGACGCCCAGGGTGGCTCTTCGTACTCTTACGAGACCAACGACAAGATTGTCAACGGCAACGGTCTTACCTCGGTTCAGGGTGGTCCCCAGACCTCTAATGGCTCTGCCGCCGCTGGCACCATCAAGCAGCTCCTCCAGCTCTAGTTAGTTTCTTTCTCATTAATAGTAGTTTCCTACCTAATCAACAGGTGGTGGGAAAGGCAAGAGCCGATGGATAGCACCTACTCCCAAGTCTTCCGAGTTTTTGTTTTGTCTCTATTCCACTTGCTCCTTTCCTTTCCTATAGCCTCTAGCCTCCTACTTGTTTCTAGTCTCGTCCTTGTCCTTCAGACCTTATCCTTATCTTGAATGCTCTCCCTTGAATGCAAAACTCGTCTTGTCTCTACTTTTTGCTTGCCATTCATCGACTGATCTTTTTGTAGGAGGCCTGTGCGGCGTATCCGCTCGTATCAGGCCGCTTATCGATGACGGCTAATTCGATACTCGAGGAGGAGAAGATAGGGGCCTGAGCTCTACCGCTGCATGGCCCCTTAGCATTGCCCCGTTATGTTTCAGCCTCGTCCACAGGGTAGGCGCACAAAACACACAAGACTTTGTCAGTTGGTTCTTCATTAGTACTAGCATCCATCCATTGTCTCTACATACCGTCCATCGTTGCCACAGGTAATAAAACCGCGCCCTACCTTCCAAGTCTGTGTCGCAAGCGACGAGCAAGTACGCTGCTCGCTCCAACAAAAGGGGCAGGGGTCCTTGTCACTTTGCCCAGCGCTCGCACAATAGCAGCATCAATACAGTGCCAATGTTTGTCTTTTTAGCTCGCTTTACTGTCTCTTTTGCTACAGAAGCAAGCGGCAACTGCATTCTAATTTCGCTTGCGAGGGAGAGCTCAAGTGGGAAAAGCGCAACCGAATGCAGTGGCCGCTCGTGATAGACGGTCCAAGCCCAACAGTCTCGCGTAGTTCGGGTCATCATCTCTCCCAGAAGAACCACGGGGATCGGGCAAAGGTCAGTGCTCCATGAGCGAGAATGGACAGCAGCACCTGCGCACAGGCCCAAACCGCGAGTGGGGGAACAGTCTAGCGAGGTTGCTGGAACACAATTTTTGTTGACAATGGCGACGCTCATGATGCAAGCTTGTGCTCCACCAAGCTTGCACTGCCAAACGCATAAACGTGCGGCTCATGATGATCGAAACATTTCGAATTTGAGCTCGGGCGCAAGTGAAGCGAGGGTCGACGGCGGGTGCATGATTCTATGGTCTTAGCACAGTCTGCTCACTCAATCTGCTTCAAACTCGATCGAGGAGAGACTGTGTGCTGTATGATTAATAGATAAACTAGACGAAAACATTCGAGATGAATCTCGTGAGGATGTGTGGGATCATGCTGTAGCGGCAGGCTTTGAAACATCAAAGTGGACGCCTTCTTGGACCTTGCCGTCGGCAGTTTTAATGGTGATGGTGCCGTCTTCGTTACCAAAGTACGCCGACCTACAAATGTTGCAGAAGAGACCGACTTCGAGCACACCGGTGAGGAGCTTGATCCTTTGGAGGAGATCGGAGGGGTCCTTCATCTGAGACTCTGGGAAAGGAGCGTCGATGCAGAAGTTTCCATTGTCGGTGACGACAGGACCAGCCTTGGCCTTGCCCATTCGGAGGACAGGCTTGTGGGCACCCATCTTTTTGAGGTTCTGAAGGACCTTTGCGTAGGCGAAAGGAGCGACTTCGATAGGAATGCCTTGCAACCATTTTGTGCCGAGCTGCGATCCGTTCTTGCGGTAGTCGGCGACGACGACGAATTGGTTGGCAGCTTCTGCGAGAACCTTTTCCCGAAGATGGCAAGCGCCACCGCCCTTGATACAGTTCAAAGCGTTGTCGACCTCGTCAGCACCGTCGATGGTGACATCGATGCTTGGGAAGCTGTCGACATCGCCGAGACGAAGACCAGCGTCGATGATGAGCTCTCGAGACTGAAAGCCGGTGGGAACGAACCATCGCTTTGCATTGACAGCAGGACCCTGTTGTGCAATTCGCTCGACGACATAGGGTACTGTCGAGCCTGAACCAATACCGATGATCTCGTGTTGAGGCTTGACGTGGTTGTCGACGGCAGCGTAAGCAGCAGCACGCTTGGCAGCCTCGACACCGATCAAATGTGGGAGCTCGGCGCTCTTGTTCGCGGAAGCGTTGGAGTTGGCAGCATGAGCGGCGCTTGTCGCGTTGGAGGAAGCCATATTGCGAGGACGAGATCGTTGGACCGACAAGGTTCGGTGCGATGAGAAAACTTGCAGAGGTACGGCGAACGAGATACGAGGATGTCCTGTTGCGATGGTGGAGCGAGAGACGATATTAAGAATGGTGGTGCGCATCGACAAGAAGAGGATTTCCTGTCGGAACAAGTAGTTGAGCAAGATGTCAAGTCCATACGAAGCTCAACAAGATCTGAGGTCTCGCTTATCCGCAGCAGATCTTGAAAGCTGGACAGTGCACGATGACGTCGACGATCGCTTCTTCCAGAAGCCGATTGGTGAATTATTATGTAATCCAATGTCAGCGGGGGAGCGTCTCGAGGGTCTGTCTGACTAATCATTTTTAATCCATGCTGCTGAGCTTTTTCGTGGAGAATTTTCAGGGACTGACAGGCCAAGAAGAAAGTACAACAAACACTCACAACATATTGTCATGTTTGCTTCTCGACCATCACCTTGCCACTAACTTGGTCATATTCCCCCATACCCTGACCAACCACTGAGCCAGCACCGGAACAATCCGACGCAATACCTTTGGCCGCCGAGCTTTTTCGAATGGAGCTCAAGTTTCGATTGGCTTCTTGTCGCATTCCAAATTCGATTTCGCACGCCTCTGCTTTGAGAAGCGAAGCACAAGCACCTTGATACCCTCCATAGCACCCATCTCGCTCATTATCCGCTCCTTCAGGGCCATCCTGGACCTTTGGCATGGCTTCGCTCGACATGGACGCTTCGGCTGCCGCCGCTAGTCTCGACAGCCTGCACAGCGCACTTTCCAAGATTCGCCACCACACCAACTCGAAGCTTGAGAATCAAAAGGGCCCAGCACAGCTCCTCGTTGCTATTGAGGCTACGTTGAAAGAGCAAGACTCGTCCAATGGATCCACATCAGCATCGGATGCTTCCGCTTCTCAGCATGCTTTCACTCAGCGCGCACCCGCCGAATACTTTCTTGCTCTCGAGTCGATGCTCGAGCTTGCAAGATCGCCATCATCGCCACCTTCGCTGCTCAACAACGTCTTTTACCTTCTCTCCATAGTAGCACCACACGTATCTGCTGGCATCCTTCGTGCAAAGCTCGCATCCTTGGTACCCGCAGTCGGCAAGCTCCTTGGCACTCCTCACCCGACTACCTTCAACGTCAATGACACCTCGGCTGCAGAGAACTATGCTTCGGCGCTCAAGTCGGCGCTTGCCATCCTTCAGGTCATCTACACCGCTTTCGAAGCTGACCTTGCTGCTCTCGAGAAGGACGCCCCCCTGCGCTCCTGCTGGTCTGCTACGCTCAACCTCTGCGCCGACTCTCGTCCCAAGCTTCGAAGACGGGCACAGCTCCTCATCACCACCATCCTTCCCACCACAGCTGCCCCCTCGGTTAAGCCATATCATCCTTTCCTCAAACTCACCTTTGACTGGATCATTTCCACCTTGACCCACGTTGCCGATGCAGGCTCCGTCTCAACCTCGGCATCGAATCCAAAGAACGGAAAGGGCAAGAACAAGAAGCAGAACCAGAAGGAGGACCCCTTGCATCCAAAGTACGACAAGAAGTCCGGCACCGCCAAGCAGGCTCAAGCTGCAGCTGCCCTTCGACAGAACCTGGGCGACACCGCTTCCGTCGGTATCTGGACCTGCGGCTTCGCCAAGCAGCTCATCAACATCCTTCCCATCGCTCAGGTCGACGACCTCGTCGCTGCTCTACTCCTACTGCCTGGTATTCAGAATCCTTTCCTCACGGTTGCCGCCTTCGATGTCTTTGAAGCGTTCCTCAAGACTTGTCGTCCCAGCATCTCTTCTGGCGCCGCTCAGGCCGACGCCCTTTTCATCCAGTCGCACCTCACTTCCGCCCCCAGCAGCATCGGTGAGAAGACCCTCGCCAGCTTGCTCGATTCGCTGCGCGAGCCGGCGTTTGTTCCTTCCAGCTCCGACGTCCAGCTCCTTCCCGCTTACTTGCGAGCGCTTGAGCAAGCCATGTCGGCCTACTCTCGCTTCAACAACGGTGAGCCTGCTTGGCGTCTCGCTCCTCAGGTCTGGAACCAGGTCTTTGCCCTTTCCATGTCGGCCAAGTCTGATGCCTCGCGCACTGCTCCAGCAGTTCGTGCCGCCGGAGGTGACACCCTTATCGCGCTTCTGCGCTACTGTGTGCCCGATGCAGCCGTCATCGACTCGATCAAATCGTCTTTCTCCAAGAAGAAGGCTGGCAGCAACCCTCTCCTCGACATGATCCAGTCCATCGAGGATGCCATCGGCAAGGACTCGCTCCAATACATGCACTCGCGCGCTGAGATCCTCTCTGTGCTCGCCTCGCTCATCACTCGATTGCGCTACCACTACGTGCCCAACACCCAACCTCCTCACCCCGCCGCTGCATCGCTCACCATGCACATCGTTCAGAGTATCGCTGAGCTTCGTCAGGAGCCCACCTTCGAGCACCGCGAGTACGCCGATACCGTCATTGCTGCTGCTGTCGAGGTGTGTGGTCCACGTCTCCTTCTCGAGTCCATCCCGCTCAACCTCTTTGGTGAGGCTGAGGGTCCTGGTCGTGCTTGGCTCCTGCCCCTCATCCGCACCAAGATCACCAACACCGAGCTCAGCCACTTCACCGGCGATCTCGTCTCGCTGTCCGAAAAGATCTTCAACAAGCGTCAGGAGGCCGAGAGCGATGGTCGTCCCGTCGAGGCCAAGATGTACGAGGCGCTCACAGAGCAGATCTGGGCTCTCTTCCCAGCCTACTGCGCCATGCCTCGTGATCTTGTTACCGCATTCACCCGTCAATTCGCCGAGCTCTTGACGAATGTGCTTTACACTCAGCCCAACTTGCGTCCTTCGATCTGCCGAGGTCTTCAGGCTCTTGTCTACCGCAACGAAGCTCTCGTCTCGTCCGGTGCTCCCGCAGACTCGCTCAAGCACGCATTCGGTCTCGATCAAACTGATGGCAAGGCCAACATCGCTCACCTCTCGGCTATCGCTCCCAACCTCCTCGCCGTCCTCTTCAACGTCTTCTCACAGTCGCCCGGAGAAGGTCGAGGTTTCGTTTACGACACCATCGCTGCTTACCTCCGTGTCATGTCGCCTCAGGATGTGCAGAACACCTACGTCAAGGTCAAGACCACGCTCGAGCAGTCGTTACCCACGCTCCCTACCAAGCAGAAGAAGAACTTCAAGGAGGCACCCAACGCTCCTCCTCCCGTTTCTTACACTATGCTCGACTTGCTCTCCGCTTTGATCCCTCACCTCGACAAGGCTGCGCAGGGCTCTGCTGCCGATCTCTTTTCGCTCATCTGCCAGGACAATGTTCTGCGCTCGCATGACTCGACCGTGCAGAAGAAGAGCTACCGTATCCTCAGCCGTCTGCTCGAGGGCGACTCCGGCAAGCAGATCCTGCAAGTCAGCAGTAACGGCGCTAAGGCCAGCAACCGCGTCAGTGAGTTGCTCGAGAAGCTTCGGGAGTCGACCGCCAGTGTTGCTCTTGGTGCCAAGCGTGACCGTGTCCTCTTGCTCGCTACGCTGGTTCCCAACATTCCGTCGGACGAGCTTCACCACTTGCCCACCATCATTCCTGAAGCAGTGCTGGCAACCAAGGAAGTCAACGCCATCACTCGTCAGAACGCCTACGAGTTGCTTGTTCAGATGGGCTACAAGATGGAGCAGGGTGGTGTCATTAACCGTTCGCTCCTCGAGGGACATGGCGCTGGTGCCGCTGCTGAGGGCGAGGACGAGGAAGACAGCAAGATGGCCGAGGGCGGCGTCGTTTCTGCCTCGATTAGCGAGTACCTCACCATGGTAGCTGCCGGCCTTGCCGGTACCACACCTCACATGATCAGCGCCACCATCACCGCTCTCTCCCGACTTGTATACGAGTTCAAGGAGAACCTCGAGCAGAGCGTGCTCGACGACTTGCTCAGCACCATCGAAGTCTACCTTCAGTCGGCCAACCGTGAGATCGTCAAGTCAGCGATCGGCTTTGTCAAGGTGGCCATTGTCGACTTTAATACTACTCTGATTGACTCGCACTTGCCCAAGCTGATTCCAGCACTGCTTGGATGGTCGACAGAACACAAGCAGCACTTCAAGGTCAAGGTCCGTCACATCGTTGAGCGCTTGCTCCGTCGATTCGGCTTTGAGCGCATCTACCAGTTGACGGATGAGGACAATCGGAAGCTGATCAACAATATCCGCAAACGCAAGGAGCGAGCTAAGCGCAAGAAGGCCGGCGCCGCCGCTGACAGAGAGGCAGGTGCTCTTGGTGAGGAGGATGACGACGAGCCTGGTCTCGCTCCACGCATCCTCAAGACCAAGGGTGGCAACGATGCCTTCGAGGAGGTGGTGTACGGATCCGAGTCGGACATTTCGGACTCGGACGAGGATGGCGATGACGACGCCGAGGCTGGTGACGGTCGCAAAGGTGGTACTGCCGCAGCTTTGGCTCGCAACCGCAACCGCAACCGCAACCGCAAGGACGGTGGTCGTGATGGTGACGAGAAGGAGGGTCGTCGTGATCGTCGTCGTGCCAAGCAGCAAGATGAGGCTTACATCGAGATGGATGACGAAGACGATGTGCCCATGGACTTGCTTGACCGCAGCGCCACTGCTCGTATCTCTCTCTCCAACCCCAACGCCAAGAATGCCGCCAACGGCCGCAACAAGAAGCGCCATCCCGGTCAAGAAGCTAGCAAGTTTGCCCTTGACGAAGCCACCGGTCGTATGCTCATCGACGACGAGGAGGATCGCTCCGCCAAACAGTCGAACGCTGCTGCCAAGCGTGTCTCGTTCGCGGATGGGGCCAACGCGGAGTCTGAAGACGTGGAGGGTGCAGGCACAGCCTACCTCAACCAAGCCCGTGGTATGGACGGTATGGCTCAGGTTCGTGGTGGAGCTGTCAAGTTCAACAAGAACAACAAGCGAACTCGTGAAGCTGAACGCGAGATGGAGCTGGAGCAGATTGCAGTCGAGGAGGCACAGGACCGAGCACGACAGGTGCAGGGCGGCAGACGAGCCCAAGGGGCGGACAAGAAGAGAAGAGTTAAGGAAACAATTGGTAAAGAGTTTCGTGCTAAGCGGGGTGGCGGTGATGTGATCCGCAACGGTAAGAGTCCGTATGCTTATGTGCCGCTCAGCCAAGTTGCGGGTAAGAAGGCGGACAAGAAGGATAACATCTCTTACACTGGCAAGGGCGATAAGAGCCGAAAGCGTCGTTGATCGAATGGCTTCAAGTAACCATGGTCTCTCATTGTAAATACACTTTATTTATGCAAGGTCTAGAATAGCTTCTATATTGATCATGGTGTCCGTGAAGGTGGTTGTTGTGGTGGTCTTTGAATAGGCGCTGTGCGAGATACACGCATGCGACTGCGCTGGAGCATGGCTTGTAATGGATCCAGTGCTGGTGCTTTGGTTGGTGGATCGGCGGATTGCTGCTGCTGCTGCTGCTGGGATTTGGCAGGTTCTGCTTTTGCTTTCTTCAACTTGTCCAACTGGTCATGATGAACCCAATAGCTCTTCCCGTAGTTGATCACCAGCTCTTGACCTTTTCGAATGAGCCGAGTTGCGAAGAGGCCCATTTGAAATCTCTCCTGTGAATCCTCTTGCGGCTGCTCCGCTGTGGAATCGTACTGGATGAAGGAACGAAACTCGACGTTGGGTTTCTGAGCGATGCCGCGGTAGTCGTTGACAAAGCGTGATTCGTTTCCCCAATACCGACTGTCTATGTACAGCGCTGACGGGTCCTGCTGTTCTGACACTGATTCAGCATGAAGCGAAAGGGTGTCCAGATTGGTCTGTGGAGGTTGAAGACAGAGAAGCCGAGGATCGTGACAAAGACTGAGGTCATAAGTAGAATGGAAATCTGCATCTGCTTTGGTGTGCAATACGCCAAGATAGGGCCGTATGAAGGTATTTGGAAGGATCTCTTGTGCTGCGAAGAGGCCGAAAGATCCCAAGGATGGATGTGCCTTGAGGTTGCGACTGGTCGAGTGAAACGAGTCGGAACACCAAGGAGAGTCCTGATAGATTTTCATGATGGCGAGTGGCACTTGTTCTTGTATTGAGGTAGTATACAGTGTTACCGCTCGTCCATCTCTGTGTGTTGCTTGAGGCAGGTCCTTGTCGATACTTGGTCCAGCAGCATCGTCCGAGTCGTCTCTTATTGACCAAGAGCTGGGCTGAAGCACATATCGTCGAGCCACCGACTCAGGCACCGATGGAGCTACGAGATTCTGTGTGATGAATATAACATCCTCCGGCCAGTGCTTTGGCACTTGCAAGCTTGCTTCTAGAAGGCCACGACCTTGCTTTGAGCTAGATGGAGCTCTTGTCCACCACTCTCGTGCTTGACTGTTCAGCGCAGACTTGGGACAGGGTGCGGGCGAGCGTGTCGAAGGTACAGCCCCGTTCACGGCCGAGTTGACCACTTCGGCCGCTTGCAGAGCCTGCGCTTCCGACATGGCTTGCCGAACTGGATAGTAAGAGCTGTATGGTGTGAGCGAAGATGGTGTCTAGCACATTGCGAGGATTGCTTTCGAAAAAGTCAGTCCCGTTTGGACTCAATCGCACGAAACGAAACCAAGGGACAACCTATAAGAACACGCTAAAAACTAGGTGGATTGCAGGCAAAGACCCGTGAGGTCCTCGAAGCTCGACAAGGAGGCTCCCAGCCCGCCGTAGATGGGGCCGGTCGAACGCAGAAGCGAGCGGCAAAAGAGGGTGTACAGGGAGGGCGAATAACGAAACAAGGCTGCTTATCGTATGCCTGGCTTTGGAGAAGATGATGGTAGTCAAGATGATGGTAGTCAAGATGATGGTAGTCAAGATGATGGTAATCAAGATGATGGTAATCAAGATGATGGTAGTCAAGAGAGAAGGGGAGAGCAGAACAATGCGATGGCTGAGTCCAGTGCAGACGCGCACGCGTTTCTGTGAAAATCACGTGATGCAAACTGGACCCTAAATTGCAAACAACCAAGATGTTAGGCCGAACAGAACAACATTGCTGAAAACTCGCACTGCTTCTTCGGCCCAACGCGGTCTAACATCAAAGAAGCAGTCACATCGAGTCACGGCCCATTTTTACTGAGCCTGAGAAGACACCTTGCTCGACAGTTGCTCCTCGTCCAACTTCCTTCCTACCCCCACACACAATACTCTTTTCCCTTCCCTCATATCTACAAGTCGTTCGACCACAATCACCGCGGACATCCCCCATAACGAATCCCTGGCTATCACTCTCGCTATCCTTCACCATGGCGCCCATGATCCCAGGTGACAAGTACAAACCCTACAAGCCCATCGATCTCCCAAACCGAACATGGCCCACAAAAGTGCAAAAGACAGCTCCAATTTGGACCTCGGTCGATCTCAGAGATGGTAACCAGGCTCTCATCAACCCCATGACGCGGGAGCAGAAGCTCAAATTCTACCAGAAGCTCGTCCAGGTCGGCTTTAAGGAGATCGAGGTCGCCTTCCCCTCGGCTTCCGATACCGACTTTGGCTTTGTTCGTCATATCATCGAGAACAACATGATCCCCGATGACGTCTACATCCAGGTCCTTACTCCTGCTCGTGAAGAGCTCATTCGACGCACATTCGAGTCCATCAAAGGTGCAAAGAACGTCATCCTCCACATGTACAACGCCTCTTCCCCCCTCTTCCGAAACGTCGTTTTCAACAACTCGCAAGAGCAGACCATCGACCTTGCCGTACGACACACCAAGGTCGTTCGCGAGCTCGCCGACCACTACTCGAAACCTGAGAATGGAGGCACCAACTTCAAGTACGAGTATTCGCCAGAAACCTTCACCCAGACTGAGATGGACTTTGTCGTCAAGATTTGCGAGGCTGTTCGCGAGGCATGGGGCAAGGCTAGCCACGAGAACCCTATCATCTTCAACCTTCCCGCTACTGTCGAGGTCGGCCCACCCAACCACTACGCCGACCAGATTGAGTACTTCTGCACCAACATCACCGATCGCAAGTCTGTCGTCGTCTCGCTCCACCCTCACAACGACCGAGGATGTGCCGTTGCTGCTTCCGAGCTCGGTATGCTTGCCGGTGGTGACCGTGTAGAGGGCTGTCTCTTTGGTAACGGTGAGCGTACCGGAAACGTCGACATCGTCACTCTGGCTCTCAACATGTTCTCCCAAGGCATTCAGCCTGGTGAGCTCGACCTCTCCGACATTCAGAGCGTCGTCGATGTCGTTAGTGGATGCAACGACATTCCTGTCCACCCTCGTCATCCTTACGCCGGTGATCTCGTCTTCACCGCTTTCTCGGGCAGTCATCAGGATGCTATCAAGAAGGGATTCGCAGCTCAAGCCAAGCGCATCTCCGAAGGCGACAACACCTGGGAGATACCTTATCTACCCATCGATCCCGTCGACCTCGGATGCACCTACGAGGCCGTCATCCGTGTCAACTCGCAATCAGGCAAGGGCGGTGTTGCTTACCTCGTTGCACAGAGTCTTGCTCTCGATCTGCCTCGTCGCATGCAGGTCGCTTTCTACCAGGTTATTCAGCAGGTCGCCGATCGCACCGGAAAGGAAATGACTACCGAGGACATCACCAGCATCTTCACTCAGACATACCACCTCGCTTCCCTCGAAGCTGGTCGCAATGAAGGCCGATTCGCTCTCCGTGGCTACTCTCTCTCCGATGACCTCTCATCCAGCATTAGCTCGGAAGATGAGCAGGGATCGGGTCTGCAAACTCCCCGTCTCCGTCGTTTCACCGGAAAGGTCCTGTACGAGGGCAAAGTGCACGAACTCACAGGTACGGGCAACGGTGCCCTCTCCGCCTTCCTCGACGCTGTCGAGTTGACATTCAACATCAAGGCTGAGATTCGAGAGTACAGCGAACACGCGATCACCAAGTCATCTAGTCTCCAGACCGGTTCTAACGCATCGAATGCTGCTGGACGAGGGAACGGAAGCAAAGCACAAGCCGCAGCTTACGTCGAGCTTATTGACTCAGCACAGAAGGAGCAGATCGGAGAGAAGAAGGCAGAAGGCTTCTGGGGTGTCGGTATCGATGTCGATATTACCACTGCTTCGCTCAAGGCTGTGCTTTCGTCGCTGAGCAACATCACTAAGCCTGAGGCTGTGATTGCTGAGGCTGTGGACGTTGCTGCTTCGAATGGCAAGCAGTGAGCTCACATGGTCGAATGGTGTTGCTTTTCCAGTCGTGGCAATCCAAAATATCATCTGTTGTTCGCCTCTTTCTAGGGTGTCTTCTGACTCGTGTGTTGTCTGCTGTGTGTCCTGACGTCTGTCTTGCTTCCTCGTCAGTGTCCAGTCCGGCTAGGTGGTAAGTTGGATAACCGGTCAATCAACGTGTTTCTTTTTGCAACGGAGCATGTCAAATCAGTTGCCAAAAGAGGTACATACTAATAGAAGTGAAGAAGTTTTGCTCCCGTTACTGGCAATCGGGGAGAGTCCGAGTAGGATGTCACTACCACTTTAGCGCAGAAACATATATACTCGATTGACTAAAGTGAACATGGTGAGGACCTAGTGTGCTCAGCTTGATATATATACATTTATGAGGTGCGTGCCGAATGTGCGAGTATCCTCCTTCATCATCTAGCTTGACAACGAGCGGGGCTATGTTGCACCCGATCTCCAGACAGATCTGTTACAATGGATCGCCGATTGAGTTTATGTCAGCATGCATCATCATATTGGATCGCAAGTTGTCGGATTGCTCTGCTTTGAGACATGTTTGTTGACGCTCTGTCTTGACATGGATCCTCAATTGTTCGTCGTTCACTTGCTTCGTGTTGGACGCTCACAGAGCAATTTGTCACGCCCGCGTGAAAAACTGGGACTCAAAAGACGACAGCTGTATTGTGGGTCTGGACAAGAACCATCTTTGTGGAGTGTGTTTGGATGTGAGGCCTGTGCGGCGTATCGGCTGGTATCGAGCCGCTTATCGCGACATCGCAGACATTCGGAGGGATAGATGGGGATTTGTAAGCCGGATACCCGGGAATGTACTCTGTTCCCCAACGGAGGCTCCGGGGACATTGGCTTGGTTTAGTTTGATGCGACAGGCAAGCAAAAGCGTAGTCTTGCTGGGGGCCGGACCGGACAGGTTGACTCACTGATTGACATTGTCGAGGCAGTGTGGCTCTAGCTTCGCTTGACTCAAGTGGAAGCTCACTTGATCGACACACGAAACACAGCCATGGACGAGTCTGTTGAGAAAGGCTTGCTTGTATTGAGCTCAACCCTCCTGCATAGTATCAAGGTCATCGATACTAGCGAGCAGCTCTCCTTGACCAAACTCTTTATCAAAGTGATCCTCTTGCTTTGCTGCTCCAACTTCCATGTGCGAATGGCTATCATCCTTGTCCACCACCTCCCCATCAGCATTCACCTTGAGCTCGCCGCCCATGAGCTTGTTAAAGGTCTCCCTCTCCTTTGCTTGTCTTTGTTCAATATCGCTCAACTGCCACAAACTGACGCCGTTCTTTCCTTCTGGATAGGGCTGAGCCATTGAACGAATGAATAATTTGGACTCAACAACCGCCATATCGGTCGAAAGATTCGAATGTGTCTCCTTGATATACTGGGCGATCCACTTTGGCAGCTTATTCCTCTTGTCGGCTCGAGCGAAGCGTTTGTCGGCAAAGACCATCAAACCATAATCCGTTTTACCACGCAGTACTCGTCCTACGCACTGAGCAGCGTGTCGCATAGCATCAAAGGTCAAAAAGTCATTCTCTCGAATCCTGAAGTTATCTCGAAGGAATTCTAACCTCGCCTTGAGAATGCGAGATTCAGTGTACTGGTAAGGAACACCGAACATAATAACTGCGCGTCCGTAGTTGTGATCGAAATCGATTCCTTCTGAAACCTTACCGCGTGCGACGGAGAGAAGGATGGCACCACGACCGTTGTCGCATGCCCTCCTGTAGTTCTCGAGAGCGATACTTGTTTCTGGAGCATCTGGCGTTTCGATAAAGATGAGTTTGTACTTCCATACTTGGTCGAGAATACCCATGTCGTGCCATGCTGCTACGATACTCTCCATGTAGAGATAGGATGGGAAGAAAGCAACGATGCCATCTGGTACGCACTTGGCGTACTCGATCAAGATGCTTCCGTAGTTTCGAACTACTGCCGGGTCGTTTCGCACTTCGAAACGGGAGCTGATTGCCACTTGGTCGCTTCCACGCGTGATGACGAGTGGCAAGAAACATTGTCGGGTGAGCGTCATGGCATATGACTCTTGAATGATGGCATCGAACTTGAGCATCTTGGGATACATGTCGAGCGGGCTGATGGTGCCACTGGTGATGATGACACTTGAGAATCGCTCAAAGACGGGTGCGATGGCGAGACTGGCATCAAGGCAGGTGAAGTGGAAGATGGGGTTTGGTACGGTGGCGTTCTCTGTTTCAAATGGTTCGAGGATGAGCAAGAAGCCCTTGTCGTAGGTGGCGACAAGTGTGGCAAAGGCTGCAACCTTCTGCAGAGCTGAGTACTCGTCGAGACGTGTGAGCTCGAGCGTGCCGACGAGCATTCGAAGTCGCTCGGCACAGAAGCGGAGCGGTTTGCGTTCGATGTATGTGATGTCTTTTAAGTGTTGGAGGAAACTGGCTGGTGTCTCGGCTACGACATGTAGAACACGCATTCTTGTCTTGAGGTACTCGACAAAGCGCTTGAGGAAAGCGACAAAGTGCTCTGCTCGTCGGATGTTTCCTGGAATTGCCTCTGACAGGAGGTCATCGGGTAGTACTGGGTTGGCCATGAAGGTCTCGGCCTCTCTCTGATCTCCTTGCTCTTGCAATCCCTGCACCAAGCGTGCGTACTCGTCCTGTAGCTTGGATGCGTCAGTCTTCTTGATTTGGTCGACACGTTCTGAGAGCTGATTGATACTTCGGTAGGCGCTGTCGAGCATAGGCCGTGTGAGGTCGATGGAGAGCGACTCGATGCAAACGTTGTCGATGTTATGTGCTTCATCAAAGATGACGATGGCGTCCTTGCTCATCTCCTTACTGACCTGCTCTGCTACTTTTGGATCGAGGAGATAGTGGAAACTATAGATGATGATGTCGACGAAAGGGATCATGCGTCGAACGGCAAAGTAAGGACAGATGCGCTTGTCTCTTGCGTACTCCTTGACCTCTTCCAATGTCCACACTCCTGGCGGGATGAGTTGGCCGGGCTCCATGTTGCCAAGTTCCTCATGAAAGTCACAAAGCTCGACACTGCCAGGATCTTGACGGCCCTTCTCGCAAGCCCAACTGCTTGTCATATCTCTACATCTTGCATCGACCACTTTGCCTTTTCTCTCTCGACTGACGTCTGGGTGAATGCAGAGGTTCTTGCGCGAACTGAGACCAAGGGCGAGGATGTCTTGCATTTGGGCGCCAGCCTTGCCTCGACCTTCCATCTGGATGTGGTGCTCGCTAGGAGCATTGCCTTGCTCGGCTTGGTTTCTGAGTACTTGAGACTGTTGACCTTGCTTGAGATTGTAGCGTGCTCGATATTCCATCAAACGTTTCAACTCTGCCAATGCCTTTTCAATCTCTGGAACGGTACGGGAGCAGTAGATGAGCTTGCGCTTTGCCGGATGGAACTGCTGATACGATACGATAAGACTGAGAAGGGAGACTGTCTTGCCGGTGCCTGAAGGCATCTCGAGGACACAGTGGCCGTTTGCATCGAGAGTGCGCTTCAAGTCGGCCATGTAGGCATATTGCTCGGGATAGATCCTAGGGTATGGGAAGAGCACTGGAAGCTCATCGATGTAGAACTTCATTTTGGCAGGCGTTGGGTCTTGGCTCGGATGCGAAGGGTCGCTATGGTCGAGGATGGTAGGATGGCATTTGTGTATGCAAGTAGCAGTCAACAAAGACATGCACCCTTTTGGTTGCTCAGCAACTCGGAAGACGGCCAATGCTGAGTCGCGCGCTTTAAATGTGGAGGTAGTTGGTTCCATCGGGAAGCTTCTTGAGAGATGTTTTTTTATCGGTGATGATCGGTGATGATCGGTGATGATCCGTGTTGATCGGTGATGATTTTCTCCCGCCCGAAAGATTGAAGGAAAGTGTTGCGTGCAAAAAAAAAAATCAAAAATCAATTGGGCGCTCTGCTTACAGAAACGGAGAGTTGAATTGACACGCCTCAAGTGACTGAGAAAATTTTGAGAAAATTTTGGAAGATTTGAGAGGCGCACAAGAGAAGAGAAAAAAAGAACTCCTCCTTTTTGAAAAATTCGAATTTTCCGTCAAAGCTTCGCAAGCATTTCAGCAGTGTGCCGGTGACGAGACGAAGAGAAAAGAAAAGAAAAGAAAAGAAAAAGAAAAGAAAAAGAAAAAGAAAAAGAAAAAGGAAAAAAAGAAAAAAGAAAAGAAAGAAAAGAAAGAAAAGAAAGAAAAGAAAGAAAAAAAAAAGAAAAAAAGAAAAAAAAGGCCGAGAAGATCTGCTTGGTTTGAGTTGTGGAAATTGGTTTGTCCGAAATGCATGAGAAAACGAGGACCACAAACAGACTGCCTGCATATAAGATGCACAATGGTTGTCATGGTAACAGCTTGGGAACCACACATAAGGAAACAACCAGGAGTGCATTGCAGCAAGTGCACAGCCAAGCAATATAGAGCAGCATACTGTCATGGGCCTGGATGCTCAAGAAGCAGGAGGGTCATGGGTTCATATGGAAGGAGCACAGGTATCGAAGACCTAGTCGACACCAGTAGAGAGCATGGTCGTAGTGCAGTCTCCATGGAGACCATGGACTCCTATGGACTCACATGCAAAGGAGGGCCAAGCACAGCCACGAGGAGGACCAAGCTCAAGGAGCAGGCACAGCCACGAGGAGGACCAAGCTCAAGGAGCAGGCACAGCCACGAAGAGGACCAAGCTCAAGGAGCATGCAGATGGTTACCACTCAGGGGCTCGAGAGACAAGAGCCAAAGGAACTGTCATTGATCAAAGGAGGAGGAGCAGTGTCGAAGGAGTCGACACCAGGTCATGAGGAGGAGGAGCAGTGTCGAAGGAGTCGACACAGCTCAAGAGGCACAGGGGTGCCAAGCAGGAGAGGCCCCTGAGCAGTACTCGATGAAGAAGGTACTCTCTGGAGAGAGAGCAGGAGCAGCATCGCTGGCGATGCTGAGAAGAGGTATATAACCATGCTTTCTCATCAATAGGTCGAGTGGATCCTCATCCACTCTACTCACCATACAACTAGTCAATACTTTAGAAACACAAGTACTCATTAGTTACAGTCAGCATAGCAGCAATCTATCAAGGTTGCTCCTCATCGTAGTGCGTGTGTTGTATCACCACTACCTGACGTCCGAAGGCGCCCATAGCAGGTTAGCGGTCCGGATATAGATAGAACCGAAGGCAGTAGTCCACTGCGGTCCGGGGATCACTTCAAAGCATCAAGTCAACACACTGGACACTCGTGTTGACGCCACCAACCTTATCACCAACACCATCAACCTCATTATCATTGACATCACCAATCTTATCATCAACACCATCAACCTCATTATCATCGACATCACCAATCTCATCACCAACACCATCAACCTCATCATCATCAACACCCACACCAGACCTTGGTGTCATCATAACATTGATATTGATCGTGCCGAGCTACCCCTGAACGGAGTGTCCACAGAGGTCAGCCGAAACCTACGATAGTATATACAACGAACGCCACCTGCTGTCACTGCACAACTTGATAGTCACCGATACCGAGACAATAGCTGTCACACAGTTTAATAGTCACCGAGTATCTCGACAGACCGACCTGGGTATCAGGCGCGAGACCCCTGACACATACCCAGAGTTCATGCCAGAAGTGTATATATACACCAGTGTAGCTGAGTATCCATAAAAGAATAAAATTTAAGATCATCAAAACAGTGAAACCTCAACTGATTAAGAGTCTGAAGCTCAGCAGCCTCCAGCACCTCACCACCGGGATGCCACCCAGAGTAGATAGCATAGCCCTGCTAGAACGTACCATGCAGATAGTCAGAGATACTCACTCCAATTGGAATGAAGACCAAATCCTTGAACATGCTTTCGCCATGATGAACCTCCAACCCAATGCCAGTCAAACCAAAAAGATCCCCAAATCTGTACTTAGCATCATATCACAGATTGTCAAGCTCAACGAGAACAACTGGGCCATCTGGGAACCCATGTTCATGGATTGCATTCGCCCAATCAAAAACGCCAAGTGCATCCTCACCAGGGAAATCCTGGTTGGCCACAATGACTATGATGAAGAACTAGACAGCCACCTACTAGGTCTTATTCTGTCCTCATGTGACCACAGACCCAATAGCCGCATCAACACTTATGCAGTATGAGAACATGATGAGGAGGAACAGCTAGGTTCCTCACTGTACAAGAAGCTCAGAGCTGCCCTCATGATTAATGACAAAGTAAAACTCTCTGCCATTCATGATTGCATCCATGAAATCAAGCTACTCAACTGCAACATCATCGACCTGGGTAAGGAACTTGACAAGATTTGGAACAATGCCACCAGGCTTGGTAGTCATATGGATGAAAAGCTCAAGAAATCAACCCTCTACCACTGTGTCAAGGATGACTGGTTATACACCCAAACTGTAGACTCCCTCAAGGCTGCTCAACCTGGCTGCAATTACAAATATGCATATCATGCATTAGCTAAGAAGTTCCAAGAAGCCGAGCTCTCAGGTTGTATCTGAGCCACAGCCAGAGTTGCAAGCAACAGAAGTTCAACAGGCCAAGCTGGCAAGCATAGGCAGGTTCTTAACCAAGAGGGCTACAATAGGGGTAGGCATGACCCCACAAACCCTAATGAACCAGCCAAGTGCTATAAGTGTAAGCAACCTGGGCACATTGCCATCAATTGCACCAGCAGTCAGGAGCAAACTCCTACTCAGCAGGGATAGGGACTCGGGTGCACCTTTTTCGTAAGCAACACTGGCAACTGTAACCAAGACAGTATGTGGATTCTCAACTCTGGAGCTACACATCACATGGTACATGATGAGGATAAGCTCATTGCTTCGACACTGAAGCAAGGATCAGTAGATACTGCTGGGCATGAATGGTTATGAGTACAGGCAATAGGCGAAGCAACTTTGTGAGTAGGAGACATTAAGATACCACTCACTGAAGTACTTCATGTTCCCAACCTTAGCAAGAACCTATTGTCTGTCCCAGCACTGACTGAAAATGGTGCATGTGTAATATTTGAAGAGTCTGGAGCTACTATCCTCCAGCATGATGGAAGCATGGTCAAGAGTAAGACCAACCAACACAAGAAAAGATGGGAGATTCATGGTGACTCCCTAGCAGCACAGTTCAATGACCCACTTGAGGGCATTGACACTGACACATCACCAGCAAAGCACAAAGGCCATACAATCAGCAAACTATGGCACAAACGATTTGGACACCCTGGCAGAAGCAAGACCAAGCAGATCCAAGCACACTACTTGGGCAAAGAAACACAGCTAGAACACAATGCAAAGGACTGCAACTGTTGCAGTCAAGCCAAACAAACACAAGCAAGAATGGGAAGCAGCAAGACAGAGCAAGCTTGAGTGCCACTAGAACTGGTCCATGTCGATTTGATGACTGACCTACAAGGTCATCCCAACTACCACCATGCCCTGGTAGTTGTGGACAACTCATCATCCTTCATACATGTGAAACCACTTCTGAGTAAGGCTGAAGCATTTCCAGCTTTAAGGACATGGATTAAGGCGGCTGAGATAATGACAGACCACACACTGAAATGCATATGCAGTGATAATGGATCAGAGTGGTCAAGCACAGAAGCAGAAGAATGGAAAAGGCAGGCAGGCTTCATATGGCAGAAAACCACTCTGTATGTCAGTGTCCAAAATGGAAGAGCAGAATGTACAATCAGATCCCTCCAAGAGAGAATGCATGTGATGCTTGTGCAGAGATCATCACCAAAGGAGCTGTGGCCATATGCAATCATGGTGGCAGGACACACTTTGAATCTGACACCCTCTGCAAATGCAAATAAGGTACCATATGAGGAGTTCTACCAAAAGTCTGCACATGGCTTAGCCAAGCTGCTGCAGGTCTTTGGCTGCCTCGCATGGATCCACCTCCCAAAGAAAGATCACATAGGAAAGCATGGTGTGAGAGCCATACCAGGCATCATGATAGGATACAACAACAAACACAAAGGTTGGAGATTTTATACTCCTGGTCACAGCCCATCCATACAATGGAGTAACTTGGCCATGTTCCATGAATCCAAGAGCTGGAACAACTGGCCTAAAACACAGAGCCCCCTACAATTCAGACTCGAGAACCTGGAAGCCAAAGATATGAAACAGGAACCAGAAAACAATGAGCCTGAGCTGGAAGTGGAAGTAATTAACATACAGGACCCACTCCTAGATGAATGCACCACACTACCCATCAACTCCACAGACAATGACAGATCAGAAATTGCAGTCAAAGAGATTCTTGGAGAGGCACAAACAGCAATACTTAATCTCACACCAACACTGAAAGAAGCACTTGCTAGCAATGATGCAAGACAATGGCAAGAAGCCATATGCAAGGAACTGGATGGACTTGAAGCAATGGGAACATGGGAGATTGTAGATACACCACCAAATGCAAATCTTGTCAACTCCAAAATTGTTCTCAGACTCAAGCTGGATGCTGATGGAATACCAGTCCAACATAAGGTGAGGCTTGTCACATGAGGCTTCACTCAGCGAGAAGGCATCAACTTTGAAGAGACATTCATGCCAGTAGCACTGCTCAGTGCAATAAGAGCCTTACTGTCCTTGGCAGTGGAACATGACTGGGAAGTCCAGCAGCTCGACATAACAATGGCATACCTGAATTCCATGCTCAAGCACATGATATATATGAAACCCCCAGAAGGTGCCAAAGTGCCAGAAGGAAAGGCCTATCGAGTCATCAAGGGTTTGTATGGCCTCAGACAGTCAGGAAGGGAATGGAACATAGAGTTTGACAAGTTCCTCTGACAATTGCATTTCCACAGACTTGATTGTGCACCATGCATTTACACCAGAGGGAAGGATGATGATTTTGCAATAGTGATCATCTATGTCAATGACACATTAATCATAACTCCAAAACTTGAAACAGCCAAGTGTATCAAGGAGGAGATAGGCAGAAGATGGAAAATGGAGGAGGGTGGTGATGTATCACATTTCCTAGGAATCAAGATCTCCAGGAATAGAGAAGCAAGAACTATGAGCCTGGAGCAGACCAGTTATGTCAAACAACTGCTGAATGAACACTTGGACAAATGCTGGAGAAAGTCAAGTGTACCACTCCAAGATATCCCAATCCCAGAAACAACAGCTAGCACCATAGAATGAAAGGAGTATCCACAAATCATCAGTAAACTTCTGTGGCTCTCCAATGGAACATGTCCTGACATCAGTCAGGCTGTCAGAGTCCTCGCATGGTACATGACCCAACCATTGAAGGAGCATTATAACACAGCACAGAAAGTTCTTCAATACTTGGACCATACACAAGACATTCATTTGCAATATGGCAGTGACAAACAACAAGATTTCCTGATGGCACATAGCAACACAAATTGGGCAAGTGATGCCACAGCACAGAGAAGGAGTTCATCTGGTTCTGCAGTATTCATACATGGAAACCTAGTGGCATGGAAGTCAGCACTGCAGTGCTGCACTGCTCTATCAGCAGTGGAGGCTGAATTTGTAGCTGCAACAGAAGCCACAAGGGAGGTCTTGTTCTTCAAACACCTCTTCAGGTCCTTTGGAATTGACATTGGTACCCCTACTATTTTCTCAGACAACACTGGTACTATTCAGATGAGCAAAGACCCTGCACAACATTGGAAACTGAAGCATATCGACACCAAGTACCATTTCATTAGGAATAACATACAGGATGGTAAGATCAAGATCAAGTATATAAATACCACGGAAAACTTGGCAGACATCTTTACCAAACCTGTTGGTAAGGAAGTACTACAGTGCACATGAAAGGGGTTAGGCCTAACCATTGAAGGGAGTACAGCAGCTCAGCAGCCTACTGCTTTGCCCCTGAGGGAGGCAGTTGTGGAAATTGGTTTGTCTGAAAGGCATGAGAAAATGAGGACTGCGAATGGACTGCCTGCATATAAGATGCACAATGGTTGTCATGGTAACAGCTTGGGAACCACACATAAGGAAACAACCAGGAGTGCATTGCAGCAAGTGCACAGCCAAGCGATATAGAGCAGCATACCCAGAGTTCATGCCAGAAGTGTATATATACACCAGTGTAGCCGAGTATCCATAAAAGAATAAAATTTAAGATCATCGAAACAGCGAAACAGCGAAACAGCGAAACCTCAACTGTTTGTGCAACCAACTTTTTTGTCCTTCTCAAAATTGTTGGACTTGTGAGCAGAAAGCGATTGCCACTTGGTTTGTACGATCGAGGGGGGGCCTGTCCGCTCTCATTGCTCAGCCCAGTTGCTGTCGCCTTGACCTTCTCTCGGTCTGCCTCAGCTGCGCCTGCTCCTGCGCCTGCTCCTGCGCCTGCTCCTACGCCTGCAAAAATTTTCCACATTGTATACAGCAGAGCTCTTGACCTGAGCCTCCAGTCGATCACACACGTTCTCCTCTCTCCATCATCATCATCGCTCTCCCTCCCCCCCTCCGCCCCTCTTTGGCGACTATCACTTCTTCACAGAGCTTTCGTTAGCACTGTCCATCATCCTTATTAAAGAGCGCTTCACGTAGGCTCTTCTTTTCTTCGTAGGAGAACAGCCCCCCCCCCCAAAAAGTCGACCTTTCGACCAAGACTGCCCCTTACGCAAGATCCCTGATCTCGTAATCACTTCCACCACCACCCTTGATCTTACCGACTCTTCCTCTAGTTTAATCATCAAACATGGCTCCCAAGCCTACCGCTGCTGGCATTCCCGCCACCGTCCCCGCTAAGGACGTCAAGGGCTCTGCCGCTGCCGCTGCCAAGAGCGGTGTCGCCGCCGAGAAAAAGGAGGCTAGCGCCGAGAATGACGCCCTCCTCTCTGGTGACAAGGATGCTGCACAGGAGCTCACCAACCTCGTCAAAATTGAGGGCCCTGCCGCGTTGGCCAACCTTGGCATCGACGCCGTCATCCTCAAAGGTCTCGGCGACAAGAAAAACGCTGCTGGCCGTGAGGGTGCTTGCACTCTCGTCTCCCACCTCTGCGATCAGGGTGTCGGCCACGAGGTTGAACCTTTTATCTTTGACAAGGTCCTCAACTCGCTTGTCGAGGCCATGGGTGACAAGGAAAAGTCGGTCCAGAAGGCTGCTCTCAACTCGCTCCTCGCCTTTGTCAGGGCCATGTCCCCCTGGGCTGCTCCCCAGCTGCTCAACGTCGTCCTCTCCCAGGCCCGCTCCGCTGGTAAGTGGCAGGTCAAGACCGGCTGCATCACGCTCCTCGAGGAGATGGTCACCGCCTGCCCTGAGCGCATGGCTGCTCTCATGCCCGAGATCATCCCTGTCATGACCGAGGTCATCTGGGACACCAAGACCGACGTCCAGAAGGCTTCTCGTGCTGCCCTCACCAAGCTTTGCGTCCTTATCTCCAACAAGGATATCGAGCGTTTCATCCCTGCCCTCATCAACTCGCTCATCCACCCTGTCGAAGAGGTCCCCAAGACCATTCAGCTCCTTGCCGCTACCACCTTCGTTTCCGAGGTTGACAGCCCCACCCTCGCTCTCATGGTGCCCCTTCTCTCCCGTGGTCTCAACGAGCGCCCCACCGCCACCAAGCGTAAGGTCGCCGTTATCATTGACAACATGGCCAAGCTCGTCGACAACGAGCGCACCGTTCGTCCTTTCCTCGGCAAGCTTCTCCCCGGTTTGATCAAGATGGAGTCCACCATGGCCGACCCTGAGGCTCGTAGCGTCATTCAGCGTGCCATCAAGACTCTCCGTGAGGTCGGTAACGTCACTGGCGACGGCTCCGATGTCAAGCCTCTCGAGGATGTTGATCTCAAGACCACCCAGGAGCAGGTCAACAAGTCTCTCGGCGAGCAGAGCCTCCAGGCTCAGGCCAACCTCTCGGCCTACCTTGCCGTCCTTGTGGCCAACCTTGCCAACGCCCGCAACTTTGAGCTCACCGAGTGGGAGTCGACCCTGATCCCCTACCTCACCCTCATCAAGGGCTCCAAGCCTGAGCAGGCCAAGGCTGTCGCCAAGTCGCTCCTTACTGCTCTTGCCAAGACCACCGGTGACTCGGTCGAGATCTTCGAAGACGAGGAGGAGGGTGAAGACCTTTGCAACTGTCAGTTCTCGCTCGCCTACGGTGCCAAGATTCTCCTCAACACCGCCACCCTCCGTCTTAAGCGTGGCCACCGATACGGTCTTTGCGGTCGTAACGGTTCCGGAAAGTCGACCCTCATGCGTGCCATCACCAATGGCCAGGTCGAGGGTTTCCCTTCGCCCGAAGAGGTCCGCACCTGGTACGTCGAGCACGACCTTGACGGTTCCGAAGGTGAGATGACCGTCCTTGACTTTATCTGCGCCGACGAGCGTCTCTCCATGTCCAAGGAGGAGGCCGTCAAGACGCTCCACGAGGTCGGCTTCGACGATGCTCGTCAGAACTCGCCCATCGCCGGTCTCTCCGGTGGTTGGAAGATGAAGGTCGCCCTTGCCCGTGCCATTCTCTTCAAGGCCGACATTCTCCTCCTTGACGAGCCCACTAACCACTTGGACGTCGTCAACGTAAAGTGGATTACCGACTACCTCTGCAACCTCAAGACGGCCACCGCCATCATTGTCTCGCACGACTCTGGTTTCTTGAACAACGTTTGCACTGACATTCTCCACCTCAACCGCTTCAAGATCAAGAGGTATCCCGGTAACCTCGACGCCTTCGTCAAGCGTGTCCCTGAGGCTCGTGCCTACGCCGAGCTCAACACCGGCGAGGACTACTCGTTCAAGCTCCCCGACCCTCCTCTTCTCGACGGTGTCAAGACCAAGGAGAAGTCGCTCATTAAGATGAAGAACGTCGTCTTCCAGTATCCCAATACCCCTGCTCCTCAGCTCAAGGGTGTTTCCATCCAGATCTCGCTCGCCTCGCGTGTCGCTATTCTCGGCCCCAACGGTTCGGGTAAGTCGACTCTTGTCAAGCTTGTCGTTGGCGACACCGAGCCCAACTCTGGTGAACTCTGGAAGCACCCCAACTTGGTCATTGGTTACGTCGCCCAGCACGCTTTCCACCACATTGACCAGCACCTCGACAAGACCCCTCTCGACTACATGCTCTGGCGTTACCAGACCGGTGAGGACCTCGAGGAGCACATGAAGTCCAACCGCAAGCTCTCTCCCGAGGAGCTTGCTGCCATGAAGCAGGGTGAGGTCTACGTTCATGAGGGCGTCAAGCGTATCATTGACGAAATTGTTGCTCGTAAGAAGTTGAAAAACTCTTTCCAGTACGAAGTCTCGTTCAAGAACATGTCCTCCGCCGACAACATCTGGATCCCAAGAGACGAGCTGATCAAGCGTGGTTTTGAGAAGGCTGTCATGGCCTTTGACAGCAAGGAAGCACAACGTTTGGGTATGAACCGTCCATTGGTTCGTAAAGAAATCGAGCAGCACTTTGAGGACTTTGGTCTCGAGCGCGAGTTCACCTCACACAACACCATGCGCGGTCTCTCTGGTGGTCAGAAGGTCAAGGTCGTTCTTGGTGCCGCCACCTGGCGACGACCCCACATCATCGTCCTCGACGAGCCCACCAACTTCTTGGACCGTGAGTCGCTCGCTGCGCTCATCAAGGCGATCGAGTCTTACCAGGGTGGTGTTGCCATCATTACCCACTCTCGTGAGTTCTCCGAAGGTACCTGCAAGGAGATCTGGTCCATGAACGATGGTGTCCTCGTCGCCTCCGGTCACGACTGGACTGAGTCTAACTCCAAGGGTACTAAGCTCGAGGCTCAGGAAGAGGCCGATGAGATTGTTGATTCTATGGGCAATGTTCATAAAGTTGAGAAGAAGGCCAAGAAGGAATCAGCGAGCGACAAACGTCGCATGCGCAAAGAGAGGATGCAGCGAGCCAAGCTTGGCCTTGGTAGCGACGACGAAGGGGACCTCTAGATCTTATGCCATAGGACGATCATATCCTCGTGTTTCACCTTGACCATGTCAACCTTGGCTTTGAAAATCAGTCCTTTAGTTACAAACTTGTCTTTCCGAAATCCAACTCATTTCCCGAATTGCTCCTCGTAGTGTATGCTGAGCCTCGAGTAGTAGTGATGGTCCATGGTCCATCGCTATCTACTCGTCTCTCATACTTGTCTCTGCAGCGCGGCCATGGCCATAATATCGTCTTACACGCAATGCTTGCAAGCTCAAACGATAGAGTTGTTGAGGAATGCACAAGCGAGGAGCGGCCAAGTAGATAGTGATTGTTTTCTATTAGAAGACAACCAAGTACAGAGCAATGCCAAGTATATATATATATATATATATCTACTGATGATCAGTGTGTATATGTGTGTGTATGTGTGGGATAAAGTGATGCTGGGGCTTGCATGGTAGCACAATAGGAATAGGAGGCTGTTGACGAGCGTTGGTGGGTGATGATGGATGACGACGGTGAGCTAGGTTGGCGGACATGTTAGAGCGAAGGAATGAGGTCATGTGATTTCACTACGCTCAGATCAGCATGTGATACCCTCTTCGCCGCATCGATCCATATTCTCACTACACACCATCCACGCTGCTGCTGCATAGGCCTGCAGCCATCAAGTCGACATGGTGCAGCTAGATACCGCCGTCCCCTCGTCGGTCGACATGCTTCTCTTGGGCTCAGGATGGACTGCGTCTTTCCTCATCCCTCTTCTGGAACACACACGAGTTCGCTATGCCTATACCTCCCGGTCTCCACCCGACGAGAAGAATCCAGACGACGACCACAAGATTCAATTTGAGCTGACGGATCCTGTCACAATAGACTCACTTCGTCCACTGCCTCGTGCCTCTACTGTCGTCATCATCTTCCCCATCAAGAATCTGCAGCAAGTTGACGACCTTGTTTATGAGTATGAAGAGCTTCATGGACGCACGCGCTGGATCCAGCTCGGCAGCACTGGTATCTGGGGATCCGGAAGAAACACTTCTGCCTCTCCTGTTGATCTCACAAACGCACGTGCTGCTGCCGAGCAAAGACTTCTCGACATCACCGCTACCCATAGTCTCCACAGAAAGGGCGCCCCAGTAGGACGAGCCGCCATTCTCAACCTCGCTGGTCTCTACGGTGGACAACGCCAACCCAGAAACTTTGCTTCCCGCATCGGCGCAACCAAAGAGATGCTCGCTCTTAAGGGCAGCGTCCACTTTGTGCATGGCCAAGACGTAGCTAGGGCCATCCTGCTGCTACATCAAAGTAAGTCGGTAGGCTGGGGACATCGGTGGATCGTTTCCGATTCGCGCGTCTACGACTGGTGGCCGCTTTTCAGCTTCCTTCGTCCAGCATTTCCTGACCATCCAGATGACAGTCCCGAAACTGCTCAACGCTGGGTCAAGGAGCTGGTCGAGGAGAATCACATTCGCATTCTGCCTCGTCCCATCGCAAACAAACCAGATCAGCGCTTGCCGCACTACCTCGAGCGTGGTCTCGATGGCCACGAGTTCTGGAGCCTCTTCAACACTAAACCTCACGTCGACTCGGTCTACAAAGGTGGTGAACACGGCTTCCTACCCAGAGCATCGCCACTCCACTCCCACACTGCCAATGTTAGCAGCGATGCGCATCTCGAAAAAGGCAAACTGGCGGCACGCGATGCCCGCGATGCCCGCGATGCCCGCGATGACAAGCTAATAGGCTCCAGTACCCAGTCTTTTTTTGTTCGAGACTTTGACCCTACGATTGCTCAAGAGAGCATCGACGAGTTGATCCAATGCATTGAGAACGATGCACAGCGCAAGCTTCCGACGAGAGCCGCCTTTGAGGGTGAATACGAACGCTTCGGTCTCACCCACGACCGCTTCTGTGAGCTACGCGATGCATGGATTCCTTTCCTTCGCTCCGATCCTGCCTCATCTGCATCCGAGAACGATCAGTGCCAGACGGCTGGACGTACCAGCACCAGTAGTCGAGCAGGTCCAGATCACGATACGTGGGCAGCCGAACAGGCTCGCATCACCTCTTTCTCCCACTACAAGGTGCTCATCGAAGACGTCGATCTCCACTTCATCCACGAGCGCGCCAATCCCCCTGCCTCAGGCAGCAACATCAAATTCATCCCTCTTCTTCTGCTTCATGGCTGGCCTGGCTCTTTCCACGAGTTTTTGGACATCATCAAGCCGCTCGCCCACCCGGGCAACTTGACTCCAGTCCACTTTGACGTCGTTGTCCCCTCCCATCCCGGCTACATCTTCTCCAGTGCAGCTGGTGGGTTCGCCAGGGACTCGCGATCAGGAAAGCTCGTCGGCACCCATTCCGGGCCGGATGGCGACATGCTCGTCAAGGATGTCGCCCGCATCATGCATAAGCTCATGACCACGCTCGGCTATCACAACTATGCCATCCAGGCTGGTGATTGGGGCGCTGCCGTGCTTCGTAGCATGGCTATTCAGTTCCCCAACAACGTGCGAGCCGTCCACCTCAACTTTTGTCCGGCACAGGGTCCCAACATTGTTCTGCCTGTTCTCGGTCGACAATTGACGCCTCACTGGATCTTGCAGATGCCCCAGATGGTTTCCAAGCAGCGATATTCTCGCAAAGCGCTCGGAGTCTTTGAGAGCTGGAGTCAAGGCGAAATCTCACGGTCTCTTTGCGGCACAGGCGCATTCATAGGCAAGGCAGCCGAGGTGATAGCAGAAGCGGCCTGGAGGGTGGTGTCCCTGCTCAGTCTAGGCTCGATCCCTGGGCCCCTTTCACGTGATGAGCGTCAAAGCTTGAACAGAGGCTTGCAATTCACTGCTACCGGTAGTGCCTATGCGGCAATGCATGCTACCAAGCCCTCAACGCTAGGTCTTGTGCTATCTCGCTCTCCGCTCTCCACGCTCGCTTGGGTCGGGGAAAAAATGCACGCCTGGACCGACATCACACCTGACCCTTCCATCATCCTGGCCAACATCACCCTCTACGAGTTGACTGACACCATTGCTGGCTCCTTTTACCCGTACCGCAACCGAGATCCCCGAGGTCCATCGCAGATCGCGAGCGACCCGAGCAACTACATTCAGCAACCCACAGGATACTCGAGCTTCCCAATGGAGATCATCCAGTCGCCCAGGTCGTTTGTCAAGGCCAGTGTCAATCTGAGGTGGTACAAACGTCACTACCAGGGAGGCCACTTTGCAGCTCTTGAACAGCCTGCAGCGCTCGCCGAGGACATAGCTGATTGCTTTGCCGAGATCTGGCCTTTTTAGTGGTGCCCACTCGATCCTTTGAATAACAGCCTAACTCATCCTACTGCCAATCCCGGTACACAGTATTCCTTTCGTGCAAATCTCTTCGTTTGAAGGGCTACGTTTGTCTTGTGCATTCTTTAGCGTCTCGCCTTTGGCTCAGGCCGAGTTGTTGCAGATCCCGACGGCTCCTTGGCGCGGCTCCGTTTACTAGCCCGGAACATACGAGCCTGCGAAGGCGTTCATGCCTGCTCCCATGCTGTTTCGAGTTCAATTAGGCCTCCTGCTGAATAGACCAGCAGGTCTGATTGTGCTGGCGACCGCGCTGAGCCGAATTCACATAAAGCGCTGCCGGACAGGTCCGTGATCCTAGAATTCTTAGGCGAGTCCACTGGCCATTGTCGATCGGCCCTTTGTTCCCCTTCTCCCCGTAGCCACGGCAACCTCGGGCCTCTTCGCAAGGCTCAAAGGTAGGTGCACCGCTAGGTTTCCACTTGGCTTCTGACGTCTGAGCCTGAAGGTGATTTGGTCGCGAGGGCCCGAGCTTATCCTGCCATTGTCTGCCATTGTCCTCTTGCAGTTCCTTGGGCACTGATCCTCTCGCTTCGCTGAATGCCGCTCGCTTCTCACATCGCGGGATCTCAACAATGCACGAACTTTTCTCTTCTGCCAAGCATGTTGGAGAGGGCTACTATTCGCTTTGTGAACCTGATCATGGCATTGTGCAAGCCCTGTCATGGTGCAGTGTATAAGTATTGTAGGGTCGATGAAGGGAAAGCCGATTTCGTCTTGGTCTCACCCACTTGACATCATCCTAACAGCTGTGGCAAGACTTCTCCTAAAGTCCCTCACATCACCGTACTCCAAGCTCGGAGACTTCCGTCATGGGTCTCAACAGCACTGCCCAGCTCGAGATACGGGCTCAGCGGTTGACCTTCTCACATGCCTACGGCCCGCACAGCATGACCTTTCTGCATCGTGGTCAAACTCAAGCCCAAGTGGTGAACGCCCTCTACAAGACCATGTACGCACCCATCACGCCCAGAAACCGCATCTACCTTCTCGCCAGCGAGGCTTGGTTCGTGCTCACAGTGGTTATTTGCTCCGTGCTTCTCCTCAGAAGAAGACGCGAGAAGCTCTGGATCATCACGACAAAGTACAGCACTTACGGAACGTTGTACGTCGGCAATGCAATCACCTGCATCATCATCGCTGTGACGAGCTACATGTTCGCCTGGAATTTCAGTGCAATAATGCTCGCCATCTACTCCTTTGCTCACATGAGCGTTCTAGAACTTTTCTGGTTCATTCCGGCTCCTTGGTGGTCCCTGGTGGTCTTTGCCTACATCAGCGTTCACGGCTTTGTGCTCGGCTGCAGTCCAAGGTCGCCTCTCTCATCGCTCGGTGCAAACAAAGCCGTTGCTGACCGCGAAGCGTGGTACTACCTGCCGGTTCCGACTCGACCGGCTATCAACAATGCTCTGCTCATGATTCCGACGACCTTTTTCACAGTGACCACCGTTACGCTGGTATGCTTCTCAGGTCGAGCTTACTATCACGCTAAAGCTGTCTCTAAGCACCTTCTGCCCGCCGAGATCCTCTTGCGGATTCACAATTCAGCGCAAGGCTCTTTTCCAGCTTTTCGAGATCAAGATGTCCTGGCTTCGGACGATCTCATCTGGGCGGGGCGCCAAGTGGCTGCCGAGTACTTTGAGGTGCACAGATACGTCTCTATCAACCTTTTGATCTTTGCAGCTGCTGCTTTCACAATCTGGATCCCTTGCATCGTGTACGGCTTGCCAAACATCATCAGGCTCATCGACCATGCCTGTTCTCTCTGTCCGCACTTTGATGCTGCATCGTACAAGGACTCGTTGCGGAAATTGTACTATCTCATCTTTAAAGCAAAGCCCATCGCGGAAGACAACAGCAAGCAACTCAGCGCCACCGCCCGTAAGATGACGTTGCTTTCTGTCGGCTATGTTGTCGCTCTCATCAGTGCGGTGCCTGCTTTCGGTTTCCTTCCGCTGTACATGGTCGGCAGGTCCTTTCCTCACGAAGTTGAGCGGGGTGATATCAGCCCTTACATCAATTCGGCGCTTGTGATCACCAGCATCATTACAATCCTCTGTTGTCTCCTCATGACATTCTTCTGCTCGATTGTGACCTTCGATCCGCTCTTCCGTTCAGCTAACGGTCTCAATCTAATCAGGTGCCACATCCCGATCGATATCACGGTCATCAGACAGAAGGACCAAGTCATCGAACGAGAGCCAGACCAGCCAACATTGGCATTCGAAACCCATGATGACGATGAAGAAGATATCGAAGGCAACCATGGAATCAAGATGAAGCCTTCCATGGGCACATTCCAGAGCACCAAGTCGCACGGATCAGACGGGGAGAATGTCCACGATGTGACCAACCAGGTAGTGCACTTGCCGACACAAGCATTCGAGGTCGATCCCAGGTCGACTGCGTAACCAAAGCCCGGCCGATTGTGACAATCATGGGCGTCTCTGCATTCGGTCTGCATCGTGTCAACTCAACTTATGGCAGATTTGTTACTCCCCTCGCATTCATGTCTGCCTGTGGTAATCAGCACCGATGGAGTCAGTGAATTGAGGAGGTCCTGTGTCACAATCCCAAAGGATAATTGAGTTGCCACCTCATCATCCTTTTCCTTTTCTTTAGCGGTCGACAGCGGTCGACAGCGGTTGAACTCTTTCGTGGATCGCCACGCGAGTCTTGGTATTGAGTTAAAATTAGATACACCACTCAGGAGGCCACAGTCAGGCACTCCCTTTTAATCTGATGCTCTATGTGTAAAAGGCATGTATTGTGTAAGGAGGTAACGACTAAGCTAAGAACATATATACATATTCTCTGCACCTGACTGTGCTCACTTTGTTGAGTCATGCCCATGTGCCATGTATCTTCTTTCATAAGCATTGTCATATCAACATGTCCCCTCCATACCATGGTGTCAATCCTCATGCATAGGCTGCATTAGCTCCCACTAGCCTCTCATCTTGCCTGTCCTCCTCATTGCCCAATGCCTTCCTGATTCCCCAATCCTGTGAGCTCCCATTTACTATGTCATGCATTAGCGATGCCAGTGCCTCTTCAACTCCCCCCCCTCAATGGCATATCCAACCCTATCATTCTTGATATCCTTGTTGTGTTGAGTCCCTTGAGTGGCTTTGTGAGTATGTTGGCCACATTGTTGGCCATTCTGACGAACTTGATCAATATGTCACCATCTTGCACATGATCCCTAACAAAATAGTATCTGGTATCGATGTGTTTGAGTTTCCAGTGCTTGGCCAGATCCTTACTGACTTGTAAACACCCCTGGCTATCAGCACGTAGTGTTGGCTTGACTCTGAATACTCCTAGATCCCTAAGTAGGTATGAGAAGAAGAGTGCTTCTCTTGCTGCTTCAGAGGCTGCAACCAGTTCCGCTTCCACTGCCAATAGTGCCACGCATTTTTGTACATGTGATTTCCAACTAACCGGGCATCCATACACATATGTGATTGCTCCGGATGTACTCCTATGTCCATTTGTAGGGTCAGAAGCCCAATTCGCATCAGTATATGTAACCACCAGTTGGTCTGCATGACTCCTGTGCATTCCTCCTAAATTCAAACAGTAATCGCTCATCTGATTCAGGTACTTCAACAAATGCATTGCAGCACTCCAAGCATTGTCAATTGGTCCTGACATGTATTGTGCTAAGACTCCTACTGCAAATGAAATGTCTGGTCTCACTGTGTTGGATACCCACAAAAGTTGCCCCACTAGCTCTTGATATTGTTTGGCCTGATCTGGGTTGCATTTATTTCCTCCAGCAGTTCCTGCTACACTCTGCATTGGGATCCAGGTTTGTTCGCTTGTTCTTTCTAGCCACTTATTTGCCATGCCTTTGATGTATGCAGTCAGGTTGAGTGTGATCTTGCCTTGTCTTCTCTCTCAGGTGATTTTGATTCCTAGAAATTCTCTTACCAGTCCATTGTCTTCTGTTCCCCACTTGTCCATGATCTCGGCTTTAGTGCAGTCGACCTCCCTTCTGCTAGGTGATGCAATCAGCATATCATCCACATATGCCATGATGACCATGAGTTGGTTGCCCACTCCCCTTGAGTAAAGGCATGGGGCACTTGGCATGCAGTGGAAGCTGATATTTCAGAGGTGGGTGTCCAGTTTGATGTTCCATTCCCGACCTGATTGCTTCAGACCATAAAGCCCCTTTATGAGTTTCAATACCTTTCCTGGAGGTACCCTGGTTCCTACCGGTGGCTTTAGGTAGACATCATGATGCAGATTTGAATTGAGGTAAGCCTGTTTGATGTCGATGGAATCAACCTCCCAGTCTCATAGGGCTGCGATGGCCAGCACTCCCCTTATCACCTGGATGGGTGCCACTGGTGTGAATATCTCTGTGTAGTCTAGGCCCTCTCTCTGGGTAAACCCCTGTGCTACCAATCTTGCCTTGTATTTTGTGGGGACCAGGTTTGCATCAGTCTTGATCTTGAGCACCCATCATGTGTCGACTGCATTCATACCTTGCAGTAGATCAGTCATTTCCCATGTTCCCATCGCTTCGAGTCCATCCAATTCCTTGCGCATTGCTTCTTCCCAGAACCTCCTATCCTTTCCAGCCAGCACCTCGCAAACAGTTGGGTTCAGGCTGTCCTTTCCCTCCTTGACCTTGGCTACCATTAGCCCGAAGTAACTCTTCTTTGCCCAGGTCTCTGGGTTGTGCATGTTTCTAGCTGGCTTCCAGTTTGGCCATGGGCCTCTATCCTCTGGTGGCACCAGTGCATACTCTTCCCTCTCCTCTGTCATTCTCCCTTCCTCCTCGAGGGCTAATTCCATGTCCACATACTCTTCCAAAGGCTCTTGCTCTCTCTCATCAAATAGGTTCTCTTCTGTGTATCCCAGATCATCAAGTGCCTCTTCAATAGTTGGAACTGGTGGAGGTCAAATACTTATTGGTCACCATTCTGATCAGTCTGACCAACACTGTGTCTCCAAGAATCTTGCTGAGTTGCTCCAGAAAATGTTCGGAGTGTAATCAGGGCTATAGAATAGCCATCCCTATCTTTCCAAGCTGTACCCTATGAATATGGCTGCAACCACTCACTGGTCCAGCTTCTTGTTGTTTTGTTTGGCTTTTGGAATGTTTACCCAAGCTAGACATCTGAATACACACATGAGGCAGATGAATCGTTCTGGTGATCTATTGAACATGAGCTGGTATGGAAACTCTCCATCAATGTTGGGAGTAAGATTGATCTTGAATGCCACCACTTGTATGGCATGTGGCCAAAATCTCTTTGGTAAACTCCTTTGCATCAGCAGTGTTTGCATCTTTTCACCCAGGCTCCTGTTCATCTGTTCTACTCATCTGTTTTGCCTGCTGTTGTAACTGATGGTAGTCTGCCACTCTATGCCCTTTTCTAATAACCATTCTAACGCTTTGTTACTCTTCCATTCAGTTCCTTGATCAGATTGGATTGCTTTTAGCTTTCTGCCCATCTGTGTCTCTAGGAATGAAACTATTCTTTTGAGTTGCATGAATGCATGGCTCTTTTGTAAGAGTGGTTGTGCATGCACATATTTGCTATGATCGTCAACCAGCACTAATGTGCACATGTATTCTGTCACATGGGATGAGTCTATTATCAGATTGATGTGAATAAGACCTAGGGGCCCTGTGGCTGTTTCGCTGCTACCTCGCCCCATCTGGGTGGCCGTACTTTTGGACCACATGCACTGCTCACATGTCAGAGCTGTATCTGGGTCCAATGCTGCTACAGGTTCGCCTTTCAATTTATCAGCAATCACTCTGGACTTGTCTCAACCTGGGTGTCCTAGACATTTGTGCCAGAGCTGTCTTGTGGAGATCTTTGGTCTCTGGTCAGCCAGCTCGAACTCTTCATCAACTCCTTCAAACAGTGGTGTTGATGTAGTCATTGTGCTTTGTCACCATGTGTCGCCTTGGAACTCTAATAGTCCACACTTGCAATCTTTCATTATTCTCAATAGCATACCATTTGCCAAGTGTATTTGTCTGCCTGTTGTGTCTAAAGTCACATGTGCTCTCTCATCCATCAGTGAGTTGGTTGACAACAGGTTAATATTGAGTCTTTTAACATACAACACATTTTGGAGATAAATGTCTCCATATTCTGTTGCTATGTTGGTATCTCCCACAGCAGTTGCCTCCAGCACTTCGCTTCCAGCAGTATACATGTGCTTTCTGCAATTTCTTGGATGGATGAGCATGCTGTGGTCATTAACCATGTGGTAGCTCGCTCCTGAATCCAAGATCCAATGTGTGGTTCCTTCTGACTTTGGGAGCTGCTGCCAACTCAGGGTGAAAGAGCACCAGACCTCCTAGTTGGTCTTGGTGAGTGGAGAATTTTCGGCAATGACAACAGAAGCATCACATTTGCTGGCACCATGCCCATAGCACTTGCATACCCAGCAACAAATCATCTTTGGTTTGGTTGTGGTTTTCGTGCTGCCTGTGTCCAACTCAGTATCATCAGCCTGCTCTTTGTTGCCCCCAGCAATTCTAGCACATGCTTGGCATGGGTCCACTTTCTGACCAGGTACACTCTCCATTGCAGACTGGCATGTAGTCAAAGCTGTTGCTAGAGCATTGAAGCTAACCTGATGAACTGTGGCAACTGTCTCCTTGTAGACCAGGTGTTGAATCATGCACCTCTGGAGCACAGCATATAGTGCATCATTACTAAATGGGGCACCTAGGAGGCTAGTTTCAGTCTGCATAACCCTGATCTCTTGGATCAGCTTACAGGCATCAGTGTGAAACATCTTTGCCTCATTGAGCTTGGCAAGTAATGCTATCTGTTGCGAGGTTCTAGCTGCTTCACTGCTAAGACTCCTTTCAATTTTCTTCCAAGCTTGATGGCAGGTCAGATGATTCTTACTGATGTTGAGTAGGAGGTAAAGGACATTATACTCTCCTTCAGTGTCTAGGGTGCTTTGTAGGACACCCACTAGGGCATTATCAAAGGTTTTATTCCATTTTGGGTGGTCTTTGTCATACATGCCCTCTAGGTGTCATGTGGCATGGGGAACTACTCATAGGTTGGCCTTGATGAGTGTGCTCCAACTATAATAGTTGCATGATGTGAGCTTGGGAACCATCTCCAAGATTTTAGCCAAGGTGCGGTAATCATATCAGTCATCATCGTCATCTGATTCTGATCCTCCTTCATCCTCATTGTCAAAATACTTGGTCTTGTTACCATCGGTGGCCTCTTTGTCGATTTGTACTTGTTGTGGTGTTTTACCTTTTCTTGTCCTCCTGGCTGCTTCACCCATGCTGGCTTGGCAGTCATTGTCTCCTGCCATATTTGAATGTCATGGGTTCGAGCCCCACATTGGGAGCCAGTTAAAATTAGATACACCACTCAGGAGGCCACAGTCAGGCACTCCCTTTTAATCTGATGCTCTATGTGTAAAAGGCATGTATTGTGTAAGGAGGTAACGACTAAGCTAAGAACATATATACATATTCTCTGCACCTGACTGTGCTCACTTTGTTGAGTCATGCCCATGTGCCATGTATCTTCTTTCATAAGCATTGTCATATCAACATGTCCCCTCCATACCATGGTGTCAATCCTCATGCATAGGCTGCATTAGCTCCCACTAGCCTCTCATCTTGCCTGTCCTCCTCATTGCCCAATGCCTTCCTGATTCCCCAATCCTGTGAGCTCCCATTTACTATGTCATGCATTAGCGATGCCGGTGCCTCTTCAACTTATTGGGAACGAATTGTGAGGAGAAATTGTTCCAGATTTGTTAGATCCCAAACACCAACAGAGGTTTTGATTCGCTCTGGAGCTGCTTGGATGCATGTTTCTCGGCTATGCGGGAAAGGAGGTGTTAGGCGCTCGTGGCGTGGGGAGTCGATTCGCTTTACCGCAGGTTGCTTGCAGGCAGAATTACGGTTCAAGCTTGGGTTACACATGGCTTTGCTCATGCTCAGACCTCACCAAGATAGTAACCTGCCAAGAAGAACAAGCATTATTGATTACTGCTTGGTCAGAGAGATAAAGTCATTCGCCGTTTGCTGCTCTTGAGATTGAACCGCATTCGTTTTTGGCGCTCCGTCATTGCCATTTTTTAGGCCTCAATTTTGATCATGGTCTTTTTCTGAGGGCTCTCTCTGACGCCTTGCGGAGCTTTAAATAGTGTCTGAGACCATGCTTCCGGCGTTGTTTGCTCGAGGAAGCGGTCGAAAGGGCGCTACGATCATGTGGCTGTATCATGTGGCACCGAGAGAATGAGAGACGGAAGTGACGATCTTCTCAGCAGAGCCCCTTCGCAAAAGCATGCTCGGTACCACTGCAAGGATTACGATCGACGATTCGGTTGTCACCATAGAATACCGCAAGTCGAGATGGGGTCATGGGATGTGACCAGTGTAGACCCGATCATCAACAGACTGAGCCAGGCAAGGGCCAAGAGAGTGGGAAAAAAAAAAAAAAAAAAAAAAACAAGACTCGATCGGCAGGGAGTTCTTTGGAAATTGCATCGTTGTGATGGCCTTGCCATCGAGAAGAAGCAGAAGCAGAAGCAGAAGCAGAAGTGGCGGCAGCAGCAGCAACAGACAGTGAATTGTGGCCACGCGCTCTCCGCCTCAGTCCCCGGATGTGTCTCGATTGCGGCGCCGGGAGCAGTCAACTATGTCAATAGTGAGGTTTCGGTAGCAACGTCCACGCCGCACTCGACCTCGGCATGGACCTCAAAGACCAGCTGAGTTTGAAACGAGGTTAAGCCAAGTCGAGGTGATTGCAGCTAATCGCTGTGAGTCGGAACGGCTCGAAAGAGAGGCGAATGCCAGTCGCAACATCTATCTCTCTCTCTCTCTCTCTCTCTCTCTCTCTTTCTCCTGCACACACGCACTTTGCCAATTGCAGACCGTCCATCGTCGCCACACGTAATAAAACCGCGTCCTACCATCCAAGTCCGTGTCGCTTGCGACAAGCGATCAACGCTATTCGCTCCAACAACAACAACAAGATTGATTGAGGAGAATTGACATATTCGCTTGGAAAGAGGCACATCGGAGTCAAGCTGGAATGACCTAGCCATCTTTCTTGACGTGAATGTGGATCCACTTGGAGCAGAGTTGCTTGCTCGTCCACTTATAATCCAAAGTATCGATGTCCTTGCCATTGCCATCCTCGTCCGAGGCCCAGATCCTCCAGGCAGTATTCTCACCACCACGGAGAGTGATGTCCTTGCATCCGGTCTTATTATCGAAGTTCTCGAAGAGGAAGCTAACTCCACCGAAGTGGGGATAGGTTATCTTGAAGAAATCAGTAGGGTTCTCCATTGCGAAATCTGCAGGGGCATTGAAGACAAAAGGTCAGCATTGGCTCTTAATTTTACGGCTGAAGGTGAAACAACTTACCCGTCATGTGATCGTTCTTGATCATGAGCTTGCTCATGGCTTGGAATGGTACAACGTGGGGGCAAACCTCCGCGTCCCTAAGATTACCGGCCCAGTGAACAAAGCAAGTATGCTTGACGTCACTTCCGGCTTCGCAGCGTGCTTTGTAGCCACCATAATTAGGCTTAAACTTGGGAAGGCAATGCTCATATGTGTAGTCTCCACGAAGAGAGAGATGTTGACGGACATGTCTAGGGGTGAGCTCGCCCACAACAGAGTGAATCATGAGAAGCAAAGCTACCAGAAGGAGGCCAAAGTTGGCAGCGGAAGTAGAAGCTCGAGTCATCTTGCTCGAAGGTTGTCTGAATCTTGAAGGTCTTGAAGGTTGTCTGAATCTTGAAGGAAGTGAGGGAGAACTTTCGAAATGAGTTTTGGGAGTTCTGTATTTGAGGGCCGAGTGCTCAGCTCTTGTTCGCAAACATCAGTGCCTGTCTGCGAGGTACACGAACCACACGCGGGGACAGAGACCGAAACATGAGAAATGTGAGGTTGCCTAACTTGTGCGAGAGTCGCTTGCGAGCTCCCAGCCATGGCCGTAAGGGCCACAGGTGGTCGAGGGTCACATGATAGCCGGGCGGAGCGTGCGTGAGACCTAACTCCATCAGTCAAAGGACGGGAGGGCGCGGATGAGGTTGAAGAGCGCTGCACGGAGCCAGCGCGAGAGTGGGGGGTGTTGGTGAGAAGCAAGGAGAGGTGAGATGAGACGAGTGAGTGGTAAACTCGCTCACTTGCCCTCGGATCTCGCGATGAAGTCAGGTGGCTGTGAAACAGTCGCCACACCTTATTGGATCGATTTGATACGGTAGAGATTCAGCCGACTGGTGGTTCAGATGAAAGTGTGGGAGGCTCGTGCTTGTCGGTGTCTACAAAAACATCTCACTGTATTGGCCGGTTCCGTGGCCGGTTCCGTGGCCGGTTCCGAGGGCCGCGGGTTGATGAGCTCATGCTTATTAATTTCACAGACGCATCACGTGAAGATATATTTACGCGCAGTCCGAAACCCGAGTTGGTTGTTGACAATGTCCTTTCTTCCGAACCACCATCATCTCCACCTCTCCGACGTACTCGCTTACGTTCATCGTTGGTCGTAGGTAAGTAACCGAAACCTCTCTTCTTTCTTTTTCCTTTTTCTTTTTTTGTGCAATTTGCTTGCCTGAATTTCATGTGTTCCCAACTCACCTTCGGAACCTTTTGGTGTTGGTCTCTTTTGTGTGGTGTCTGCGTGGGGATGCGCAGCTGCAGCTCTGTTTGCTTCTTTGTCTGCCTCTTTGGGCTGAATTCAACTCCAAGAACAACTATCGACACTGTGGCACTGCTTGAGCTGCTCAGCATCATTATCATCGTCATCTCCGCTTTCCTGGAACAGTCACTCGGTCAAGAAGACAAGAGCCAAAACGTGTCTCGGCCATTCATCCTACCATTGTCAAAGCCCATCCGGCTCCTTACTCCATTATTGGTTTTTCCTTCGCTCTCCACCTGCGTACTGTTCTGCTTACCTCTACACCAGGGCAAGCCTCACCATCCCGCATTCGGATCGCCTTGCGAATTGACCGTCGGCAACCTCGTCACTCTAGCTCAATCTGGACCCTGTCCCTTGGCGCTCCACGCGTAGCCGCAACCCACCTCTGATCGCCATAAACTTGCCATTGCAACGCTGAACTCTCTCACCGTCTTTCTACCACATCCCCTCGATTTGCTGAACACCATCACTCCTTGCCATACACAACGGCGCCATTCACTTGACACTTCCAACTGCATCGAGCGTATTACCAATGCATCAGACCTGACTCGCTCACCCTAATCACGACACCATCGCTAGACCAAACTTGTCCGCTCCGAGACAACGCTATCTTGCGCCTAGACTTCTCCGGTCAGGCCAAAACTCGACTGCTGAACTGCACACTTCTTGCCCTGGCTCTGGCATGCCCTCGACGCCCAGGCGGCGTCTGATCCGACGTAAAGCAATACCGACACCATCGAGATCATGAAGTCTCCTGAACTCGAGTCTTCGGCCACATTCGGTGCTGGCGGCGCAGGTCTTGGTGTGGCAGGCATCAACTTTGCTTCAGCTTCATCCTCATCCACATCCACATCCACATCATCGCCAAGCTCACCTTCCATCACAAGAACGCCGAGATGGGGTAGCATTCGACAGCGCTTCAGCAGCATCCAGTCTCGCGACAGTCCTTCTGTTCCGGTAGACAGCGTCGATGATGGCATGTGGGACAAGAACGATGCTGCTTTCCTCGAGGAGGTGGCTCGTGACTCGCCTCTGCTTCTCGGATCGCCTGACCGCTTCGACTCTCTAGCTCCCGTCTTTGAGGACACGTATACTGGACGAGCCTCCACGTCTTCGTCACGAGCTCCAAGCTTCATTCGCATCCGAGACGCCGAGGCGCTCACACATCTTTCACCACATTCCGCTTCATCGCACCGCCAGTCACTGCAGCGTCGACCTTCCTCTGCATCCAGCTCTACGCCATCCTCTGCTGCTTCCGCCGCCTCAGCCATGTCGACGTCCGTCGTCACTCAGGATGAGATGTCCGCCTCAAGTCAAGCTTTCTCTACAATCAAATCATGGCCTCGTTCCATGCGAAGGATGGCCTCCGCCAATATGCTGCCAGATCTGCCAGAACAGAATCGCACCGATGATTTCATCACTTTCTCCCGATCCTCCACCGCATCATCCTCGTCGGCAGTGCCCATGTCCCCACCGCTCCTCCCACCCATCGGCTCCTCTGCATCCTTCATGTCTGGCGCATTCGCCAGCGCCTCCCACCTCATACAGTCTCCTCACGGCAACGACAAAGGCAATGCACATTCCAGCCTCGGCTCCAGTCCGAGCTTGACCCACAGCGTCCATGCTACAAGTGACGCGACTCGGTCTGCCATTGCTGAGCAGTATCCACGATCCCCTTCTCTGCACAGCTCTTCCTCCTTCACCACCACCGGCTTTGTCTACCGTTCTCAAGATGACCGCTTCCCCGACAGCAATGCCCGAGCACGCACCCTTTCCTCTGGATCGGCGTCAAGCTCCACCCCACAGCACACGCTTGGCGCAATTGATCGTCGCACCAGTCGCAGCGTCATTGGCAGTCCCCTTGCAATGAGGACTTCCTTCTCGTCATCACGTCCATCGAGTCCGGATGCGTTCCTCCAGGACACTGCTGTCGTATCATCCTCGCCCACCCTTTCGAGTGTTGCAGCCGAGCATGGCGCCTCGGCCTTCGCAACAGACAGCGAACGTCGACCCTCGATTGCTAGTGTCATGGAGTTACCTTATCCTGGACCAGTATCCCAACCGATCCCACAAAGCGCCGACGAGTTTGGTGGTCAAGCGAGTGCTACTGCACGTGGCAAGCGTATGGCATCAGCTAGCATGCGAGGCGTGCCAGGCAGCCCAACAAAGAAGAGTAGCGCTGCCGTTGCGCCCGCCTCCGCTCACGCTACCTCTTCCACAGCCACAGCTACTGCCACGAATGGTGCGCCGAATGGCGTCGCCCGCAAGCATACTAAGAACACGAGCAGCTTGGTTTCTGGCTTGCGTAAGTTGATGGGAAAGAGGGAGCGAGAGGGCAAGGCGGTTGCCGCCCTTACGTCGGACTCGGCCGTCGCTGCAGACGATGTTTTCATGCGCCCTACTTCACCTTCGCTGGCGGAACAATCCGCACAAAGCCGCTCCGCTGCTACCTTCGCCTGGCCTAGCCAATCATCTACGGACGAGAAGCACTCGTTGCAAACGCAAGCCACAACCATCGACACACCTCAGCATGGCGGCCTCAATCTTTTGGGCTTGACACCAGATGCTCTCGACTCTGGTGCTGCCGTTGAAACAATGCTTGGCCGGAACCAAAGCCTCAAGAGCCAAGCTAATCGCAAGGTTTCCCATGCCGCTTGGGCATCGCCTAGCATGGCGCGTCGCTCTCCTTCGGTCGATCTCTTGCGAAGCTTTGGCACCATGGGCCGGGTGTCACAGGCCGGCCTGTCTGGTCCTATCCAAGGAGTTCCAGCCGAACCAGCCTCGCCGCGTTCTCGCACCATGAGCATCGACGGTCTCACAAAACCTTTGCGCGAGGTGCTTGGCCAGCGTTCTCGAAAGGACTCCAGCCAAAAGACAGCGTCTCGTGCCAGCGTTATTGAACACATTTCCCACAATGATGCGCGCCGCATGACAGGCTATACCGGCCCAGTGATCCTGGAGACAAAGGAAGCACTCGAGAAGCATCGCGCACAGTACGCCACGTTTCCTTCAGAGATCGACCTACCAGAGCGCTCCAACTTTGACATGCTTCACCAGCTCTCCGCTTCTTCCCATCCGAATGACAGGGCTGATAATGCCGCCGCCGGTAACATCGTAACAGAAACCGCAAGCTTGACTGGCCATGGCAGTGTACAGTTGCCAGCACGTCCACAACGACCCGATCAATCAAGTTCACATGGCTCGGCGCCAACGGAGCTTCTCACACCGTCCAACAGCGGAGAGATGGTCAGTGGTACGGGTGGCAGCACTAGCAGCAACATGGGCGGCATCTCTTCCTGTGGCTCTTCCTTTGTCTCTGCCAGCTCGGCTGTTACGGATCCATCCATGACCTTGCGACAGCCCTTCACGTTCCAATCGCAGGCATATATACCACACTCTCGTGAATCGCGCGGATCGCAAAAGCCTCAGCCTAGTCCCCCGTTCAGTCCATCATCGCTCGCTTTCCACCTTCCCGGGGAACTAGCGGCGCTCGGCCTTCACGACACCTCCATGACCAATGGCAACAGGATCGTGCATCGCCCTGCACCATCTCTGGGCTCTCTCGCACCTGTTCCGAGTGGACAAGCGCTAGGCTCGTATGCCGTTAACCCGCCTCATCCACAGGCAGCCAAGCAAGGTCACAGCAGTCGCGGTTCGCTCAACAGTCTTGTCAGCGGCAGCAAGCCATGGTCGAGCTTCTTGGGTTCGCCCGTCCTCGGCAGCTCATGCTCGCTCTCGCACCACAAGCGTGTATCGATGGCTTCCATCTCCAGGCCGATGTCGGTATCATCCTCAGCACTCTCGAGCGATATCAATGATCTCAGTACCGATGTAGCCGATTTGACCTTGCGTCCTTCAGATTTTGCCGGCCGAGTTCGTTCACGCATATGCCTTGATTCAGCACATTCGAATTTTTCGGAACCGGCAAATTTCTTGGCTTGGCAGCCTGTCTCTTCTTCGGCTCTGAATTCGAACAATTCTTCCAGCGTGCACGTCCACTCTCAACAACGTTTCGCTCCGGCTTCTAGCAGTCAGAGTCACTTATCTCTACCCTCGGCCCCACATCTTGTTACCCTCGCACCAACTGCAGCAGCAGCAGCAGCAGCAGCAGCACCACCACCACCACCACCACCAACGGCCTTCGCTCTATCCTCTAGCTCTTCCCAGCACTCGCATCAGTCGCACCAGTCGCACCAGTCGCATCACTCACATCAGGCCTACGATCAGTCCGGCGCTTCGACTGCATCTGCTTCTTCAGGAACCTTTGCTCCTGCTATTGCCAACGCACAGCACCGACTTGTACCGGCATCATCCAGCACAGGCCTTCGCCAGCAAGCCCCCAGCCCAAGTCCACTTCGACGTCCTGCCACCATCGACGACGACCTCAACCAACAAGCTTCTGGCTTGCAACCCTTGCCTTCCACGCCGACTACATCGCCTCCAGCAGCAACCGCGTTTTTTCCGACCACCGCCCCAGGCTTTTCGTCAAGACTACGTCCAACTGGTGCCGGTCATCGCTCGTCTCTTTCAGGCTCTTCGCTCTCGCACCGCAAGCGTCCATCGTTCGGTCTTGCTATCGAGCCTGCTGCTCACTCGGCATTCGATAGCATTCCGAGTCCGAGTCCGCTTCTGCACACTCGCAGGATCTCACTAGCATTTCCAGAAGGCGCAGCACCTCAACGGCCGTTCTCCATCTCTTCAGCATCGATCGGCCGTACCACATCGGACAGCTCAGCCAACACCAGCCCCAACGGCTCAGCGCGCGTCTCTGCAGCTACGCTCTCCTCGAATCACGTCCTTGAGAGCGAGGACAACGTTGAGATCGAGACCCTGCGTGACGGCAGTCCGACCAAGGGGCCTCTCTCGGCAACTCCTGCCTTGCTCAAAGGTTCAGTGCCTGTGCTTGAAAGTGCCATGGCAGCTGCGACACTCGAGACGACCATCAGCCACCGTCACTCCGTCTCCGTTCCCATGGACGAGGGCGACTCACCACAACAGTATCAAGAGGAGAGCTGGAATCGAGCCACGGCTGGCACTGTCCTGGCCTACGGCATTGTGGAAGATTCGCAGGCTGCATCGGCGCCAGCAACAAGGCCGCGTCAGTACATGATCCATTCGCCCAATGAGGAACAAGGTCCAGCACTCGCCATGTCCGACACAACATCATCATCCGGCCGCATGAGCCAAGCAACCAAGGACATTGCCTTTGGCTCAATAGCAGGTATGGTCAGCAAAGTCTTTGAGCACCCTTTCGATCTCGTCAAGGTTCGCTTACAGACGCAATCAGCCGACCGACCCCCACGCTATGCTGGTGCATTCGATTGCTTCAAGCAGACCTACCTGCAGGAAGGTATCCGCGGGCTCTACCGCGGTCTGAGCATGCCCGTGGTCGGTGCGACACTGGAAAACGCCTGTCTCTTCTTCACGTACAACCAGATCCAGTCGGCGATCCGATGGGCGAATGGCGAAGCAAAGAGCGGTGCCTCTGCGGCACAGGCGGATGCAGAGTCACCGTTGTCTATCCCTCAGTTGGCTATTGCTGCAGCAGGTGCAGGTGCAGTGACGAGCTTGGTCTTGACACCGATTGAGTTGATCAAGTGCAAGATGCAGGTTCAGATGATTACACGTGAGCAGCATGCTTCCATCTCCACCAATACCGCAGCTGCGAATGCGGGTGGTTTGCAACAGCAACGTCGGATCTACACCAGCGCTATTCGACGTGCTGCATCTCCCGCCTCCTCTGCCGAAGCATTCAAGTCTCTGGATGGCCCTCTGACACTGCTGCGTCGCACCATTGCAGCCGAGGGCATTCGAGGTCTCTGGCTGGGTCAAACGGGTACACTTGTTCGCGAGACCGGTGGTGGAGTAGCGTGGTTCCTCGCTTTCGAGTCGTGTTCTCGCTACCTCATCGCTCGAAAAAAAGCACAGTGGAATCGATCAGATGTGACCAAGAAGGACCTCACCTCACTTGAACTCGTCGGTGCAGGTGCACTCGCTGGAGTCAGCTACAATGTCGTCCTTTTCCCTGCTGACTGCGTCAAGTCGACCATGCAAACAGAGCAGGAGATGCGCCCTGTCTCCTCTACGGCTAAAGCAGGGGAGAAGTGGAAAGGTACAGGGTTCTACGACACATTCAAGAAGATCTACAAGACCAGAGGTATCAAGGGGTTGTACGCCGGTTGTGGAGTCACATGTCTGCGAAGCGCTCCTTCGAGTGCGATCATCTTTTTGATGTACAACAAGTTGGAGAAGTTGAGCGACGAGTATGGCTTTTAGACACCAGGATAGATAGTGAACTATTTGTATTTAATACAAGCATAGACATGAATCTGATACCATCCATCTTCCTATGGCTTGGTGTGTGAGGATACAAATACACAATGAGAAAGGGGCCTACTCGTCGTCAAAGTTGAAGCTGAGACCTTTGCCTGATTTGGCCTTGAGCTTTTTGGCTGCTGCGATCTTCTCTTTGCTCTTGTCGTCTTTGTGTTGCTCTTTGTCGGTCTTTGTTGGTGCTCTTGCGTCTCTTTCCTTGCGGATGAGGTCTTTGACATCTTTTAAGCCGCCTTTGCTGGTACCGTTGCCTTTTCCCTTCTCTCGACTTGGCTTCTCAATTAATTCTGCAGTGTTGACGATGTCTGATATTGATACGTCCTCCCCTAAGCCCTTGGATTCATCTGCAGCTTCTCCGATTGGACCTCTTCTCTTCCTCGCGCCCAGGGCACTTGCCGTTGAAGCAATATTTTGGTCCTTCCCCTTCGCTCCCTCTTTCTGTTCCTCCGGCTGGCCCTTACTCGCTGTCTTGAGCTGAAGCGCCTCATCATGGGACAAATGTTTCCCATCCTTCAAGACAACAACTTGAGCTCCACGCATCTCATCTTCGCTGTCCAATCCTTCGTCTTCCTCTTCCTCCCGTGCTTTTCGTTTGACAGCGGCTGAAGAAGTGGAGATCACGAAAGAATCTAGTTGGTCAGAAGGTCGTTGTTTGGTGCTGGTGGAGTAGCGATCGCTAGATGCGACTTGGGCTTTGAGAGCTTTGAGGAAGTTTGGTGTTTCGGGTGCTTGGTATTCTAGCGAGCGGGAGGCTAGGTTGCCTTTTCGGCCCGACATACTGCGGAGAGATGATGTTGGAGATGAGGTTGGGTTAGGGTTAGTATGGACCTGGAGCAGGAGAAGGCGTGATGACGGGAGCTGAGAAGAAGGAAGATGGACCCTGAACAAGGAGGACAACGAAAGCGCTAAACCGTGTCAAAGTTCCGATATCCGAAAATTGATAGCCGCGAGCCGCGTTGAGTCGTGCGAAAGGAACGTGCGCTCGTCTCAATGGTGGGCGAAGGCACGTGACCTGAGTAGTGTCACGTCATATTGCTCATCTCATCTCCTGTCGCTCTCGTTGCTTCTTGTCCATCATCTTCTCTCCTCTTGCGCATGCCTCCTGGCTGCGCTTTGTCAAGTTCATTCTGACACAGACTTCAGGCGCGTGAGATAACTCACCGTTGATGGTGTCGGTATACAAGGCAATGCACTCGACGATCCTTCCTGTCTCTCCTGGCAACCATTATCACCCTAGAGACACCGCTCAAGATGAACCCGTAGGCTCACTCGTCACATCGTAGGACCTATCTAGTCTCTTCGACAACGACGGGCAAGATGACGGTCAACGCCTCAACCCAGCCCAACCCATCCTGGCTGCTCGGCAAGTCTTCTTCCACTACCTCCCCACCCTTGCTGTCACCCGACTTCTGGCTCTCGCGAGACTTCATCCCCCTCTACCTGCTCTTCCTGCTCTTCCTTTCCTTCCGCCTCCCCTCGCTCCTCGAACGCCTCTTCACCCCGACCCTCACCTCTTCAACCTCATCCTTTGTCATTCCAGCCGAAACACGCCATGCACGCTTCCTCCCCATCGAATCCCAACACAAGTTCCGCTACAACATCCTCTACCTCGCCCTTCGACTCGACCACCTCGAAACACGCAAACTCGACACAGGCCACGCATTCGCCTGGAAAGGACCCATCCTTCTGCCCGAGTTCGTCGACGAACATGCTCTCGCACAGAGCAAAAAAGGTGTAACACCCACCCCTGCTCCCACATCCGCAGTTGGGAATGGAGGTGAGAGGCAAGACTGGAAAGCAAAAATGAGAGCTGCTGAAAGGATCGAGCGTCGTAAACTCGAGCAGAAACGGAGCCGGAACGACAGATACACCTGGTCGCTTACTGGGCTGCATCCCAAACGATATCTGCGCACGCACCTTCCAAGGTCAGAAGATCTCACCGAGCAAAGAGCGGGCTGGATCGAAGGCTCGATACTGCTCAAGCTCGCTTATGAGTTGAGGGAGAGACAGTTCCTCAAGTCAGGGCCGCAAGATGGAGCGAGTGGAGAGTGGAGCAAGGAGTTAGGGCAGGTTTGGACTGTGACCATGCCCTCGATTGCTGGTACTACAGGCATCAACCCCCTCACAGTGCACTACTGTTATCGGCCAGGAGAGAAGGGTGAGGATCGGGGAAAGTTCTGGCTGATTGTGTTGGAAGTGCATAACACCTTCAGCGAGCGACACATATACGTACTCGAAGCCGGGAAGAACGAGGACGCTTCAGAGGAAGAAAAGAGAAGAGGTGGGTACGAACATCAATGGACCTTTCCAAGGTCGTTCCATGTCTCGCCTTTCAATGATAGAGGTGGATACTATCGGCTTTTCCTGAGAGAACCTTTTGCTTCCGGACCAGACCCTACGCCGTTCACGCTGGGAATCAGGTTGCTGCTTCTTATCGAAGCCGAGGCCTCCGATGGTGTCAAGTTTGACGGCGAAAGCGTGGAAAGATCACAGAAGTTGGTGAAGAAGATGATGGCCACTTTGGACTCCATCCCTCCACCTCCTTCAAAGACCTCATCGCGCACAGCAAGATACGTTCGACCACTATCACCAGCAACACTCTACGCCGCATTGATGCGTCAACCTTTCGACCTCTTCCTCACCTTTGTCCGGATCCTGTACGAAGCTGCAAGGCTGCACTTTGTGAGGAGATTGGATGTTTTTGGTCGACCGGATATGGTCCAAGTGCCTGAAGCATCGCCTTTATCTGCTTTTGACGGTGTTGGACTTCCACCACCGCTCAATCAGATCCAACCACATCGCTCGGAAGCAGACAAGAATGATGAGCGAAGCCTGGGCTTGATGTATCCCGAGCCAGGGTGGGCAGAGATCACAGCTAAGAAGTACATGGAGGAGATGATCAGAAAGCGAGTTCAGGCGCTGAAGGCTGACAAGGGAGAGGAGTGGAGCGTTAGGGTAGAGAGTACCGATCCGGCTGATCCAGGACTTCACATTGCTTCGGACAAGATGAGAGATGAAAAAGTCAGACAGTTGGTGTTGTACACCCGATCATACGGTGTCTACGTAGACCTGATGACCCATCAGCCACCCAGTCTAGCCCTGCTCCTGGGTAGCGTCGTTGGACGTCGCTGGGGAGTAAATTCCATGGACGCTTTCGACTCGTTCTTTCCCTCTGTCTCACTAGCAGACACAGGAAGAAGGAAGAAACACTTCGACTTCCTTCTCAACTCCCATCTCGGTTCTTCCAGCTCGGATCGGGAGGAAGCCTTGCAGTCGCTGCAGAAGTTCGGCATCCCCACCAAGCCTACTACAACAAAGGAAGGCGAACAAAAGGAAAGTCGAAAAGTAACAACAGTTCTATGGATGCGCTACCTAGCAGCTGTAGCCGAAAAGAAAGCTTTCGCTCTGTTGGGTGCTCGATACGTTAAAGGCACCGAGCCCTGGCTAGAGCTTCAACGCGGACTGAAGTATATCGAGAAGAAAGCTGCGGGCGGGGTCGAATGGGATACCAAGCTGGGCAGTGTTTATCATCCCTAATGCCCTCATTCCTAGTGCCCTCATTCCTACACTTCCCTGAATTGTCTGGGATAATCCTATTTCATGGACCTGCTGAACTTTGCCTGTGTGTTTGTGAAGCCGTGACATCCCTGAACCAGCGTGAGGCGAATCGCTGCGGAAGAGAATGCGTGACTAGGTATTGCGTTTGCGAGACTTTTGTACAGATGGTATGCTAGCTTTGGTGCTAGCGGAGCAGGATGTTTTCGCCCATGATTGTGCGATGGATGGCCAGATCGATTAGATGCTTAGTTGGAGTCAGTGAAAAGCGCGGGAAAAACGGCTGAGATTTGGACTACGTTCTCGACAAGCGACAAATCTGTCGTCGTCATACGGAAGAAACAAGGATCATCTGTTAGTACGGCGTACCTCTTTCTCTATCATCTGGGGAGTCTCAAGCGCATACCCTTGCCTCCTCTCCACTGCCGCAATTTATGGACACTTACCAACGCTATCACCACAGTCGACAGTAGTAAACTCTCTCACTTGCCATCCCTCACCACCTGCAGCTTCGCTGACTTTGCCTGTCACTTCGACGAAAGTGCTACCGCTGATATCGCTGTCTGGGTTCAGTGCAACTTCGACGTTGCCAAGATCGGAAGTTTCGAGGAGAAGAGTGTTGCCAGTGATCTTCTTAACTCTGCCGACCAATCGGACTGTCTGGCCGGTGTATTGGGAGAGCATGGAGGAGTTGATCATGGGTGTGGGCTTGTCCATTTTGAAGATGCCGAGGTTGGTGAATCTGAGAGAATGAGATGGAAGGGAGACGAGAGATGGAAGAGGTGAAAGAAGATTCATGATGATGCTGAGTGGCTGAGTGGCTGAGTTGCGGACAGAGCGGAAAGTGTTAATTCAGGAGAGAGACGCGCTTGTGTGGGACGCGTAAATTGCTGAGCAGCAGGATCGATGCCCGATGCAAAAAAGTATCGGGTCGAAAAAAATGTATCGGGTCGAAAAAAGTATCGGGTCAAAAGAAGAATCGGGTCAAAAGAAGAATCGGGTCAAAAGAATCGGGTCAAAAGAAGTATCGGGTCAAAAGTGTCACTTTCGAGCTCGGATCTTGGCACTTTGACTTTGCCGAACAAGCTTTCCGTTCCGCTTCGTTCAACACCAAGACCTACATCATCTCTCGGCAACGACTCGCAGAGGATCAGCACGCGAAAAGATGCAGAGAATGTTGGTGAGGACGAAGCTGGAATCGATAGCAAGGATCGTAGCAGTAAGTCAGCCGGTTGCTGGGCCGAGCTCGATAGCCTCTTCCTCCACCTCTGCGTATCGGTTGTACCACAGGTCTAACCATGGCGATCGCCGGCAAAGACAGGGTGACCGACGGCTGTCAAGGACCGAAACAATCTCTTCCGGAACGATAAGATCAAGGCTGCTGTTAAGACCTGCTGACAGGCTAGAGCTTGTAGCCCGCGCATTCTCGACTAGCTCGGAACTTCGCTTCTCGCATGATGCGAAAGACAAGCCTCTCACGAACGACGGCGAGGAAAATAGAACACGCACACGGCCAGAGGCAGTCTCAAATGTTGCCCAAGATTCGAAAGCGGGGTCAGGCCATCTACGACAAGTCCTGGATGAAGCCAAGTCAGGCCCAGAGTTTGCAGCTGAGAGCCCGGCTTGTTCACACGTGTCGTCGGACACAATGGCAACAGCATCAGGACCGACTTTGGATGATTCTATAGACTCCAAAGCATCCGTGAACGAAAAGAGTAGCAAAAGTAACGCCAGCGGTCGAAGCTCTGCTTGCTCACCTGCATCCTGGCTAGATCAATTCCGCAACGGATCCTCCTTCCTCCCCTCGTTCGATGCCCCCACATCCACCACCTCTCTTTCTTCCCTCCTCTCAACCGCCAGCAACCGCACCTCCGAGCTGACAACCCATCTTCGCAATAGACTCTCCTACCTCTCCACCCAATACAACACTTACTCGGGCTACTCGACCATCGAAACGCTCAAGTCCCGAATCGTCTCGCTCGAGCAATCTCTCGAAACCAAACGAACCCGCGCGTCCACTGCCAAGACCAAGTACCTCGACTCGGTCCGCGAGCGCAGCTCATCTCAACGAGAAACCAACGATCTCCTATCGCGGAAAAACAACTGGACAGAAACCGATCTCTCGCGCTACACCGAGCTGCTTCGCAAAGAGCACACCGTATCACAACAAGAGAAGCTAGCAGAGCAAGAGTTGGAACGCACAGAGGGGGAGGTACAAAAGGCATTCGACGAGCTGATGAAGGCTGTGATGGTGAGGTATCATGAAGAGCAAATCTGGTCGGATAGAATGAGAGGTTGGAGCACGTATGGAAGTTTGCTGGTGGCTGGGTTGAACGCGGTGCTGTTTATCATGGCGATATTGGTGGTGGAACCGTATAAGAGGAAGAAGCTGGCAGAGACTTTTGAGAAGAGACTGGTTGCTGCTGAGGTGCAGTCGCGGCAGCTGATACTGCACAGTGTCGATCGATTCCAGGAATCGCTCACTGCGGCGTTGACCCCTGCAACTGCAGCATCCCCAGTGGCTGAATCGGAAGTAGATGGAGCGGCACCTGCTGAGCGGCCGGAAGCGTTGATGCCACCGCGAGCTGAAGGGCTCGAACCAGCGGAAAACGTCGAAGCGGAAAACGTCCAAGGCGTGGTCGGATGCAGGTCGATCCAGCGGCAGGAAGAAGAGCGTCTGGTATTCGCCTCAACCGTAGGTGTTGTTGTGGGCACTGCATTGTCTCTCATCATCAGCGCTTGTTGGTCGTGACATCACCTCGCGACTCCAGCCCGCAATCTTATAGACGATCGACACATACAGACTGAGAGCGAGCTGCACGACTTCGAAAACTCTGGTATGAGAACAAATGTGCATCAACTGAACTAGAAGCAGTACAGAAGTGTGCAAATCGGCATTAAGACGTGAGAAAGACGTGAGAAAGACGTGAGATAAAGGGTGAGGAAAAGGGGCAAACGAAGAGAGGTGTAGTTGTACAGTACTGTACGCTAGGCACGAGATCAGAAGATGACATCCTCGTCCTTACCACCCGACAGCATGTCTTGCCCGCCCTGCTCCTCTTCTTCTTGCTGCTTACCACCTGCGCCGGAGCCGTCCTTGTTCTTGTTCTTGTTCTTGTTCTTGTTCTTGCTCTTGTTCTTGCTCCCGTCCTCCTTGACACCGACATCCTTTGCCTCTGCATCCCTGCTGCTATCCTCGCTACTCTTCTTTTCTTCCTCAGCGTCCTTGACACCCTGCAGCTTCTTCCTCTGCTTATCGCTTGCGGCAGCCTTCTCCTTCTTCTTAGCCTGCACCTTTTTCAATCTGAAGAACTCCTCCCTATCCGCCTCGTCCAACTCGCTGACGATATAACTGATCGTGTTCTCCAACCTTGGAATGATGACATGCTCGATAGCATTCACTCGCCTATTGGTCATCCTGATGACTTCGTCCAAGATTACGAAAGCAGTCTGCAAACTCGCCAACTCGACCAACACCTTCAATGCCTGCGTATAGACCTCCCTTGCCTTGTTGACCTGCTGACCACCTCTACTGAGACCGGTAAGTGCAAACTCTCCACCGCTGCCTTGCGCACCATTTGATTTGTCCTTGATGTCCGCCTCGAAAGCAGGAAGTAAGACACCGGATACGTTCTCCTGCTTAGCTCGAACGCGGAACGATGCGGACTTGACGGACTCCTGGACGATGTAACCAATGTCGCCGGTAGCGTACTGGACCTCGGCGAGAGAGAAGGAAGCTTGTTGCATGACTCTGCCCATCTTGCGTTTAGCTTCATCAATCTTGTGTGTGATGGTGCGGAAACGCTTGGTCAAGGCATCGGCCTTCTTTTTGAGGAGGGAGTGACCTGTTTGTGCTCCCTTCAAACGAGTCTTGGCCGAACCGAGGGCTTGACGAGTAGGGAAGACCGACTCTCGTTGGCCTTTGCCGGAAGACATTGTGAGGAGAGTGTTCGACACAGGCTATCTGATGCTGTGATGTAAGGGTGATGTATGCGATCGAGACGATGTTAATGCGCAAGGATGCGGAGATGAGCGTCTGATATGAGAGTGGTGATGAGAGTGGTGATGAGAGTGGTGATGAGAGTAGTGATGAGAGTGGTGATGAGAGCCCCTTTCCTTGCGTGTGTCTGTCTGTGCTTGTGATTTCTCCACTCTGTGTTACGTTACGCTACGGAAATTTGGCGATGAGCTTGGACCATGCGCTGAGTGAAATCGAGATCTGGGAGGGGCCCGATTCTAACGATTGTACCCGATAGATTGGATCTAAAGAAACGCGCCTTATTGTGTATTGCCCACGTCCATGTGCACACCTCGACTCGACACACATCTTCCCATCTAGCTTCTCACCAACACCATATTCATACCCTACACTCAGCATCCAATCGCCTCAAAGCGCGCAATCTCGCACAACTCACTGCAGCTTCCTCCCGTACGGGAACAGCACTGACCGGCTCGGATCCGATTAGAGCCTAGTAAGCACGGATACGGATGCAGCCTCAGTGAACCGAACTGGAACCGCCATTCCACTGGCGCAACACAACGTTCCTACGGCCGACAATCATCCAGTGCGGCTGTCATTAGCCCAGATAGGCCGCTGTGGACCGCAACTAGCCTCAAGCTTCACAACTTTCCACTATGAACGACGATATCGAAATGGACGATGAGCAGGAGCAGGAGCAGGAACCCATTGAAGAGCCCGACTACGATGATGCCGACGAAGATGACCAGGATGATGACGACATGGACGACGACGATGCCAACGGCGATGATGAAGACGACGCGGACAATGATGATGACGACGAGGAAGACGGCGACGACGACGATGGTGCTTCTGTTTCTGCTTCTCGCAACGACAACTCCCGTCGCTCCGTCACCGTAGACGAATCTCTCTCATCGGCCACGTACTTCCGCAAAGTTCAAGAACGGCGCAAGCTCTTCCGACCCCCACCATCATACACCTCTACCTCCTTGGGCTACCACATTGAACCAATGGCTGCCGCACCACACTCGGCCCAAATCCACGCCATGTCCCTCTCCCTTGACGGGCAAACGCTTCTAACCGGCGGCTCAGACGGCTATGTCCGAAAGTACGACGTTCACGCAACCATGAATGGCAAGACGATGCTCACGCAGAACGTTCGCCATGGCTTCGTAGAGGGCATCACCCGCGGCGGAAGCCTCACAGCTTTCTGGGGCAACGAAGAATGGCTTCCTACCTCTGCTCCGCCCGATCAACCACCACATGGACCTGAAAAGGACAGATTATTGGGAGTAGTACACAGTCTAGCCATCCAACAAGACTCGCTGTGGGGTCTGAGTGGGTCGGAATCAGGCAACATTCATCTCTATGGCCTTCGACACGAACCCGGTATCACACGGCATGTCTTTAGGAAGCACAAAGGTGCCGTTTCTGCATTGACATTAACGCCGGATGAAGTGACAATGATCTCAGGAGGTTGGGATAGAGGAGTGCACCAGTGGGACTTGAATACAGGGCAGGTAGTAAGGTCTTTTGAAGGATTCGCAGGACAGATATCCAGTTTGGCATTTAGACCGTATAGTGCGCAAGAGGAAAGGAGAGCGGATGGCGAGTTGAACATTTCCATACATCCTTCTGCCGTTGCGAATGGTGCGAAGGAGGAGGAGAAGGGAGCAGAGGTATCGGAGGATGCAGAGGATAGGGCGCCGAACGAGAACGGGGATGCCACGATGGCTGATGAAGACGCGGGTGCGGATGCGAAGTCAGATAACGGCGACGCGAAGAAGGGCGAAGAAGATGCATCTCACCCGTCCAAAGAAGCGATATCGACGAGTCGCACAGGGGTGCCAAAGTCCGATCCCGGCAAAGCTACCGCAGATGCAAAAGCTGATGAATTAAATCAAGACCAGCTAGCCAGCGGACCTATCTCCTCCAACAAAGCACAGACAGACGCCAAAGCTGATACAAGCACAAATGCCACCGCCGAAGATGCAGCTGCGGCATCCGAACCGAACGGCAAACCTGCGTCTACCATTGACAGCAAAGACGCCGATCCAACGACGCCAGCTGCCAAAGAAGCATCGCCACCATCAGCCACCACAAAGAATGAACCCACCGAAGCAGTAGCACCGTCCACAGGAGCAGGCGGCGACGATCCCACAGAAGAAGAGCTAGCCTTCGAAGCCGAGCTCAACGCATCCCTCGGCATGTCACTCGATGGCACCGCTGGAGCGACCAAAGCAGACGGAACACGACCAGACACATTCGCGCTCTCCGCAAGCGGCGCTACAGCTGGAGGATTGATGGTTGCTGGTGCTGATGAGGGTGGCGACGATGATGATCTGTTCGATAGTGACATCCCGCCTGCTTCTTCAACTGCGGGTAAAGACACCAAAGAGAAGGAAACGAAGCCACAGAGCAATGGCAACAGTGGTGGCGGCAATGAAAGCGACGGTGACGATTCGCTGTTTGGTGACGGAGATGAAGATGCCGATGGTTACGCAGATGCGGATGCGGAGATAGATGCCGAAGCTGATGCCGACGCTGATGGCGATGCCGATGGCGACGCGGAAGGTGAGGATGACGATGAGGATGGATCGAGCGATGAAGATATGCCTCTAGCTGGTCGGTCTATGGCGAAGAATTCTTCCAGTCAGAGCAACATGCTCGCCAGCACAACTGCTTCTCCCTCCCTCTCCATCGCCCTCCCCTCCTCCACCCCAGCTAACGCGGCAAAGGACACCAAAGCAACCACGCCCGGCACACCTCCCCCTCCACCAGCAGCAGCAGCGGCGGCGGCGGCGGCGGCAAAACAAGAGAAAGCCCTGCCTAAACCAGCATTCGGAGGCTTCTCGATCGCATCTTGCTACTCTGCACCCCTTTCCACCTTCAGTCGAGACGTCATGCTCTCCACCTCACTATCGGGCCAAGTGATTCTTTGGGATCTACGATGTCCTAACTACACTCGCTCGTCACCTAATACCCCAGCAAAAGGCGTCCATTCTTTACCGCTACCAGCAAAGATCCCGCCATGGTGTCAGAGCGCAGTCTTGGACTCGACAGGCAACAAAGTTTTCGTTGGGCGAAGGAATGAATCTGTTGACGAGTGGGATTTGCGGTTTACACCTACCTCTACAGCCAGTACAGGCTCGACGTCGAGGTTTGTAAGATCGCTGAGGTTGCCATCAGGGTCAGGCCCGGTGTATTCGCTTGCTGCGATGCCCAATGGGAGGCATATCGTTTGCGGGAGCTATGATAACATCAGATTGTGGGATACAGAGTTCCTGCCCGGTCCGGGAGTTGGAGGAGAGGCCAAAGTGCCATTCAAGATCGTCGCGGGACACCATGGTGCAAGTTTGAGTAGTGTCTTAGTTGACAGCAGCTCTAGATTCTTGATATCCGCTTCCGGAGATAGAGGATGGATGGGATCGAGCACCGAGGCGGTGATTATTCATGACATCAAAGCGCTCACTTAGCCGCAATCCAACACGCCGTCTTGCACTGCCTCTCTTTTCTGTCTGTATGCCGTGTGTCTCGTGAGGATGAGGGTGGAATTGAGTGTCTATGGCTCAGCTGTCAGGTCGGACGAAGAGCTGATTTGTTCACTTTCTCGTTCACCGTAATGTAAGACTGTGTTGGATCGGATGCCACAAAGACGGCCCATTCATCTGTGACGGAGAAGTGTTTGAGAGATGATATGATGTAGATACAAGGAAAAGGTTGATGACAGGTAGGTGGGGAGAAGAACGGGAGACGAGATGGTCAGCTTAGATACCGCACAAGCACGTCCCAAGTCAGACTTGATGAGTTGGTGTTGAGCTCTTCCGGCACTTGTGCTTTCCGAACTCTTCCGCAGCAAACACCTTGAGATTATCGTTGGACAATCTTATTCTTTCCGCACATCCTTTCACTCTGTCTGTGATGTTATGAAGGAGAAGGCAAGTCGTTAACAAGAAAGACGATCTCCAAGGCTACCTGAGAAGGATCACTCATTTGGCACGTTAGGCTCACTCACGGCGCTCATTACTTTTCTTGCTTGCTCACGCAAGGCATCGCTTGCTCCTCTCCTTGAGGGAGAACAATGATGATCATGCAACAGTGTAATGAGAGCGAGTAGTGAGTGTGTGAGTGAAAGTACAATGCAACTGATACTTGGAAGTAGTGGTTTCTTGCTGCTTGCAAACGCGGCTTGCTTAGTCTTCGACAATGTCGCTCTTCTTCGGCTTCTTCTTTTCGACAGGACCGTTGCTTCTGATCTCCTTACCCTGCTGCTTGATCTTCTTCACCCCCTCATCCCGCAAAATCCCTAGTCCTGTTTCGGCTTGAGCCAACTCCAACACATCGTCCAACGGAACCAAGCCATCATGATCAACATCCAGCTTGTCAACGATCTTCTCAATCACCTCATCTTCAGGCTTGTGCTTGATGAGACGCAAAGCTTGTTCAAGATCGTCAACCGAGATCTTGCCGGTATGGGAAGCCTCGATGAGGTGCATGCGAGATCCTACGTCTCGGTCGTATTCCTCGAGTTGGTTGTCGATCTTTTCGAGCATCGACTTGATGCGCTTGGTCATGCTGCGTGCCGAGGCGGATGCAGATGCAGATGCGGATGCGGAAGCGGAAGCGGATGCGGATGCGGGGAAAGACTCGGAGGTCTCTGCATCGGGTTTCTTTTCCGCAGCTTGGCCTTCTTCGGTAGGTGGGCAAGTTTCGGAACTGGAGACCTCCTTGATGAGCTGGGCGAGCTCTTCCCGCTCCTTGAGCACCGAAGACTTTGCGGAAAGGATGCTAAGCGCTTCGCCAAGCTCAGTGAGCTGCTCGTTGGTCATCCTAGCGTCCTCCAAGGCAGGATCGGTCTCCTTCTTGGGCAACAAGGAGCGAGCTTCCTCCTCTTCACGTGCGAAATGTGCCTTCTCAGCATTGCGGCGCTCCTTGTCGGCTTCGCGAGCAGCTGCCTCCTCCTGCTCCTGCTCAGCTTCGTCTTCGATGAGCTCTTCCTGCTGTTGCAAGACCTCAAGGCGTTGCTTGTTGGTAGCACCTTCGCTGTTGACACTAAGCTCTGTCTCGTTGACAAGGTTGTCTGGCAAGCTGCTCAAGGTCAGCTCCAAGCTACGCAGATGCGACTGAGCGTTGTCGTCGTTGTTGCCCGCGGCGACGTAGTTGAATGCCTTGCTAAGGACCAAGAGTGTACCGCTGACCTTGTTTTTTAGGTGCAAGTCAATCCACTGTTGCAGCTCCTGTCGCAATCGATCCTCGGACAGGTTGTCGGTCTGAATACCCCTGTTCTGACAAGCACTGACGAGTTCAGAGTGTGACATGTTATCAACACCTTCGTGGGAGATGACAATGTCGTCCTGGCGAATGCGATTGAGTTTATGCCTGATCTGGTAGCGCAGGTAGTTATCCGTACCGAAGGCGTTGATCTGCATGTATCGACAGACACTAACCAATTGAGGACGCGTCAAGTTGTCCAATGTCAAATCATCTTCAAAGAGCTGAGCGACCTTGATGATGTCTTCGTTGCTAGGTGATTCGCCAGTGGATCGAACCTTGCGGAAGAACTCTTTGAATTCTTTGGAAGTCTTGACCTTGTCTGTGGCTTGAAGGCCTCCCTCCTTGATAGTTTCTTGGAGGAACTTGGCCATCTCGAGACGGACCTTGATGAGACCACGACGCTTCTCTTGAACGGAAAACTTGCTTTCAAAGGTACTCGGAAGCATGTTAGGGAAGATTTTGATGGCGACGGGAAGCAAAAGCTCACCGGCGGGGATGATGATGAAGGGAATGAAGGGGATGAGACGCAACAAATCGGCAAACGTTCGACGGAGTTGACGCTTCTCTCGGCGCGTCAAGCTGTATCCGAGCATGAGTCTACGCAGTAATCGCCAGGAGATGCGAACCTCTTTGCCGAGAAGCTTGGAGCCGTGCCAGTAGTGGAGAGCTTCTTCCTTGACTTTGGCCCAGACACGAGTCAGGAGAGGACCTTTGGGCTTCTTGGCTTGGAGCTCCTTTTCTTTGGCCTTCTGCTCTGCAGGCATAGTCTGCGAGGCAGCGGTCTGGTTGGCAGGAGAACCGAGCTCAGCAGCGGTGTTGGACGAGACAGGAAGAGGGTTGACGGTGACAGGCGCCTTGGGTGAGGCAGGGGCCGACTGGCCCTGATATGACAAGGAGGAAGCAGCCTTGGCATCTTTAGACAATGTGCCTGGAGGCGGGTGGCTGTGGTCGTTGGAGGATGATGTTGAGGAGCGCTGTCGAGTTTGTGTTGACTGGTAGCGAAGGAATCTGCGTCGAATGAGAGCTTGGGTCTCTTCTACCTTGCGTCTTTGGTGGTAGTGCTTTGTAATGGCGGTGGAGAAGCCAGCGAGGGGGCGATGCAAACCAGGGACGAAGATCTGAAGGACGTCAAGTTGCGAGTTGGGACGCAGTGTGGGCCTGGCTCGACCAGCAGCAGCGAGGGAGCCACTAGCCCAAGCCAAGCTCTTGGCAGCCAAGTAGGAAGAGTTGGAGGCAGCCATCGTGCAGAAATGAGTGGTGTCAACGCTGAATGGAGCGACGGGCTATAGTGCGATTTGAAATCCAGGCTTGGTGTCCGTGTTATTGAAGCAAGTAAGGCAGCCAGCGACAGTGCAAGAAGACCGAGATGATCAAGAGGCGGGCGTTGCAATGATCCTTCGTCCAAGAAAGGAGACCGTAGAGGATTTTGAGTGATGTCAGTTGTTGTTGGAAGTGGGAGGTGAGAGATGAAGGAGAGGTAAAAGAAGAAGCGCATCGACGAGCAGTGGGAAGAAGGGGTTCAGGGGAATCCAAGCGCTGCGTGAGTGTCTGAGTTAGTTCTCGGCCGAAAACTCAGGCTCAGTATCGGCCGAAACAGGCGAGGTGAGAGAAATGCGGGTTTCGGGACCGGAGGTCGCGAGCTCTGTGGCTCCCGGCCCGCCGTAGGGGGCCGGTCGAGCGCAGATGAGAGCGGGCTACGTACAAAGGGAGGGATCGGGTGGGAAAAACACAGGAATATCGCGCTCGATGGTGGTGAGCGCGAGGAGAAGATGGTGGAGGAGAGAGATGAGGGGGACGAAGTGTCGTTGCGTTGATCTCAGGGCCACGTCACGCGCTTCTCAGATGGGCACGTGATTAAATCTCGTGCGGCAAGCACAACTCGACTCGACTGCGCACGGGAACCGGAAGAAATAGGAAAGCTGAAAGCCGAGTTGCTTCTCTGTCTCTCTTGCCTGCAGTGGAGAAGCAAATCCATCTCAGCAGAAGCACAGCACAGCATAGCACAGCATAGCACAGCATAGCACAGCATAGCACAGTGGTAGACAACGGCCGAATACAGTCTCTCCAGTTGAAGTAGATAAAAGATGCACAAAGCGTAGAGACTGCGGAGAAAGTGTTTACGGCCGAGTAAAAGGCTTGCACAAAAGGGGCTCAGCAGCGCACGCATGCGTGCGCTCCGAGCATGCGCGGGTGGCGAAAACTTGAAGTTGCTTGACTCGCATTTGTACTTAGAACTATCATCATGATCAACAAAAACGCTTCAACTTCTCCTGCCCTGAAATCTTGGAGGATTCCAGAAGAAAGTCGAGCATTTTCCCCCAACCGATTTGGTCGATTTTTTTTCTTTTTTCTTTTTTCTTTTTTCTTTTTTCTTTTTTCTTTTTTCTTTTTTCTTTTTTCTTTTTTCTTTTTTCTTTTTTCTTTTTTCTTTTTTCTTTTTTCTTTTTTCTTTTTTCTTTTTTCTTTATTCTTTTTCATTTTTCGTTTCTTTTTCTTTTTTAGCGTGCCTGTTCAGGCTGAGGGCTTTCGCTCCTTTCGTCCGAGAAGAGTTTACTCTTGCTATGTTAGACCGTTTGCAACCAACAGCTTTGTTGTTTGGAAATTAGAGCGTTGGTGTGGAGGCTTCAAGGCCGAAAGCCGAGCCCCAAGTTACTCTACGCTTATCGCAAGCAGACTCTTCTTCCTTCGCATCCTGCCAATCAAGACTCACACAAAGAGCACCAAGCATTCGTCACATGCTGATAGCATCTACATTCTCTGCTCATCCCATCATTACCTGCGTTCGAAGAGCCATCAAAACTCATTGCGGCCCTTCGAGCAGGCTTGGCTGTTTGGCCATGTCTTGTTCAACATCATCCTCTCTGCTTGCCGGCCCACGGTTCATCGACACCGGCGTCAACCTCACAGATCCCATGTTTCGCGGCTCGTATCATGGCAAGCAAACGCATCAAGATGACCTCGATCTCGTTCTATCGCGAGCCTCTCGCGCTGGTGTAGTAGCTCAAATCTTGTCTGGCGGCAATTTAGAAGAATCACACGAAGCACTTTCCCTAGCCTCAGAGCGCGAGGGCTTCTATTCTACAGCAGGATGTCATCCCACACGAACATCAGAGATCGAGACCTATGCAGAAGGAGCAGAAGCATACCTGCGCAAGATTCGAAACCTGATCGAAGAGTCAAAAGCAGGAAAAGGCAAGATCGTCGCAGTTGGAGAATGCGGTCTTGACTACGACAGACTACACTTCTCAGCTGCAGATGTTCAGAAGAAGCATTTCGCAACACAACTCAATCTGGCAGCACAAGTCAAATTGCCGCTCTTCCTGCACTCTCGAGCGGCGCACCGTGACTTTGTCAACATCATAAAGCCCCAAATCGATACTATTCACACAGCCTTATCATCTTGGGCACCAGAGCAGAAAAAAGAGGACCCTGCAGCAAAACGAGTGGGCGTAGTCCACAGCTTCACCGGAACAGTAGAAGAAGTAAAAGAACTGTTAGAGTTAGGCCTGTTGATCGGCATCAACGGATGCTCGCTCAAGACACAAGAGAATCTGCAAGTCTTAGAACATATTCCACTCTCCCGCTTGATACTCGAGACAGGTAAGCGACCATCAATCAGCCTGTGACCATGCAAAAGCAGCACATCTCCCCTGACATGCTTCTATCTTGATCTTGCTTGTAGATGCGCCATGGTGCGAGCCGCGCTCGACTCACGCCTCACACCGACACATTCAGTTGTTCAAACAGTCCCACGCCTCCTTGTACCCACTCTACCAACCTCGAGCAGTTAAAAGGGAAAAGTGGAAGCCAGACTCGATGGTCAAAGGCCGCAACGAGCCTTGCATGATCGGGCTCATCGCAGCCACTGTCGCCAGCGTCAAATCAGTCTCGATCGAACAAGTAGCCGATGCGGCAATGTACAATACTCGCTGGCTCTTTAATCTGCCACAGCAATAGAATTACCTACTCTACTGTACTCTACAACCTCTGCATACCTAGCCAAAGCCACATTGCACACAGTTGGACTTGAGCTTTGAATGCCAAATGGAATTATTGTCCGACGAGAGAAATGCAAATGAAACAATAGGAAAAAGAGCAGAGCGACATTGTACATCGAAAGGAGCATGGCTTAGGAGCTGTTCAACTCTCCAATCACCTCCTCGTGCAATGGTTGTGTGGGTAGCATCTGCGGAGGATCAAAGACCTGATATAGCAGTGGTTTGGGACTACCATCGAATTGGTAGAGCTTCAAGTAGTAGACAGGAGTGTTGTAATGAGTGTCCAAGTGGATCTCAAAGCCGGTCATGTATTCTCGCTGATCGTAGCCCTGAACGTAGTTGCTCTTCTCCGCACAACGATCCGAGACCTGCTGCCTGCCATCACCCTTGAATGGGGTGAGAGTGAGCGTGTTGTTCGAGTTGAGAGTGTAGGTGCCGTGTTGCCAGATAAGCTGAGCAGAGACACAGTTGGGTTTGGCAGGATTGGTGTTGTACAAGTAGAGTGCTTGTTCCCAAAAGCCGTCGTCGGTGAAACTGTATGATTGACCAGCGGTGACTGGGTAGATGAACGAATTTTTCACTGGGTCATAGAAGTCGATACCGGTCAAAACGTGACCGGCACCGGTCGACCATGTGCCCTGGAGGGAGGTGACATTGTTGGGAACACCAATGCCATAGCTTGTCTGCTGTGCTGATGCGCTAGAGAACAAGAGTGCCGAAAGGGCAGATATTGTTGATAGCAACCCCAACATGATGATCGAGACTGCCTGATAGGAGCGCAAAGTTGGATGTGTATGTCCGCCACTGCGACTGAATCTGTTGCCTGAGTTGTCGCCTAGACGAGGTGTTTTGTGCTGGCAGATGAAAGCGAGCGAAAGAAAGGTCCTGCCTTGTGTGTGATGTAAAGAATCCGGTCCAAGGGTGATCACACGGAAATCGATGCGATGTCGAGAGAGAGGTGAGGGGAATTCCAATCGAAACGCGGCTGTGGTGATGAGCGGAGAAGAAGGTGCTATGAGTGGTAGTAGGATGATGGTGACGCGAGCTTAGAAAAGTAAGCGACACTGTTCACCAAAGCAAGCAGACAGAGGCAGAGATGAGTTGCCCCTCTTGTTACATAATCTGTCGGCACAAATGCCCACTTTCATCCACTTGCATAGCCAAGTGCCAACCGAATTTCACACACACACACACACACACACACACACACACGCCCGCGCCAGATTATGACGCTGCAGGGTCGACTGAGGCCGCCGATACGCTAAAATCCCAAGCAGCCCGGCGGTCAACGAGTCTTTGGAATGGACGCCAGCTCAAGCCGCGGTCAACTGATTTCAAAACAAAAACAAAAGCAAAATACATTATATTTCTGGCTTGATTTAAAATTCAAAATTTCTTATTTATATTTCTGGCTTGATTTACGCTTACACCTGATCTTCAGGGTCAGAAAACGCTGTGTGCAATCTCTACTACTGAGCCAAATGACGCGTGTTTGAAATGAAATGAAATGAAAGAATTGCAGGCTTGAAAGGATTCCAACCGCAGGTTAAGAGTGTGAGATTTCGCCTGCAAAATGCTGGGCCGTGCCGTTGGTCGGCAGCTCGCGAATGCAGATCTGTGTGAGATCAGAGCTACCCGACAAGTTTTATCGTGCGAATAGATACATGCGCATTAGTTGACAGCCATATCTCTACTCAAAGTCTTGCTTAGATCGAGGGAATGGAGGCTACAAAAACATGTGTATATATACCTTCACAGCTACCGACACTCGCCATTGAGCCACAGCCATGGACCGTACGCCCAGTGGCACCCTCCTTCATAGCCGTTGCCATGTCAACCTCCCCACCCGGCGTACCTCATATCTCGGTGTCAACCCTGGAGAATAAGCTGCCTATGCTACCCACCAGCTTCGCCTTTATCTCAGTCACGTTGACGCCCTGCTTAATTTCGGTCTCCCGGTCCCAAATACTCCAATCTAACATGTCCCGCCCTGGAAATACCAACGTATCTTCAACTGCAATTTTTCAATGGTGAGCGAAGGGGCACGTGACCAACGCGCAGAACTTGAGTTTCTCGCAACACTTTGAGCCATCTCTCTCGCTCTTCTCTTTTTCTCTTCCTTCTTCTCCATCACCTTCTCTCACACAGGCAAGAAATTGGACCGAGTGAAGATGTTGCCTATGCTAACGATGGTATATAATGATACAAGTTTGTTTCAGATGATAATCGCATTCAGATGATAATCGCATTGAGCTACTCCATCTGCCCGTCACCGAAAGCCTTCCAGCACGGCTTCGCACTGGAACCAGCAACGTTCAACAGCAGGCCTCCCTGACAATGTTGCACTTTCTTGCTCTACAGCCATGGTATGCGACCGGGGTCGCTCTGGATCAGTAAAGTCTATCTGTAAGCCAGCACAGCGAGGAGCTCGCTTCGATGACAATGTTGCCCAACGCACAGAGCTCGAGTCGGATCCTACATACAAATGTTGTCCATTACCTCGACCTTTGAGTAGATTGCGACTTAGCAGGCTTCCAGCTTTGGGCTCTCGCGATCGACGCCTGATGGCTTGATCCGAATCGATCAGCATCGAATCAGCTGAACTTCTCGTGGGCGCTAACTTGATCCTACTCTGATCTGTAGACTTGATCAAAGCCTCCTCCGAGTGGATGACTGCGTCGTACGTATCATGGCCATACATTGTCGAAGAACCGAGCGAAGAGGCTGTCCGGCTATCCTCGTTGCTCTGCGATTGTGAGGTTGCAGCCAAGGGACTGCTGCATCTTGGAAGCCAATCATCCCTCCCAAGGATCGCCGCCTCCGCAGAAAAAGGAGGTCGACTGTCGTCCGATACGGAGCTCATGCTTGACTCGCCCATGTGATCCGAGCTGCTTTCTTCCGGCCAGGACTCTGCGACAGAAGACGATGATTGGCACGCTGTCTTGCTCCATCTTCTTCCTTGGCCTCGCAAAGGGCTTGGTGACAGTGCTGCCTTCTTCAGATTGTGCCTACGATGCGGGTGTGGCGATGTCATGCTGTTGTCAGTCGAAGATGTTGCTGATTCGCACACATCGGTCGCTTGCTGCTTGCAAAGTCGGTCCAAGTCAAAGTCGAGGTGTGGTCTCGCAGACCACCCTGGAGATCGAAAGGTGGTGGGTGCACTGAGAAAGAGATGCATCTTGGTCGGAGCCAAGGACGTCCCAAGAAAAGGCTCAAGCCGCTCGTCGCTTACCAGCAGACGGACTAGTTTGCGCTCCCAGTTGCTACTCGTCTTGTCTTTTGCTGCATCGCGAGTTTGTTCGGATGATTGTTGTAGCAGGTAAAAGAGCTCATTCTCCACTTGTTCGTTGATGCTCTGAGCTGCGTCGCTACGAGCATCATTGAAGAGGTGCTGAGCTGTCTCCTGAGCAGTTCCACAAGGGCCAATCGCCTGAATGAGATCAAGAACAAACACTTCCCTCGGCATGGTGGCGCTGGATCCCATCACAACTAGTAGCCTAATGTCGCTGGTGGGAACGCCGTCTGATGATGATGTACCGGGGCGACCTGATGGACCTTGGCCGTTGTTGTCTGCAGATGTGGCAAGATGCGCCGCTGCTTGTTCGAGATGCACTCGAAGCTGTTCTAGCTTGCGGAGCAGCTTGTCCTCTTTCCTCGCTCGAGCCGAGTTGGTTTTTGATCGGTGTTGTGTTGAAGTTGCAGCATGGAGAGCGGTCAATTCCCTTTTCTTGCGCATCAAACTGACTGGCTCCGGAAGCTGTCCTTTCGCGAAGAGGAGATGGTGCAAGAGCGATTCGGCGAGGCGAGCTGTAAGCTGGTTGCAGTGACCACATGCCTGAGCTTTGCCGGGGTCGGCACTACTGTCCTGGAGTGCACGGAGAATGCGGCCTCTGTGACCACGGCAAGAGCTCGAGTGAGCATGAGCGAGCAGGATGCCGTTTCGCTCGTGAGCTAGTTGGAGGCTCATCTTGGATCCTAGCTCGAGCGAGGGAACATCGAGCCTAGCCGAATGACTACACCGTGATCCACCTCTTCGCGGGCGTCGCCGTTGTGAGCTCTCCTGCGTCAGCGACATGGTGATACAAGTGGATGCCAATACCCACCCGCTTCAGTTCAGCTGCGTATTGAAAGCATACCGACAACGTTGATGTTTTCGAGATGCTGTTCCGACCAATGGGACCGTGATGCTTGATATGATCTCCAGATCTTTTCCCTTTGCCCGAGCGAATCGATTCGTCGCTGAGGAGTAGGTGTAGGAGGCGTAGAAGGCGGTATTGCTGTTACATGCAATGTGCAGGATGATGGTTCAACAAAGAGCCTTCAGGAAGGGCCAAAAAAGTGGAGTTGCTGTTGCTATTCCGTCAGTTTTGCCGGCCGACACAAGAGCTCTTTTTTGGCTGCATTTACAGTTGCTCACTACAGGGCAACCTTTACGCGCCTGACACCATCACGTGAGTCTCGCAGATTACAGCAACAATACCAAGCCTCGATCTAACATGACCTCGAAAATCCACCAAAGTAACAGGTGCCGCTAAGCTTGCAAATGCAACAGTTGAAGATTACAGGTAAAACGCGACTGTTTAGGAGCTACTAGCAAGCTCAACTCTTCAGGCATATAACAGTTGTTATGTTTTAATTGATAGGTGCTACAATGTGAACATATATATACTTGATTGCTATCTTCAGCCCATACTAGATCATAATGAACTATTCTTCATATCACCCCTGTGTTGTCACCTCCTGAGCATTGCCATCTCCTGAGTGTTATTGTTGAAATACTTATATGTCCCACATGCATATCGATGCATGTTGACATGCAGCTCTGACTCACTGGTGTCTCGCTTGTGCTCTGCGAACCACGTGATTCTGTTTAGGATGCTGATGCATCTTCAACTCCCCCCCTCGACAGCATTGCCAATCCTATTAGGCGTGCGATCCGAGACATGGCCAAGCCCTTTAACAGCTTCATGAGGATGTCTGCGATGTTGTCTGTTGTCCCGACAAAATCAATTTTGACTTCTCCTTCCTGAACATGGTCTCTGATGAAGTGGTACCTTGTGTCGATGTGCTTCAACTTCCAGTGCTTGGTAGGGTCTTTGCTTACCTGGATACATCCTTGGCTGTCTGTCCACAATGTCAGTGGATGGGCCTCAACTCCCAGGTCCCTGAGAAGGTATGAGAAGAAAAGAGCCTCTCTCGTTGCCTCCAAAGCAGCTACGAATTCAGCCTCAACTGCTGACAATGCCATGCACTTTTGAACATGTGATCTCCAGCTAACTGGGCACCCATACATGTATGTTACTCCTCCTGATGTGCTTCTTTGTCTGTTTGTTGGGTCCGATGCCCAATTTGCATCAGTATATGTAACAATTTGCTGTCCCAAGTGTTTGTTTGCTTCATCTCTGAAGAGTAACTTATATTCACTGGTTTGATTGAGGTACTTCACCAAATGTAATGCTGCCTTCCATGCATTGCTCATTGGGCTCGACATGTATCTTGCTAGTGTTCCTATGGTGAATGATATGTCAGGCCATGCTGTGTTAGATACCCATAAAAGCTGTCCAACTAATTCTTGGTACTGTTTTGCTGCCAATGAGTCGCACTTGTCGCCACCCGTAACACCCATCAGGCTCTGCATCGGTACCTTGATCAGACCGTATTGCTTTTAAACTCTTTCCTGCCTGTGTTTCTAGGTATGCAATTATTGATTTTAGCTCCTTAAAAGCGTGGCTCTTTTGTAATAGAGGTCATACATACACATACTTGCTGTGGTCATCAATCAAGACCAAAGTGCATGTGTACTCTGTTGCATGTGATGAATTGACTATCAAGTCGATATGAATGAGGTCAAGCAGAGAGATGGACCTTTCTCCACCACCCTGACCCATTCGAGCTGCCATGCTTTTAGCTCGGATGCAATGCTCACATGTCAAAGCGGCGTTTGGATTTAGGTTTGCTGGGTGGTCGCCTTTTAGATGGTTGATGATGGCTCTCATTTTGTCTCAGCCTGGATGGCCTAGATGCTCATGCCATAATTGTTGTTCAGATATCTTGACTTTGTTCTCAATACACTCAAAATCTTCATCAACACCTTCAAATAATGATGCTGATATGATCATTGTGTTTTCCTGCCATGTGTCACCTCGGAACTCCAAAAGTCCTCACTCACAATTCTTGGTCATCTTGAGTAACATGCCATTTGCTAGGTATATTTGCCCTCTGGTTGAATCTAGTATCACTCGTGCTCCTTCATCTGTCAGAGAATTTGTTGACAATAGGTTAACATTGAGATGCTGAACATACAATACATTTTGGAGAAGAACATCTCCGGTGTTTGTTGATATGCTAGCATCTCCTATAGCAGTCACTTCCAGAACCTTGCTTCCAGCGGTGAGTATGCACTTTCAGCAGGTTCTCAGACCAATGAGCATGCTATAGTCATTTACCATGTGATAGCTGGCACCTGAGTCTAAGATCCAATGAGAAGTCTCTTTTGAATCTAGGGGGCTCAGCCAACTATGTGTGAGGGAGCACCAGATCTCCTATTTGGGCCTGGCAAGGGGAGAATTTTCTGGTATAGTCACTGATGCATCACATTGACTGATCCCATGTCCAGGTCTTTTGCAGACCCAACATTGAAGCCTTCAGGGTCTGGCAGCAACCTTGGCACTGGTGCTATCAGCATCCTTTTCATCCTTCTCATCATCTCTGGGTGTCTCATTCTGGTCGTTGCTGCTGGCGACTCTGGCACTAGCTTGGTGGGGATCAACCCTTGAAGTGGGGTTGTTCTCAATTGCCAATTGCCAGATGGATAGGGTGGTGGCAAGGGCACTGAAACTAAGCTGGCTTATGGTAGCAACAGTTTCTTTGTACATTGGGTGTCAGATGGTGCACTTTTGTAGATTTGAAAACAGGGTGTCATCAGCAAATGGCTTTCCCAGTAAGCTGCTCTCCATTTGGATGGTTCTTATTTCTTGGATGAGCTTTTGTATGTCTGAGTTGTACATCCTGAGTTCTCCTAGCTGAGTGATCAATGCAATACAATGAGATATGGCAGTGGCCTCATTGGTGAGTCCATTTTCAATCTTCTTCCATACATTATGGAACATATGATGTTCCCTGATGATGTCAAGAATCAAGTAATTTATGTTAAACTCTCCAGTGGTATCAATGGTACTGTGTAGTGCATTTGTTAAGGCATCATCAAATGTTCGGTTCCACTTGGGATGTTTCTTGTCATATGCTCCATCGAGATGCTTCATAGCATGGGGGACACATCATAGGAAAGACTTGATATGGGTGCTCCAACTATAGTAGTTGTGTGATGTGAGTTTTGGAACTGGCTCAAGTAGCTTTGCTAGGGTACAAAAGTTGTATTGCTTGCCATCATTGTCATGGTCCAAGTCAGAATCAGTTTCTTCATCAGCATTGTTGTCAATTGCCTTGGTGTCTGACTTGTTGGTGGCCTCATTATCAGCAACATGCAGTTGTGTTGCCTTGCCCTTTCTTCCTCCTTTGACCTTGCTTGCTATGGCTTGAGCTTCGGTTTCTTGTACCATGTTATTGATGGTCCTGGCTAGCTCAGTCGGTAGAGTTTCAGACTCTTAATCAGTTGAAGATTACAGGTAAAATGCAACTGTTTAGGAGCTACTAGCAAGCTCAACTCTTCAGGCATATAACAGTTGTTATGTTTTAATTGATAGGTGCTACAATGTGAACATATATATACTTGATTGCTATCTTCAGCCCATACTAGATCATAATGAACTATTCTTCATATCACCACTGTGTTGTCACCTCCTGAGCATTGCCATCTCCTGAGTGTTATTGTTGAAATACTTATATGTCCCACATGCATATCGATGCATGTTGACATGCAGCTCTGACTCACCGGTGTCTTGCTTGTGCTCTGCGAACCACGTGATTCTGTTTAGGATGCCGACGCATCTTCAACTGCAACGCTGCTTTTCAACAAGGTCCGCCTGGACTACAACTTGGCCGGCCACTGAATACAAAATTTTGGAAGATCAGAGGCGCTTACGCACGAAAGCGTTGGCAGCGGCCAAGCACAGGCCATTTCTTAAACTCGCACTGAGCCACGTCTGCACTTGGCCGCCAGCACAAAAACAGCAAACTGCTAAGACCAACCATCGCATCCTCATTCTCGAGCCGTGCGTCGATTCCTTGCCATCATCCTTCTCCTTCCTCCGCCTTCTAGCTTTCATCACTAGTCGTTGTCCATCTCGTCACACGCGAGATTGGGATGGCAAATACGAGGACGAGGAGCAGCAGCAGCTTTCGATTCCATCACCTTCTGGCATCTGCCGTTCGAGAGGAAGAATTCAACCAGCACCCTCGACTTGATTCTACCGCCTCTGCCGCTTGCGCTCAGTCGTAGCTTTGATCCTTCACGAACCTCGCTGAGCCGCTCGACTCTTTCGAGCACGCATCTTCACCAACATGCAGATGCTCACAAAGTTCGAGTCCAAGTCCAACAGGGTCAAGGGCATCGCCTTCCATCCACGGCTTCCTTTGTTGGCTGCTTCCCTTCACAACGGCTCTATTCAGCTTTGGAACTACCAGACTGGTACCATCTATGACCGACTCGAGGAGCACGATGGTCCGGTTCGAGGTATCTGCTTCCACCCTTCCCAGCCCCTTCTAGTCAGTGGTGGTGACGATTACAAGATCAAAGTGTGGAACCACAAAACTCGTAAGTGTCTCTTTACCCTCAACGGCCATCTCGACTACGTCCGCACCGTCTTCTTCCACCATGAACACCCTTGGATACTCAGTGCCTCCGACGATCAGACCATTCGCATCTGGAATTGGCAGAGCAGAACGTGCATCGCCATCCTCACCGGTCACAACCACTACGTTATGTGTGCACAGTTCCACCCCAAAGAGGACCTCGTTGTTTCAGCTTCCATGGACCAGACTGTTCGCGTGTGGGACATCAGCGGTCTTCGCAAGAAGAACACTTCGGCCCAGCCCATGAGCATCGAGGAGCAGATCGCGCGTGCCAACAGCGGACAGGCTGACCTCTTTGGTAACACCGATGCTATGGTCAAGTACGTTCTCGAAGGTCATGACCGTGGAGTCAATTGGGCCTCGTTCCACCCAACTCTGCCTCTCATCGTCTCGGCTGGTGACGATCGTCAGATCAAGCTTTGGAGAATGTCAGACACCAAAGCCTGGGAGGTCGACACCTGCCGTGGTCACTTTAACAACGTCTCCTGCGCTCTCTTCCACCCTCGTCACGAGCTCATCATTTCCGATGCCGAGGACAAGACCATTCGTGTTTGGGACATGGGCAAGCGTACTGCCGTCCAGACCTTCCGCAGAGAGAGCGATCGCTTTTGGGTGCTTACTGCTCACCCCACCCTCAACCTCTTCGCTGCCGGTCACGACAATGGTCTTATCGTCTTCAAACTTGAGCGCGAGCGCCCCGCCTTCTCAGTACACCAAAACACCCTTTACTACATCCGCGACAAGCACGTCCGTTCGCTCGACTACGGTACTGGCGCCGACCATGCCCTTCTCAGCGTAAAGCGTCTTGGCAACCAGTATGTGCCTCCACGCACCCTCAGCTTCAACCCAGCAGAGCGCTCTGTCATCGTCACTTCGGTGAACGGAGACCAGGGCACCTTCGATGTGGCTCCTTTGCCTCGTGAGGCTGGCGCTGATCTCGCCGAGTCGTCTAGCGTTGGCAAGCGTGGTCAGGGCTCCAGTGCCATCTTTGTCGCCCGTAACCGTTTCGCCGTGCTCGACAAGGCTGCTCAGACCATCGAGATCCGTGACCTCAACAATGCAGTGACCAAGACGATCACTCCTCCCCAGCCTACCAACGAGATCTTCTTCGGTGGTACCGCCAGTCTCATCCTCAGCACTGCCACCGGTGTCATCCTCTACGATATTCAGCAGCAAAAGACCCTCGTCGAACTCATCAGTCCGCCCGTCAAGTACGTTGTCTGGAGCATCGACGGCGGTATGGTCGCCTTGCTCAGCAAGCACACCATCGCCCTCGCCGACAAATCCTTTTCCTCTAGCAACCTCATTCACGAGACCATTCGCATCAAGAGCGCTGCTTGGGATGAGAGCGGTGTTTTGCTGTACAGCACCCTCAACCACATCAAGTACGCTCTGCCCCAGGGAGACAATGGTATCATCAAGACGCTCGAGCAGCCCGTCTACCTTACTCGCGTCAAGGGTAAGACCGTTTCCTGCCTCGACCGATCCGCTCGCCCTCAAAACATCACCATTGACCCCACCGAGTTCCGCTTCAAGCTAGCCCTCGTCCAGGGCAAGTACGACGATGTGTTGACCATTATCAAGAACAGCAACCTCGTTGGTCAGGCCATCATTGCTTTCCTCCAGAAAAAGGGCTACCCCGAGATCGCGCTCCACTTTGTCCAGGACAAGAGCACCCGATTCGACCTCGCCATCGAGTGCGGCAACTTGGATGTTGCCCTGGAGACCGCCGAGTCGCTCAACGTCGACGAGGTGTGGGAGCGTCTTGCTACTGCTGCCCTCCGTCAAGGCAACCACAAGATTGTCGAGCGTGCTTACCAGCGTACCAAGAGTTTCGACAAGCTCAGCTTCCTCTACCTCATTACTGGCAACACCGAGAAGCTCGCCAAAATGTCGGTCATTGCTGATAAGCGTGGCGACCACCTCAGCCGCTTCCATAATGCGCTCTATCTGGGTAACGCCGAGGCGCGCGCCAATGTGCTTTCGGATGTCGGTTTGCCAGCGCTCGCTTATGCCGCTGCCAAGTCGAACTGCCTCGATGGCAAGGCTGCAGCCATCGCAGCGCAAGCAGGGATGGAAGAGGAAGCAGCAGAGGTCGACCGCCAGCTCAGCTTGGGTGAGGGTACTTCCAAGTTGGCTCCTCCTACGGCCGTCTCCCAGGCTTTCCAGTACAACTGGCCCATCTTGAGCAGCGAGCAGAGCTACTTCGACCGTGCGCTCGTCGCTGGCAACCAAGGTGGTCCCATCTTCAAGGACAATGCTCTCAATGGCAAGACGCACGACATCGAGTCTTGGCTTGATGGCGAGGCACTCGAAGAGACCGACGAGGAGGACGAGGACGGTATCGACGGTGCGCCCGAAGATTTCGGCGAGGCTGAAGAGGCATGGGACCTTGCTGAGGAGGAGGTGGCGCTGCCAGAAGAGGAGGCTGCTGTCCTTGCTCCTCTGCAAGAAACACCATTGGATGGCTTGAGTGCAGGCAGTTCTGAATCCGAGCACTGGCTTCGCAACTCGGCTGTCGCCGCTGACCACGCTGCCGCTGGATCTTTCGAGACGGCTATGACGCTTCTTTCGCGGCAGGCAGGTATTGTAGACTTTGCACCGCTCAAGCCTCTCTTCATGTCTTCCTACCTGGCTGCTCGCAACTACCTTCCTGCTGCTCCAAGTGCTGGTCCCATCGAGGTGCATCTCCGCCGCAACAATGAGGAGAGCGACGGCAAGGTGACCAAGTCTCACCCTGCTTCACCCCGATCCGTCAAGTCGCTCGCTTCGGGCGATCTGCAGGAAGGCTACCGCGCTGTCAGCGCAAACAAGCTCGCTGAGGCCGAAAGCATCTTCCGACGTCTCCTTCATCAGCTTGTCCTCACACCCGCAGCCACCGAAGCAGAGGCCACCGAGATCCAAGACCTCGTCGTTCTCTGCCGAGAGTACATCCTCGGTATCTCAATCGAACTCAGCAGACGTAAACTGATCGCTTCGGAACCTGACAATGTTGCACGCAACCTAGAGCTTGCTGCCCTCTTCACCCATGCTCAGTTGCAGCCTCAGCACCAGACGTTGGCATTGCGAAGTGCAATGACCGAAGCTCGAAAGGTCAACAACTACGCTATGGCAGCCAGCTTTGCCAAGCGTTTGATGGACTTGGCTCCTGCACCCGCGGTTGCACAAAAGGCACAGCAGATCATCTCGTTGGCTGAGAGGAGTCCGCGTGATGCTGTAGATGTGCCAGGGTACAATGCATTGGATCAGAGCTTTGTCATCTGTGCTGGCTCGCACAAGTTGATCTCCGCTGGTGGAGCTGGTGCTGTCTTGGACCCATTGACGGGGGCAAAGTATTTGCCAGAGTTCAAGGGAACACTGTGCAAGGTTACTCAGATATCAGAGGTTGGACGATTGGGATCTGGCTTGCGCAGTTACGCCGCGTAAGGGTCCCTCGATAAGATTGTAGATACACTTCAATGCGATAAGCATCATCATGCTTTCTTTTGTCTGATGGCCGTGAAGTTGGCGATGTTGGCGAAGTTGGCGAAGTTGGCGAAGTTGGTGATGTTGGTGATGTTGGTAATGTTGGGCGATGAGATTAAGCTGTGCGTGAATGCCTTGGAAGCCAGTTGACTGTGGAAGCCATTTGACTGAAATGCTGTGCAATTGACTGGGCATGCGTACTTTGCGAGCGAATACGTGTGTGTTGCAAAAGCAAACGCGATTGCTCCACTTCAACACCTGCATCCACAACAACCAACACTTTCATGTTCCTACCCTCTGCTCGCCACCAACAACCCTTTCGCGGCACTAGAAGACATGCTTGAGCACTGCTGAGGCTGCGACCCATTCGACTCGCTCCGGATCGTCACAATCCAGGCTCGCAATTGCAACTGAGACGGTAGTAGCACCAGAGCGGAGCTCCAGCACGAGCACAGATGTCATTTCTCCCCTCCTTCTCCTCCCTAGGAGGCTCCTCCCCCTCGTCCACCTCGACGATTGGCTCATCTTCGCAAATCATCTACAAGCCCGCCAGCTTATCCTATTTCACCATCTTCTGCCCGGCCCTAAAGCCGCCGAAGCACAAGGCAGCGGCCACTGCCGACACCGCACAGCAAGATGACACTGAAGAAGAGGACGAAGATGCTCGCGAGACGGCGCGCGAAGCCGCTCAGATCCTCTTCTACACCAGTCGAGCTCGTGCAGCACTAAAAGACCGTATGCTACGTCAGATAGGTGTCGCCAAAGGAATGATCGAGTTTTGCAGCATGGTTTCCAAGACCTCACCCGCATCCACCTCCCCACACGCTTCCTCAATCGAGTTTGGCGGCAAAGGCAGAATATGGAATATCCATTCAAGCAAGCGTCGCATGATCCTGGTTGAGGTGCAATCTGGTCTTTGGGTACACGCCAGTATCGACCTCCCCCATACCACTCGCCCAACCCTCTCGTCCGATCCCAAAGCAAAAATGGCAAAAGAATATCACGATTCGATCCTTCAAGATGCATGGATAGAAGAGAGCATCCGAAGAGCATGGCGCGATTGGACCCTTCTCAATGGCTGTCCAGCTCACATACTCTCGCAAAGGACAGGAAGAGCAGGATTGGAGAGATCACTGGAAAAGTACTTTTCAGTATGGGCTTGGAGCTGGGATCTTGAACTGGCCACCAATGCCGATGTTGCACAGGAGAGAAGTTTGTTCACGGAATGTGTACAGGGCTTTCCAGTCGTAGCTAGTGGACCGAGAAGCAAATTGACGCAGCTGATGCAGACTGAGGCGGCACAGCGGTTGAGGGAGGGAAAGCATGGGAGGAGGGAGATGGTGGTGTTGAAGGATACACATGTACTTTGGCCTGCCACTGACGCTGGGTGTTTTGACCATGAGGAGGAAATAGAAGATGGGCATAAATCTTCACAGGGCATCATGGGGAGAAACAGCTCAAAGGGTTTGAAGCAAAGTCAGTCACAGCAGCAAGAATCGCAATTGATCGACCCAGCAACGAAAGCGGAACTTCTCCGTCGAGTGGTCAGCCATCTCACAGGTCTGCAAAGGGAAAGGGACCTTATTCGAGCAGCGTCTGTTTCGAGCAACAGCGATGCTGGACGCAGAAGAGGCACCTCAGGCGCCATCCGTGAACGAGGTAGTAGCAAGCGCGATACCCGCGGTCTGCTCTCCACTAACACAAATATCGGTACGAGCAAGAAAAGGGTGGTATCATCGCCGATCATGCAACAGCGTTCTGCCAGTGCTTCCAGTTTCGCGTCTTCGACGACAACAGAGTCGAATAGATGGTCGAATTGGGGGAGCGTGTTTGGATTGGGCAAGCTTGGCTTTCGTGCTGGTGCAGCCGACTCATCCCTTAGAAGCGAGACGACTGCGGGAGATAACAGCGCGGACGCTGCTGATGCATCGAACATTTCGATCCTTACGTCGAATGCCAGCGGAGTGGAATCAAGGGCGACTGCAGCAGCTCGACAGGGCGACGCTCCAACTATGTCCTCCCCTGTCGGAGCTCCAACGAAAACGAACGATACTACAGGTGCTGCAGAGGGAGGAGAGGCCTCAACAAGCCCATTACAAGTCTTTGCACCGATCCAAGAAGCTGGAGGCAAGATATGGACCGGTGCCGAGCTGGCCTTTCGAGGATTAGGGGCTTCATTGGGGCTTGCAAACGCATCTGCTTCAGCCTCAAGCACGGACGACGATGCGACACCCGCAAAGACGACAGAGCAAGAGGGCGACATTTCAGAACGGGAGAGATTTGCCGACGCTTCCTTTGACACGAATGGGACAGGTGCCGACGCTGATGCGAGCGTGGTGACGAAGGTGTCGGTCCTGGAGCCGGAGGTAGATGTCAGTGAGCTGGCCGAGGCGTTGGGTGTTGATGAGGAGGAACTGGCGGAGCAAGCTGGCGGAGACGCGCCTTGTCAATCCAGCGAAGGCGCGGAGGAGCAGGCTGCTGCAAAATCTGTTTTCGTCTTCGGAGCTTCTTACCCGAAGACAGAGATGAAAGCTGCAGCCCTGAATACATCGAACGACGATCCTATGGCATCCTCGGACGACACTCAGCTCTGCGCCGGCTGGGATGGTGCGTCGATCAAGACAAGTGCCAGCGCGAAAGCCTTCCCCTCGATCTCTGTAACATCTGCGGCATGGTACAACACCAAAGCCCTTGGATCAGATCCAGCGGTCACCGCAAGCTCACCGAAGTTGCCTTGGGCCGCGAGCATGTTGGCCACGACTTGCAACTTGAACGCCAAGGCAACCAAGGAGGAATCTGCTGAAGCACCCGATACATCGCTAGGCGGCATTTCTGTTTCTTCTGAGCATCACGACTTTGAACTAGACGGATGGGGATACGAGCAGCCCCTCGCCTTGCAATCGTTCCGATGCTTTGTTGGAGACAGCGACCTGGCGATCTCGTACGAAAGTCTGGCACTGCTACAAGAAGAGAGATTCGAATGTGGAGAGTATCGAGTGTCGTTTACCACTAGACGGCTGCTTACGCTGGTGCTGATAGAGAAGGTGGCGCCCACTGTCGGATCGACGCTGGAGATGAAGGGCATCGATACAGCGGAGGTGCTGGATGATGCTTGGCAAGTGTTGCGACGTACTCAGAGGATTCTCAATGACTATGATCGACTTGCACAAGTAAAGGTGCAAGAAGAAAGGAGTGTAAGATTCCTGCACCTGGATGGCCAGACTCTGACCTATCAATCCTCGCTTGAGAATAAGGTGGAGGAAGATGTGCAAGTGGTATCAGAAGCACACTGCGTAGGAGCTATGGAACTGATGCACAATCACGGAGTGGTCGAAACATTTGCTAGGAGTAGCAATGGGAAGACTTGGACTGCTAGTCGTAGGGGTAAACCTGCCAGGAAGGATCTGGATGACGGTGAGAAGGGCGAGAGCAAGTGGAATCAGACGTATATGGTGCTGGCGGGCAAGAAAATGAGTATTGTCGATTGCGACACTGAACTGAGACGGTTGGCTAATCAGTATCCCTCCTTTGGCATATGAGTAATGGGATAGAAGAACCATATGCTTGCTGATAAGGTGTCCGTTGATCAAGCCGAAGCAGAGGCTGGTAAGTTTACCCCGATCGTGAGACGATCTGTAACCCCGATATGAGAGAGGCTGCTAAGATTCGGGTAAGTTGGCGCAGAGCTGCGATGGACCAAACGGGAAAAAAAAGCGACTTTCGGATTTGTCGGTTGGCCCCTTTGAGCGACACTGATTCGATGGCGGCAAAGCCTCACTTTGCCTGTGACATTTTCTCCGGTTACTCGCGCTTCCCTTGTCGCTCAGCCAGAGACGGCGCATCTCATGACCGCATATGTGTCAAGGCTCAAGTCGAGATAACGCGGTCATGCTGCACCTTGACGAAAGATGGCCGCAGGGAATCATCTGCGTTGCCCCCAAAGAAGCAGAAGCTGGCAACAGCGAACAGCGAATGAAAAGCGACGTTTTTTTTTTTTTTTTTGTTTTTTTTTTTGTTTTTTTTTTTTGTTTTTTTTTTTGTTTTTTTTTTTTGTTTTTTTTTTGTTTTTTTTTTTGTTTTTTTTTTTTGTTTTTTTTTGTTTTTTTTTGGGCACGTCTTGCTCAGCTTCCACTGCAAAGAACTATGAAGGCTTCGCTGCTTTGTGAAAGCGAGCAAAAAAAATCAAAAAATCAAAAAATCAAAAATCATCTAAAACTTCTCGCCTCTTGGTCCTCAGTTGAAGATTACTGGTAAAACGCGACTGTTTAGGAGCTACTAGCAAGCTCAACTTATCAGGCATATAACAGTTGTTATATTTTAATTGATAGGTGCTACAATGTGAACATATATATACTTGATTGCTACCCTTAGCACATACTAGGTCATAATGAACTATTCTTCATATCACCCCTGTGTTGTCACCTCCTGAGCATTGCCATCTCCTGAGTGTTATGGTTGAAGTACTTATATGTCCCACATGCATATTGATGCATGTTGACATGCAGCTCTGACTCACCAGTGTCTCGCTTGTGCTCTGCAAACCATGTGATTCAGTTTAGGATGCCAATGCATCTTCAACTCCCCCCTTGACAGCATCGTCAACCCTATTAGGCATGCAATCTGAGATGTGGCCAAGCCCTTTAAAGGCTTCGTGAGGATATCTGCAATGTTGTCTGTTGTCCTGATGAAATCGATTTTGACTTCTCCTTCCTGAATATGGTCTCTGATGAAGTGGTACCTTGTGTTGATGTGCTTCAACTTCCAGTGCTTGGCAGGGTCTTTGCTTACCTGGATACATCCTTGACTGTCTGTCTGCAATATCGGTGGATGGACCTCAACTCCCAGGTCCCTGAGAAGGTATGAGAAGAAGAGAGCCTCTCTCGTTGCCTCCGAAGCAGCTACAAATTCAGCCTCAACTGCTGACAATGCCACGCACTTTTGAACATGTGATCTCCAGCTAACTGGGCACCCATACATGTATGTTACTCCTCCTGATGTGCTTCTTTGTCTGTTTGTTGGGTCCGATGCCCAATTTGCATCAGTATACATAATGATTTGCTGTCCCGAGTGTTTGTTTGCTTCATCTCCAAAAAGTAACTTGTATTTGCTAGTTTGATTGAGGTACTTCACCAAATGTAGTGCTGCCTTCCATGCATTGCTCATTGGGCTCAACATGTATCTTGCTAGTGTTCCTACAGTGAATGATATGTTGGGCCATGCTGTGTTGGATACCCATAGAAGCTGTCCAACTAATTCTTGGTACTGTTTTGCTACCAATGGGTCACACTTGTTGCCACCCATAACACCTGTTAGGCTCTGCATCAGTACCCATGACTTCAGATCGGTTGTTTGTAGCCACTTTCTCACCATAGCCTTAATGTAAGCTGTTAGGTCAAGTGTCATTCTTCTCCATATTCTGTCTCAATCTATCCTTACACCTAAGAACTCCTTCACAGGTCCTTTATCTTCCATCCCCCATTTTGCCATTATCTCATCCTTAGTGCAGCTTACCTCCATATGACTGGGTGATGTTATAAGCATGTCATCTACATAGGCTGTGATGATTGTCATGCTATTGCCTGTCCCTCTTGAGTATAGGCATGGGGCACTCAGCATGCAATAGAAACCTATCTTTCATAGGTGTGAGTCTAGCTCCATATTCCATTCTCTACCCAATTGCTTTAATCCATATAGGCCTTTCACTAGCTTCAGGGCCTTTCCAGAGGGTACCTTCATTCCAAGCGGTGGCTTTAAGAAGATACTATGATGTAACATCAAGTTCAGGTATGCCTGTTTAACATCGACACAATCTACTTCCCAGTCTCATATGGTTGCCATGGCTAGAACTCCTCGAATTGACTGGATAGGTGCTACAGGGGCGAAAACTTCTGTGTAATCAATACCCTCTCTTTGAGTGAAGCCCTGTGCCACTAACCTTGCTTTGAACTTGGTTGGGATTAGGTTGGCATCTGTCTTTATCTTTAGTACCCAATGCATGTCGACGGTGTTCATACCCTTCAGGAGATCAGCAACTTCCCACATGCCCATGGCCTTAAGCCTGTCCAACTCCTTATGCATCACTTCTTCCCAATGTTTCTTATCCTCTCCAGATAGCACCTCACTAATGGTTGGGTCCAGGTTCTTTCTTTCATTGTCATTGGTCACTGTAAATCCATAAAGTTTATTATCATTCCATCTATTGGCAACAGTATTGTGTTCGATCGCTTCCTTGGCAACTTCGTCTGGGGTCTGTTCTCCATCTGTTTCATCGACATTATCCATGTCCATGTATTCCTGCAGTGCTTCCTCTTCCCTCTCATCAAAAAGGTTCTCGTCTGTGTACCTCAGATCACTGAAGTCTTCCTTGTTTGTCAATGCTGGTGGCAGCTGTGCAGTCACTGGTTGCCACTCTGTCCTATCAGACCAGCATTTGGTCTCCATGAACTTTGCTGAATTGCTCCAGAATATATTTGGTCTATAGTCTGGGCTGTAGAAGAGCCAGCCTCTTCTCTCCAAACTATATCCTAGGAATATGGATGCTATGGCCCATTGGTCGAGCTTCTTATTGTCTCTTTTAGCTTTAGGAATATTTACCCATGATAAACATCCAAACACATGTAGAAGCTTCATAAGCCATTCCGGCGATCTCCCAAACATAGCCTGATACGGGACCTCGCTGTCAAGGGTCTCGCGCCTGAAACCCAGGTCGGTCTGTCGAGATACTCGGTGACTATCAAACTGTGCGACAGCTATTGTCTCAGTATCGGTGACTATCAAGTTGCACAGTGACAACAGGTGGCGTTCGTTGTATATACTATCATAGGTTTCGGCTGACCTCTGTGGACACCCCATTCAGGGGTAGCTCAGCACGATCAATATCAATGTTATGATGACACCAAGGTCTGGTGTGAGTGTTGATGATGATGAGGTTGATGGTGTTGGTGATGAGATTGGTGATGTTGATGATAATGAGGTTGATGGTGTTGGTGATAAGGTTGGTGGCATCAACACGAGTGTCCAGTGTGTTGACTTGATGCTTGAAGTGATCCCCGGACCACAGTGGACTACTGCCTTCGGTTCTATCTTGATCCAGACTGCTAACCTGCTATGGGCACCTTTGGATGTCAGGTAGTGGTGATACAACACACACACTATGATGAGGAGCAACCTTGATAGATTGCTGCTATGCTGACTGAAACTAATGTATACTTATGCTGAAGTGATAACTAGTTATATGGTGAGTAGAGTGGATGAGGATCCACTCAACCTATGATGATGAGAAAGCATGGTTATATACCTCTTCTCAGCATCACCAGCAATGCTGCTCCTGCTCTCTCTCCAGAGAGTACCTTCTTCATCGAGTACTGCTCAGGGGCCTCTCCTGCTTGGCACCCCTGTGCCTCTTGAGTGGTGTCGACTCCTTCGACACTGCTCCTCCTCCTCATGACCTGGTGTCAACTCCTCCGACACTGCTCTTCCTCCTCATGACTGTCATGGGCCTGGATGCTCAAGAAGCAGGAGGGTCACGGGTTCATATGGAAGGAGCACAGGTATCGAAGATCTAGTCGAGATCAGTAGAGAGCATGGTCGTAGTGCAGTCTCCATGGAGACCATGGACTCCTATGGACTCATATGCAAAGGAGGGCCAAGCACAGCCACAAGGAGGACCAAGCTCAAGGAGCAGGCACAGCCACGAAGAGGACCAAGCTCAAGGAGTATGCAGATGGTTACCACTCAGGGGCTCGAGAGACAAGAGCCAAAGGAACTGTCACTGATCAAAGGAGAAGGAGCAGTGTCAAAGGAGTCGACACCAGGTCATGAGGAGGAGGAGCAGTGTCGAAGGAGTTGACACCAGGTCATGAGGAGGAGGAGCAGTGTCGAAGGAGTCGACACAGCTCAAGAGGCACAGGGGTGCCAAGCAGGAGAGGCCCCTGAGCAGTACTTGATGAAGAAGGTACTCTCTGGAGAGAGAGCAGGAGCAGCATTGCTGGCGATGCTGAGTAGAGGTATATAACCATGCTTTCTCATCATCATAGGTCGAGTGGATCCTCATCCACTCTACTCACCATAACTAGTTATCACTTCAGCATAAGTATATATTAGTTTCAGTCAGCATAGCAGCAATCCATCAAAGGTTGCTCCTCATCATAGTGTGTGTGTTGTATCACCACTACCTGACGTCCGAAGGTGCCCATAGCAGGTTAGTGGTCTGGATCAAGATAGAACTGAAGGCAGTAGTCCACTGCAGTCTGGGGATCACTTCAAGCATCAAGTCAACACACTGGACACTCGTGTTGATGCCACCAACCTTATCACCAACACCATCAACCTCATTATCATCGACATCACCAATCTCATCACCAACACCATCAACCTCATCATCATCAACACTCACACCAGACCTTGGTGTCATCATAACATTGATATTGATTGTGCTGAGCTACCCCTGAATGGAGTGTCCACAGAGGTCAGCCAAAACCTACGATAGTATATACAACGAACACCACCTGCTGTCACTGCACAACTTGATAGTCACCGATACCGAGACAATAGCTGTTGCACAGTTTGATAGTCACCGAGTATCTCGACAGACCGACCTGGGTTTCAGGCGCGAGACCCCTGACATTAGAGTGGATCATTCAAGCAGCTCCTCACGATCACCATGATGGACCCAGACCTCAACAATAAGCTCGATAGACTACTCACTCTATTGGAAGCACAGCTAGAGCTTACCAGACAGGGTCATCAAGAGGAACGATTACAACGAGCTCAACTGAGCAGGGAGGAGACAATGGACCTCTCTCACTCAGAAGACCAAGCAGGAGGAGGAGATGAGTCTATGATAGGAGACCCACATACTCCTACTCCGGCTCCACAACCAAGACGATCAGTCCCATTCAACCTGGATGAGCAGGAGGACATCAACTACGAGAAGTATGCTTCACCTACTGGGCCAAGATATGTCAAGACTAAGCTGGACCCCTACAGCAGGACTAGGATGGACCCTTACCCCCTGGACCATGAGGAGGATACCAGCATCATGGCAGAGCTTAACTGGTCAAAGCCCATCACCACCCCCTTTCCAAAGTTCAATCCCCGAGATATGGAGATCTTCATTCTAGAAGCTGAAGCATGGTTTAAGTTCAACCAGGTGTATGAGCAGTCTAGGATGATCAACCACATGGGTGCTCAACTGGAAGGGACAGCAAGAGGGTGGTGGACCTCCAAGCTCCGTATTGATAGAGCTAGAGAAGGAAGGTTGTTCAATGATTGGCACTACTTCACAGAGCGACTGACAGAACAGTTCAACCCATGCAATGCTAGGATGGAGGCATACAACAAGCTGTTGGCTCTCAGACTCACAAGTGATGCTCCTGGTGCCGCCACACGTCATGTAGAGCGGTTCAGAGACTTGGAAGGACAGGTCAACCTAGATGACAATGAGCTAGTGATTGATCTCTTCAGAGGTAGTCTCACTCGTAGCATACAGGAGAAGTTCGAGAGGAATCCACCTGGGAAGAGATGGGAGTGGTATCGAGAGGTTGAGGAGATCGATCGACAGAGGATGCTACTACAGCAGTCCTCGGCTAGACACTCACTCCCAAACGCCACGTCACCTCCACTAAGAACTGGGTCTCAGCCAAATCAAAGTTCGATCCCCATCCGACAACCCACTCAACCTTATCCAGCTCGATCACCATCACAAGCAACTACACAAGCAACTATACAAAACCTAAACCGACCCCTTCCTCATCATCCCACCCAACCCTCGAAGCAAGGAAGCCCTGCTCCATCAGGTATCAACACCTGTCATGTATGCAAGGGTATCGGCCATTGGGCCAGAGACTGCCCCAGCAGGAGGGTAAACCCTCTTAGCTCTCGACCCATGGGACCAAAGGTTATGGTCACCACAGCAGACCCCTTTGAGGAGGCCACCGACTCAGGAGATGGCCACACAGGCAGCACTGAGATGGGTGACCCCGAGGCCATGGACCTCAGCTCATACCAGCAACCCATGGACCTCGACCATGAGGAGGAGGAGCATGATGATGATGACAATGAGGGAAACATCAGTGGGGTGATGCACTGATGGCATGCATTGCTCTACAAACCTCCTCGCCATCACTCTGTATATATCAAGATTGTCAAGTATGTTTCTCTACCAGGGGAGGCAAAGCAGTACTGGAGCTCTCTGGAATGGTTCAAGACCATCCTGCTCGGATACTAGCTGATACCAGTGCTGGTTTGTCCATAGTCTCAGATTCTTTCATTAGTAAGTACCAAATACCCACAAAACCCATAAAAACAAGATCGATCCATGGTGTCACCGGGCACCAACTCTCCATCAATAGTTCTGCGAGCATGCAGGTATCTATTGGTACACACAATCTGGGTGTGGTCGAAGCTTCAGTGGCCGACACTGCGGACTATGACCTCATCCTGGGGTTCACTGAGCTACGGAGGCTCAAACCCACCATACAATGGGATACGGGCCAGCTGGAGTTCAAGACTCAGGAGCAGGACTGACCCCCTAGGAGACCCCCTGAAGCAGCAAGAGCAGGGGACCTAACCATGAGGAGACCAACCCTTCATGGTAACGAGTTTGTCTCAGCAGAGCGCATACTACGAGCAGCTCTAGAAGATGGACCCATAGGATTCATGCTGTTGGAGGAGCCACCATCATCACTCCTGGCCTTTGGTTTTGTACCTACAGGCGCAGACAAAGGAGTCGAGATGGAGGTGGAGGTAGACAAGGTGGTGACGGCTGCAGACATACCAAAGCCATACCAACACCTGCAAGATGTGTTTGATGAGGTGGAAGCAGACAAGCTGCCCCATCATACCGAGCATGATCTCCACCTCGAGTTGATAGAAGGAGGTAAGCCACCTCAAGGGCCCCTATACCTTAAGGGACCCAAGGAGATGTCCGAGTTGAGGAGATACTTGGATGAGAACCTCGAGAAGGGGTTCATAAGACCATTGAAGAGCCCAGCACGATCACCAGTGCTCTTCGTACCAAAGAAGGATGGAGGTCTCAGACTCTGTGTGGACTACAGAGGTCTCAACGAGATCACTGTCAAGAACAGGGCACCATTGCCCCTCATCGAGGAGCAGCTGTTCTTACTCAGGAAGGCAAGGATCTATACCAAGCTAGACCTTAGAGCAGCATACAACCTCATCCGGATTGCTAAAGGAGATGAATGGAAGACAGCTTTTGGCACTCAGTTGGGACTCTATGAGTACCTAGTGATGCCCTTTGGCCTAGCCAATGCTCCGGCTCACTTCCAGTCATTCATCAATGACATCTTCCGAGACATCATTGGAGTATATGTAGTGGTATACTTAGATGACTTCCTGATCTTCAGTGACACTGAAGAGGTACATGTGAAGCATGTCACCGAGGTCCTCACTCGCTTAAGGAGCAACAGGCTCTTTGCTAAGCTGTCGAAGTGTGAGTTCCACACCAAGACAGTCGAGTTCCTGGGGTACATCATCAAGCCAACGGGCATAGAGATGGACCCAGAAAAGGTGCGCATTGTCAAGGAGTGGCCAATGCCAGAGTCAATCCATGACATCCAGAGGTTCCTGGGTTTTGCCAACTTCTATCGAAGGTTCATAGCCCACTTTGCTCGCATAGCCAAGCCCTTGACAGCACT